TAAATTTTTAATTTTTTGACTAAAATTTTTCAATTTTTTTCAAATAAATTTAGTAAAATGCTTTTTGACGACTGATTTTTGGTACAATTCGAGAAATATCATCTATTTTTGGTCCGCCTTCATGAGTACCACTTATTGGCTAAGTCTGTACAAGCTCCTCCCATTTTTGTCTATTGAAAGGCGGAGCTCCCAATTTTTTTACTTTTTTCTTTTAATAAAAAACTACTTGCTGCTCCAATACAAATATTTTACAATATTTTAGCTCCATTACTTAAGTCACTTTAAGCTCCTCCCATTTTTTTACTTTTTTCCTCCAAATTTTCACTTTTTACTAATTTTTTTTCAAAAAATAAATTAATTTATAATACTTCCAAGCTCCACCTATCCCATAACCTAATTAGTGCGTAATTTTCCAGCATTTTCCTCCGCTTCTGCTTCACGTTACAAAATCCCTCGTTTTGTTTACCCAACGCAAAATCACTCGAAGCATGAAAAATGATTATAATTTAATTAATGCGCATCGATCGCATGCACCCGCTCACCTTTCAAATCAATTCCCACTAAAACATAACCTCATCAGACATTGTATTAAAAACCTAGTTGAAACTTTTTACATTCGAATAATTTATCTTAATGCACTTTTGGTCTTTGGGGTGGTTTAAGTTTTCCGCACAATGTGCAAATAAACCCATTCGGAATCAATGAACCGCGCGTTCGTTTTTAATGAGACTTTATCTCCGCCGGTTCTTTGCACCCTTACCAACCAAACCCACCCCTTCGTTTTGCTCCTTACCCTCTTAACTCTTACAGCGTTTTAATACTAGCCGTTGCTCATGCCTTATCCCAATCGTATTTCACCTCGATCTTTGTTTCAACCCTCATCCCCCTTTGGAAAATTTTGTCTTACAAAGAAAACATCAAGAGTAAGAACAAGATCTCTTTTATTGAATGAGTCTACCACTGGTGGTGGTCGTAGGAAGGTGTTGAAACGTCCTTCCTGTTGCTTTCCACTTTTTGTCTGCCGAATGCTCCGGGATGGATCGGGAAGCAAGTTAGAGGTTGCGGTTCTTTTGCGTTCGACCCTTAGTGATGTTTGTGTGTGAGTGAGTGTGGAAAACTCACTTAGTTCCACACAGGGAAATCTTTTCTTTCTTCATGCACTCTCCGCTTGCTGGGTGGTGGGTGGGAGGCGAGTTGAGATGAAGGTGGAGGTGGAGGTGGAGGTGGTGCTTCCTTAAAGCAGGAAGGCAGGCCCGCGCGGCCACAAACCACGATGTAATGAGGCCCATAACTTTGTTCGACTACGTAAATCTAATTCCGGTCCGACATTCTTTTCCTCCTCCTCTCGCCCGGACTAATACCTAAGAAATGAAGGGGCGGCGAAGGGAAAAAAGTTTGTAAACTAAATTATGCCTAGGTACAAAGTTGATTTTTTGACAGTCAACATAACCTTAGTTAATATAACCTCAAAATATGATGTTTATGAGGTGAATTTTATATAAATTTAAATATTTTTGTAGTTTTTTTGGGTTTTTGGACATTTTTAGATATTTTTCTATTAGGTTTTTACTAATAAACATAACCTAAATTAACATAACCTCAAAATATATTTTTTGACACTTAAAATTCGACTTTTTCAGTTTTTTCTAATTATTTGATGTTTTTAAACAGTTTTGGTAAATTTTTTTGGTATAATTTTTTACAATCATCATATCCTCAGTTAATATAACCTCAAAATATTATGTTTACTTGGTTAATTTTATATAAATTTGAATATTTTTGTGGTTTTTGGACAATTTTAGTGATTTTTCTATCAATTATATCCTAATAAACATAACCTCAATTAACATAACCTCAAAATATATATTTTCACACTTGAAATTTGACTTTTTAAATTTTTTTCATTTTTTTACGTTTTTAAACATTTTTAGCATTTTTACTTATACAATTTTTTACAATTAACATAACCTTACTTAATATAACCTCAAAATACAATATTTTTCTACATAACCTTAAAATTTTGCTATTTTCCTTTTTTACTATTTTTTTTTCTACTCTTGAGCAAACAAGATTGATGTACGTGCTGATGAAAAATGCGCCTGGCGTTTTCTTACTTGTAGCGGACGTCGAAAATCGAGATTCCGTTTGCTGTGGTGCCAAGGGTGGAATTTTTGGTCCTGCCGGGTGAAACGTGCATGCCAACGCGTCACCTTGTCTAGCGCGATGTCTAGCAGTAGACCAAACCGGAATTTCAAGATGTCAGCATTAAAAAATACTCAAACATACTGAAATATCTAAAATGAAAAACCACCCTTAGCATTTACTACAATCCTATTGCCCTAAATCATCATAAAAACAAAAATATCTTAAGTTACTTTATTCTTAAATCATTATTGTTTTTTTTTTATTATAATAAAACATCTAATAATGTAAAATTTAAAAAATATTAAGTTATCTACCAATGTAAAACCCTTTTCAAGTCTTTCAAGTCTTGCTAACCTAGTTTATATGCGTAGCATGCGCGACAGATTGGAATGCAGAATATAAAATATCACAGTGCATTTTCAATTTTCCAATCCTGATTCGATAAAGCTCGTCCTGTCAAATCCTTTTTATTCTTGCTTACTTGTAAGCAAATCAAATTCAACCACAATGTTGTGGTTTTCATGCACAAATTGTAAAAATGTATAAAATACAGTATCTGAATCAATCAGAATAAAATTTTCTTGATTTTGTTTGTTTGTGTCTCTTTCCAAGCCAAAATATTAAACCAAATTTTATAAATTTTAGTAGAAAGATAGCTTAATACTTGGAGAATAACATAGGATACTTTTTATAAAAAAATAAAAATAATATCCTTAAAATTTTTGATGTTTTCTAATTTTTTACATAATTTTCTTAAATTTTTTAGTTTTTTCTAATTTTTTTCTTTATTTCCCATCATCCTACAACCTGTTCTATACAACTACAAATATTATTTGCCTTTTAACTTGTTTATACGTCTTGAATCCTTGAACACAGTGTAAATCCTGTTTCGTCGCGTTTGCAAGACATTCGATTTACATTAGCCTGCAATTAAACTCGAACGCCCGCGGAATTAATTCAGATTAATAATAATGTCGCCCCGCGCTTTCATCGTCCTAGCTGGCAGGATATGCACCGCTCGCCCACATCGCTGACAAATCGTTTTAATCTGGAAAATGCGCCAACTTTCAAATTTCCTCACCCCGTGCCCGACCTCACAACGCACAGGACCACGTTACAAGCACCAAGAAGCACTGCTCTCTACTCACAGGACTCGTGACGAAGTAATGAAACAATTAAACAAGTCAAAAGTTTCACAAAGACTTCCAAAGTCTTCCACTCGAGCGGCAAGGCGAATTTCCCAAAGATCCGGGTAAAAAGGATAAGAAGCAAGACGACCGAAAAGGATTTTGCACATTTTCACATTTTGCAACGAATTAACAGCAGAATGAATCCAAAGCAGACAATGAGATTTGAATTAATTTTACCTGTCCACAAATGAATCATTCCTCATTTATATTTTATATTCGCCGAAATTTAAATCTAACAGGATGATATATTGTTTTGGTGACTAAGTAATTTATAGGCAATTAATTGAATTGTAAGTAAGTGCGGATTTTTTTATAGAATTATAATGTGGATTTATTTGAATGCGGAAATTTCTCAAGTTTTCTGCATATTTGCATGTTGGAATAAAAATTATCGTCGACGATGCAAACCGAGGAAATAATAAATCTTTATTAAAAGCGACTTTCGTCCTGCGTCCTTTACGCAAAGTAAGAATTCCACGAGAAAAACCTAATAAAAACTTGATGATAATAAGTGCTACGAATGACGAGCTTTGAACTCTTTAGAAAATTCCAATAAACATTGCGAGGAAATTTTCATTTTCCTAAAAAATTAAAAAAACTAAAAAAACATTTTTAAATAAAATTTCAAGATTTTTTTATCATAACCTTAAAAATAATTAACAATAAATTAATTTTCAAATTATTTCGTGGAAATTTATTGATAATAAACTTATTTTTCCTAAAAAATGTTAAAAAATTTAATTTTTTTTTGTTTTTTGATGATAAATTCCAAAAACATAGTTTTCTTGGATTTCCACACTGAAATCTTTTCGTTTAAAGATTTCCCCATCGTTTTCCACAATTTTCCCGCCTGACGTTACCTTGGTGAGGTGCGTTTTTCGTTCGCTTCCTGCCCGAAGCTGATAACGACAGCGGCGCGGCCCGAAAACGTCGAAATTTAACATTTATATTCTTAATCGAGCAATCCCCTCAGAATTTCCACCGACGTCGACATTTTCACCGTTTTCCACTTTTCTCATCCACCAACAGCAGCCGAGGCGTTATCATAATTCCAAAACTCTTACAATTTTTAAATGGATATTAAATAATGTAGCAAAGCGTTTTAATGTTGTTGAAGCTTTCAACTTTTGTTTGACATTGCTTTTTATTTGTTTAGAGCTCTGCCTGAAAATGTTAATTAACTTGATGTGAAACTTTACTTGCGAGCAAAACAAAGCAAAAACAATATGAAAAGCTTGAGCTTTCACAAAAGTTTAGTGCTTTTAGTGTCTTATTCTTAATTAACTACAAAGTTTTAAAATTCTCTCTCGGATTTTTTTTAATAAAATATCCGGATCGATTTCCATTCTCACTTTTTGCATGAATTTCTCTTACTTGAAGGCGTTTTGTGTGGGAAAATATTATTTTAGTAATTTCCTCTTTTATTGCTCAGATTTTACGAGCGCGCATCGAAAAACTTCATTTACTTATTCAAATTTTTACATTCTTGCGCCTCACACCGCCAATTTCTGTACGAATCGTTTTTGGTTTGAATGTCGCTCGTCTATAATCACATAAAATTTCAAAATGAAAGTCGGCAGGCCACAAACAATCCACCGAATGAAAAAAGTTAATTATATATTATATTCGTGTTGAATACTAAACTTTATTCACTTGTTATAAATTTTTCATTTTATTTTACTACAAATTATTCCTGCCCAACACAGTATATTTTTAATTTGATACCTATAAACCAATTACATATTTATTATTATTATTCGTAGTTATTAAGTAATTAAACAGTATTAAACTCATTATGTAATTAAACATGATGTGAATATGATTAACCTTGAACTGTTTGAATTAAACTTTACTTTACTTTACTTTCTCATGATGCTGCATTGATGCATTGTTAAATTAATTTGATTTTTAATTTTAAATTTCCCACGATTTGTTTCTTTTGTTGTTTTAAGTGAACAGATTTAGATTTTTATTGTTTATGGTTTAGTCAACGTCTAATTTGCGGAAATTACCATGATAGCCCAATAATTCGTCATTGTCTAATTTATTCGGACGTAAATTGGCGTCGACCTTGAAGTTTTGGATGTTGCGGAAGTAATCTACACAGCCGTCCATCATATCGTCAAACTGTGCTGACATCTGGTGGACAGTAGCGTTTGTTCCGCCGTATTCGATTGGAAGTTGATCTTTTGGATAAAATTGAGATATTTCTTTTGGGTCACTGTGAGTAGTAATCTAAAAATTAATATTTGATGGTTATAGATGAAGAAAAATAATAGTTATTGTATGTTTAGTGTGTAAAGTGAAATTTTAAACACGTGGTCTAAATTATTTGTTCAACACTAATTACAATAGCGAATTATTTTGTATTTTGTATAAATTTTAATATTTTTGAGTTTTTGAAAGATATTTTTTGCACACTAGTGTGTAAAAGTACTACTTTTAACACGCATAGAAACAAAAACAATTTTAATTAATTTTTTTTATACTTTTTAAGATTAAAAGTGTCTAAAATTGTTTTTTAACATGTGTTACTAAAAATTTGCATCCTAGTGCATAAAATGAACACTTTTCACACTCCGACAAAAAATACTCACTCTGTTTCTCAGTTTTTCCGGAAGACACGCCAATGCACCATTAACCACAACTTGTGCAACTGTAGGCAGCCCAATAATCCTCAAAGCATGACATCTATTCGAATATACTTTCTAAAAACCAAAAAAATTAAATTAAAAATAAAAATTTTTCCAATACGTACCTCAGCAACAGTAACAAATATCTTAGACATCATCGGAGTGAATGCAGCCCAAAACGCAAAATTACTCTTGGTACAATCCCAAATAATTTCCACACTACTAGAAAAATCTCGATAGATAATAGCCTCGGCGTCCATGAAAGTTTTTGCCAAATTTGTGTGAGCCTCAAATTTGTGATCCATTTCGTCCAAAACAAAGAAAATCACACGATTCAACCCTACTAAATTAGGCAAGGTTAATGTACGGGATATTTTACGCATTTCTATTATATCCGGATTGGTAGGAAGACGATTTTCAAACACTTCCGGTATCATCGACCGGATTGAGTAGTAATAATCCAGTTTTGTTTTTGTTTTCTCTATGGAGAATTTATTACGGATTAACATGTTTAGGATCAATCTATCACCTAAAACAAAAAAAAATCGAAAAAAAAATTTTTGAAAAAAATTTTGAAAAAAATTTTGAAAAAAAATTAACTTACTTGGCATTTGAGTAAGATGAGGCTGAGTACCAATCCAAGTTTTTATACAATCCACATCAATTTGTGCACTTTCCACAGTACGATTAAACTGAGCCAAAATCTGATCAACTTCATGTTTGGAAAAATTCAAAGTTGGATGTTTCACTTCAATATCAATCATTTTTCTACAACCAACACAACTTGCCTCCTCGCTAGTCAAAATTAAACTAACTAACAACTTGTAATAACACCATTATTTCCCACATTATATATACCCACTTAAAACCTCAAGGTCACGCAAAATTAAATTATAATTCACAAAAATTAATGACGGCAACACATTTATTACATGCATAAATTTGACAATGAAATTATTTACTCTTAGACCTTCTCTGACCCAGTGGAGTAATATCAAAACTAGACGAAGAACTGGTCCCAACATCAAAGATCTCATACATCTCCTCTTCAACTTCTCCTTCACCTTCTTCACCTTTGGTCTTCTTACTAAGCAGATTACAATACTCCTCAGCCTCAGCCAATAACCTACGCCAGTGTTTCGTAGTATTAATAACCTCAGCCAACTCTGGTGGGATGAAATGTTCCATTGGATAATCATCAATGGTACAATCCCTACACATAGTACACCATGTCATTGGTTTGTCCTTGAAGTATTGAGTCATGTCTTGATCAACCCGCCGGGATTCAGCTAAGTAATCCGACCAGTTTTTTAAGATAAACCGCATTGTTTCTTCAAATTTACTTGCTTCATCTCCCTGGAGTGTCTCTTTGAACTGTTGAAGACAACTGGCGTACATTTCAATGTTTCTTCCTAGTTCCTTCAACCAGGAGACATAGAGACACCAATCTACGTATGAAGAAGTACCTTCTGGATGGTAATCTAATAAACCTGCTTCGGATAACTTGGATTCTATTGAAGATTCTTCTGATAAACCTCCTTCCATGATGGATTCTTCTTCTTCGAAACCTTTGAGACCACCAGCAGCTGCTTCTTCTTCACCTCCCATATAGCTTTCTTCTTCAATTTCAGATTCGTATTCATCTCCTTTTCCTTTGTGTTTTGAATCATCATCATAGGCACTTATAAATTGATCTCCATCCCCATATTGTCCTGCTCCTAAACCTCCATCTTTTCCTCCTTCGCCATCTTCACCAAAAACATCTGATTCTTCAGATAATAACCCACCATGTGAGCTTATGGATTCCCCTTCTCCTAATCCTTCTTCTTCTTCATCTCCTTCTCCATATTTTTTTCCTCCTCTATCCAGTCCTTCATCTTCTTCACCATAAAGTAGTAATGATTCTTCTCCTGCATACAAAGAACCTTCTTGTACAGTACTTGCTTCTTCTTCATAAACCAATTCAGTTTCTGCTTCACTTTCAGGTGGGACATATTGATACATTTGGAAGACACAGTGTTTATCTTCAAAGGAAGTAGCTGATATCTGATCAACGATGAATTCTTGTTTGTAGGGTTGGAGTTTTACATCAATCAAAATGGCGAGTTTTTGACAGATTACTTTAAGTTCTTCTTTGACGTATTTATTGCATGTTTTGAGTTTACGGAAGTTGAGGAACTTGTAAAGCATCATGGTGACTTGAAGTTGTTTGTAATTTGGGATCATTCTTCGGAGACAACCGAGGTATTTGATGAATTTTTCTGAAGAACGTGAAGTTTGTTTTTCTAACCACTGCGCTTTGATTTTAGCTGATTTGCAACATGCTTTTGCTCGGAGACAACGTTTCTTCTTCTTGTTCTTTTTCATAAAGGTTGGTGGAGCTGGTTTGGGGCTTTCAAGGTCATGGATTAATTTACAAACCTTCAAAACTCGTTCTGTATCAAACACATTAGAATATCTTGCTAGAGTGCATTGAATTCTTCTGTTTAATGGAAGGGCCATTTCTTCAATTCTTTGGGGACATGATTGGTCCTTCAAACAACATTTATTTGACCGTTTTCTTAAATAAAAATAATATTAAACTCATTTTTAATAAAAAAAAATAAAAAAAATTTACTTATGTTGACGAAATTTTGATTTTCTTCCACCTTTCTGCTGTTTTTTCGGTTTATTTGGTAGACAATCACAGCAGTCATTACAAGGTCGTTTGTAGGTCACAATGGCCCTTAGACTAGCATCCCTGCACGTGTCTGAAATTAAACGCTCAGGCATTTTGCAACAGAATAATTTTTCAGTTTAAAAAACACAAACAGATTAAAATTTTGCAAACAGATTTTTTGACAGATTGGCAATCAGACTGTATCCATGGCAATAAACAATAAAATGGAGAAAAATGTGAGCGAGATTTTTTAACGCGCTCGAAAGTGATTTCGTATGCGAATCGTTTTATTGGCTATTATTGCCTCCACTTACAGGACTTTGAAGACTCCTTCAGAGTGCCGCCGCCTGCTTTGCATTTTTATTAGAATTCTCCACCTCACGCGTGACTTCTTGATGTGCTTTGGATTTTTCAGCCTCCTTGAATTATTTTTGTTTCCTGAAATACTCGCGAGGTAATAAATAAAGTTGATTAAGGGTGAAATTGAATCGTAGGCTGAGAGAGTTTTTTTTTTTGGGTTTTTTATTATGCTCGTTACTTAAAACTAGGCTGACATTTGTTGTATCTTAGAAGCATGACAAAGACAAGTCTCTTTAATGCTGGCTATAGGCGGTGTTCATCTCGGCCTCGGTGTTCTTGTGGTAGATGGCGACATCCTTGAAGAAGAAGTTGGAGTAGTTGAAGAACTCATCTTCGTATTCAATAGGACGATCCAGAGGATAGCCGAAGCTGTACTCGTGGTCAACCAGGAAGTCAAAACCGAAGTTGTCTTGGTAGTCAGCAGACTTGGTGTTGGCGTGGTAGGGAGCAACCACGAAGAACATCTGGAAGGTCTTGCCGCCGAAGTCACCCTTGGGGAGGAGCATGCGATGGGGCATACCGTAGTACTTGGTCTCCGGGTAGTATTTGAACTCGGCGCCACCGTTGATGGAGGTCATCACCTGGTGGTAGAGGTCCAGGTAGGTGGTGCGGTCATGGGAGAAGTACATGGATTCATGAGAGTTGCGCTCGATGAAGTTCTTGCCGGCGGTGAGGGTGTAGTGGAAGCGGTCGAATTCGTAGAAGTTGTGGCGGTTGAGGTCCATGTCGATTTCGCGTCCGTATTCATCGTACTTGGGGCCAATGAAGACCTTGACGAAAGCCTCAACTGGTTTGTCGGAGGTGACTGCGATCTTGTAGTTGAAGGGCTTGTGGTTGAGGCGGTATTGGCGGGCACGGATGAGGAAGCTATCGTCGTTGAATTCCTTCTCGTCGACGGTGACGGCATTGCTCAGGTCAGAGTAGTAGTAGTCGAAGTAGGTGATGAGACGGTCAATGGTAACATCTTCAATCTTGATGCCTTCCCAGAAGAGGGACTTCTTCTCATAGGGTCCGGCGTATTCCTGGTATTGGTGGAAGTAGTACATGATGCGCTTGTACATCTGCCAGAACATGGGATCGCGAAGGGAGGTCTCGAAGTGTTCCAAAGCAGAGGGAGCAAGTTTGTACTCATCAGTTGGGTAGTAAGCATAACCAAGAAGATGGCGGGCGAAGACCAAAAGGTCACCATAGTAACGTTCGTTGTCGGATTCGGTGTTGGATTCAACGAGGTTGCACAGAGTCTCAAAACCTTCCTTGTCGAAGAGGTAGACCATCTTGCCCTCAGGGGTCCAGAAGTAGCCCATATCAAGAGCGTCACGAAGACGGCGTTCATAATCCTTAACGTAGGTGTAGCTGTAGGTGTAGTTACCGTAGTGGGGGTAAGACTGCTTGCCATGGGCACCGTGGTAGAAAAGCTCAGCATGGTTGGGCCTGCTGGGGAAGGAAAGACCGTTGGGGTAGTGCATGCTTGGGTAGTATCCAGTCTCAATTGGGTGTTCGTAGGAGTAGTGAGGGATCTCACCCATGCCATTGGACAAACGTTCCAGGTAATAACGGGCCAAGAACTGCTGGTGGAAGTAGTAGAAGTATTCACCACGGTGGGAAGTCTCGTAATCGATGATCTCGCTAGGCAACCACCAGGGAGCAAAGACACCATAATAGTAATAGTAAGCATTGACACCAACATCTTCAGTGAAGTAGCTGAGAGACTGTTCAGGGTGGACATTCAAGTACCAGCCAGAGTAGTTAGCCTGAAGGGTGTATCCCTTGAAGGAATCCTTGATCTCCTCCTCATGTTCGTAGGTTCCCCAATAGTGCTGCTTGTACTGCTGGGCCTTGTAGATGACCTCATCGTTGAAGAAGTAGTGAGGGTAGATTTCATAGATCGGGGGTAGGATGATACCCTCGGTGAACTTGCTGTGGACGATGGCGACGGAGTAGGCATAGATGAACATACCCTCGTTGACGTTCTGGCGGGCCCAGACGGCGGTCTTGTAGAAGGTCTCGTAGTCCTTAGCGTAGTAGAAGGTCTTGAAGAGAGCGATGGCCTGTTCGAGGTGCTCCGGGTAGAAGACGGAGAAGATCTCACCCTGGGGCAGGAAGTCGTGCTGGTACATGTACCAGAACTCCTTCGCGTACTCGGGCTTGGTCCATTGGCTCCACATGCCTTCCCATTTGAAGGCATCGGCGATCTCTACGAAGTCCTTGTAGTAGCTGGGCTGGTTGATGTAGTTGAACAGGCGGAGGACATCCTTCTGTTTTTCCAGGAATACCTTATCACCTGTAAGACCCAATTAAAAAATATTTAGAAAAATTTTGAAATAAAAAAAAAATAAAAGAATACTTACCAACTTTGTAGTATGGTTTAGTGACGGGTCCAGCAATGGCTAAGGCACAAAGGCCAGCTACGATGAGCGCAATTGTCGTCCTCATGATGCTTGAATTCTTGAGACACCACAAGTGTGCCTTTGTCGATTCCGCCCGCAGCTTATATACTCCTCTCTACAACCGGTAATCACATTCTAATCACCTCGCCTCGCCTGAATATTCTAACCCCGTGACCTGTCCCAGCAAAAATATAAAAATTAATTGCATCTTATCACCTCGCGCCGTATTATCACGCCCGAGCAACAGTAACGGCAAAATACACATAACATCAATTTGATTAAAATGTATTTTAATTAGTTTAATCATAATCTAATTAACACAAAGAGATAACAATAACCAAAGGAAAGATTTACGAACGCGGATGGCAACGGCGAATGAATTTATTTCTTCTGGAATATTCCCAGTCATTAATTGTGATACTAATGAATGTAATTAGTGCATGCATAGAAACATTGAAGAAATGGCTGCCTATATTATATTTTATAGGAATATTTTTATTTTTATGATAAAAATTAATTAAAACGCAGTGCCCTGGAGCAAATATTCCAATCATTCAGATGTAAACTTTGATTATTGAATGGTTGCGTAATTGAGTATGGAACATAAAAAATATATAAAACAAAACAAAAATTTAATTTGTGTGCAGAAAACAAATAAATTCAACAAAATCGATAAAAATAGGTAGAAAATAATACAAAATTAAAATTAAAGGAAAATAAGTTATAATCGTTTGATAAAATAATATTTATTTATTAATTGTAAAATATAATGTTTTGCTTTAGTTTAATTCTAGTGGACTTTGTTTATTATTAATTTTATCTCGTTTATCATTATATAATATTTATTTTTAATGTTTTGACTAAACTTATTTTTATTTTGATTAATTTTAAAGCATTTAATTATTTTATTATATCAGAGCTAAATACTACACTTTATTCACTTTAGTGTCTTATAATATAAGGAATTATTAGAATTGAAAGCATTTTTATTTTTTATGTTTTTAAATTAATTTATTAATTAATAATTATTTTATTTTATTATGCTGGAGTTGAATACTATTCTTTATTCACGTTCGTGTATAATTATATAGAGTGTTATTACGATTGTAAACATTTTTATTTTATATTTACTTATTTTTTAAAATTTTATTATGCTTGAGTTAAATACTATACTTTATTCACTTTAGTGAATAATCATATAGGACACTATTAGAGTTGAAAACATTTTTTTTTCTTTTTTTGTTATAAATTTTTATATTATTATGCTTTAGTCAAATACTATACTTTATCCACTTTCGTGTATAATATAAGGATTATTCAAGGATGTTAATAAAAAAAATATTCAATTTAAAATGCAACAATTTTATTACTAACAACTACAAATAAGCAATCTGTGAATTCATGTCAATATCATAATCAAATCATTGATTTAATAGTTGCTGCCAGAGTTGTTGATCTCAGCCTCGGTGTGCTTGTGGTAGATTTGAACATCCTTGAAGAACATGTTGGGCAGATCCATGAACCACTGCTCGTACTCAATTGGGCGATCGAAGGGATAAGACAGGCTGTACTCAGTGTCAACGAAGTACTCGTACTCAGGCTTGGCCTCATGGTAAGGCACGACCACAGCGAAGAACTGGTAGGTCTTGCCAGCGAAGTCACCCTTGGGGAGGAGCATACGCTGAGGGAAGGTGTAGTACATGTTCCAGTCGTAGTACTTGAACTGTTCGCCACCGCTGAGTGCGCTCATCACATGCTTGTAGATGTCCAAGTAGGTGGTGCGGTCACGGGAGAAGTAGATGGTCTCCTGGGAGTTGCGGTCGATGATGTTCTTACCAGCATTGAGGGTCCAGTGGAAGCGGTCGAATTCAAAGAAGTTGTGACGGTTGAGGTCCATGTCGATTTCGCGTCCGTATTCATCGTACTTGGGGCCAATGAAGACCTTGACGAAAGCCTCAACTGGTTTGTCGGAGGTGACTGCGATCTTGTAGTTGAAGGGCTTGTGGTTCAGGCGGTATTGGCGGGCACGGATGAGGAAGCTATCGTCGTTGAATTCCTTCTCGTCGACGGTGACGGCGTTGCTCAGGTCAGAGTAGTAGTAGTCGAAGTAGGTCATCAGGCGGTCAACGGTGATGTCTTCAATCTTGATGCCTTCCCAGATGAGCTCTTCCTTCTCATAGGGTCCGGTGTATTCCTGGTATTGGTGGAAGTAGTACATGACGCGCTTGTACATCTGCCAGAACATGGGATCGCGAAGGGAGGTCTCGAAGTGTTCCAAAGCAGCAGGAGCAAGTTGGTACTCATCAGTTGGGTAGTAAGCATAACCAAGAAGATGGCGGGCGAAGATCAGGAGGTCACCATAGTAACGGTTGTTGTCAGAATCGTAGTTGGACTCAACGAGGTTAGCCAAGGTGTTGAAACCGTACTTGTCGAAGAGGTAAACCATCTTACCCTCAGGGGTCCAGAAGAAACCGCGGTCAAGAGCATCACGAAGACGCATCTCGTAATCCTTAACGTAGGTGTAGCTGTAGGTGTAGTTACCGTAGTGGGGGTAAGATTGCTTGCCATGGGCACCGTGGTAGTAAAGCTCAGCATGGTTGGGTCTGCTGGGGAAGGAAAGACCGTTGGGGTAGTGCATGCTTGGGTAGTATCCAGTCTCAATGGGGTATTCGTAGGAGTAGTGAGGGATCTCACCCATGCCATTAGACAAACGCTCAAGATAATAACGAGCCATCATGTTGTGGTGGAACCAGTAGAAGTATTCACCGCGGTTGTTCTCCTCGACATCGTCCATCATGTCAGCGGGCATCCACCAGGGCATGTAGATGTTGTAGTAGTAATAGAACGAGTTGACACCAACATCCTCAGTGAAGTAGGCCATAGACTGTTCAGGGTGGACATTCATGTACCAGCCAGAGTAGTTAGCCTGAAGGGTGTATCCCTTGAAGGAATCCTTGATCTCTTCCTCATGTTCGTAGGTTCCCCAATAGTGCTGCTTGTACTGCTGGGCCTTGTAGATGACCTCATCGTTGAAGAAGTAATGAGGGTAGATTTCATAGATCGGGGGAAGGATGATACCCTCGGTCCATTGGCTGTGGAAGATGGCGACGGAGTAGGCATAGATGAACATACCCTCGTTGACATTCTGGCGGGCCCAGACGGCGATCTTGTAGAAGGTTTCGTAGTCCTTAGCGTAGTACAACGACTTGAAGAGGGCGATGGCCTGTTCAAGGTGCTCGGGGTAGTACACGGAGAAGATCTCACCCTGGGGCAAGAAGTCGCGCTGGTACATGTACCAGAACTCCTTGGCGTAGGCGGGCTTGCTCCATTGGTCCCACATGCCTTCCCATTTGAAGGCATCAGCGATCTCGGCGAACTCCTTGTAGTAACTGGGTTGGTTGATGTAGTTGAAGAGCTTCAGGACATCCTTTTGCTTTTCCAAGAAGACCTTGTCAGCTAAACACCAAAATATTCAATAAAAACCAAAAAATAACAAAAAAAAATTTATACTGACCAACTTTGTAGGGAGTTTTGGCAACCGGAGTCGCCGCAGCGAAGGCGCAAAGGCCCAAAAGAACAAGTGCGAGTTTCATCTCAGATTCTATCTCAAGTCGGGTTGTACCAGATGAGAAGACACAATTCAAGTGTGCTTTCTCCGGTCAACACCCGCACCTTTTATACTAAATCATCATGCACTCATTGCATCAATCAGCACATGGTAATTGCTATCTGCAGCATAAAAATATATTAATTATAATTATCACATGACATAATTAATGATTACAAAAATCCGGCTCTAAATAAATTAAATTAAAATTATTCTATAACAAAAACAATAAAATATTATTTTTTGTTTTTTTCGTCATTTCAAGAAGAAGAAACAGGAAAAGAAGCGTCGCATCGCATTATGCAGTCCTTCTATTGCTCCCCGGACGGTTAATTACGCTCAGGATGTCGTCGCAGGATGCGGCTATTTATATTAAATATTGCCTGGCGGTGGTCCTGCGGGACGTCCTCAGACATTAATACGTTCGGAAGGCGGCGGCGTATATTTTTCCCTTCATCTCGACCAGACGCTCCCGAATAGATTATGTTAGATTATATTTTCTTGCAAATTGCTGCTGACGGTCCAACGCAATAAAAAAACTATAAGCCGAGTGTTATCTGTTATGCGAGGCGACATCACAAGCACACAAAAAAACCAACGATGAAGAAGGTAGATTATCCAGCTGAAGTGTGAAGGAAATTAAAAGCAACAGCGACAAGCATCTCTTCATCATAAAATTCAAGTTTTATTTTTGGAAATCATAAAGCACGAGACTTCTGTGAAAATATTATCGAATTGTGTTTGCGTCTTGAAAACAAACACACGAATGCTCGATATTCTTCGGCTTCGTTTTCGACGTCTTCGCCAGCAGCTTGGAATCGATGACGAACGCGAATCGAGAACAATAATAACTCGTCCGAGTGGATGATCACGTACGAAATGCTGCTGCCTTTCGGTCACGTACGTATCGCGGCGTCGATTTTATTTATTTTCGACATTTCCACACGCCTCAGACTTCAGAACTCTCCTCGGAAGCTCGGAAGCTGCAGACATAACCAACCGATGTATTTCTCTTTCATTTGGTTGGGAGTTTAGTTTTGAAATTTGCAATTTTCGTCGAAAACAATTTTCTAAGCCTTGCTTTCTGAGCAAAAGAAATAAAAGCTTTCCGCCCGCGCACATCTTTCATTTCTATCGACTAGAGGATTTATTTTTATTTCCGCTCGCTTCGGCGTTATTTATGTTCTTTTATGCAATTATCGAAGGCATTCTGTTACACGCCGACTGCTGGCAATGTGTGATAATGCTAAGGATATTAAATTAGTTGGAAATTTATTGATTTCTGAAGTTATAACATATTACATACATTCAAAGTAAAGTAAAAAAATATTCTGTTTATTAATCACTCTTGTAATGACACGTTTCGTCACTGATAACAAGTTTCCGAAAAGCGTCAAAGCTCGCCCGCGCAGATGTTATTATCTACGTGATCCCGCTGCTGGCAGCACCGCCCGACGTAATGTGAACATGTGTAATCGCTAATCGCCTAATCTCGTCTATCCGGCGCGCTGCAGGGCTGCGGGGCTGTGAGCTTTTGGAACTGTCATAACACGCGAGAAGATTTGAGCACTCGGGAGCTTTGGAACTGCACTCAAAGAGCGGCTGCATTCGTAAGCACCTTTCGGATGCTTGCCAAGTGCGAAACTGGGACAAACAAAACACTCGCAAGATTTCCTAAGTTCACACATCAATATACACCTCAACATGAGCTTTCTACATATTAATAAAGCTCTCAGCTTGCGTTTCATATCTCGAGCTTTTGACTGCGGGGTGTTTTGACCTTGCAAAGTCAAAAGAATAAAAATCTGTCAAAAATTTTGAAATTTTTTTGTAAAAAGTTGATTTATTTATTGTTATTTGTTATAAAATCAATAAAAATTATTAGAAAACATAGAAAATATTATTAACTATCTATTTATTACTCTAAAATTATTTTTTAATCTTTAATTTATTATTTATTTTAAAATTTATAATTTTTTTACTTTTTTCAGTAAAATTTTTGTTTTTTAGTGAAAAAATCATAGAAATATAAACATTTTTTGCAAAAAATACACAAAATACTCATGTTTTCAGTAAATTTATTTACTAGTGTATTTTATCCAAGTTGACGTTAGTTTATTTCATGTTTGCCGTTGATGTATTTCGTGTTTTTGCGCTCATTAATGATTAAGAATATCCATCCAATAGACACGAGCAAAGCCAGCGCAAAACGCGAAACATTCTCGAAACATTCTCGACGTGGAGTGGGTCCTCCACCGTGTCTTCGTTTATTATTTATTATTTGCGGTCTCTTGCGGTCTCCTGCGTCCACGTCGTGCTCGCAGCAACTCACCAAAAAAAAGTTGAAAAAAAAATAACGCACATCGAGGATAATCCTTTAAAATTAGAACGAATTACATTTATTTCTAACAAAAATACTACATAATAGACATTCGTACATACAAGTTACATTTCCAATGTAAAGAAATGGAATCGCGTGTGCTTTTCGCAGAAATATTAAATGGTTAATAATTTATCAGCGGTGCAGCGTGGGCGGACGAAAATTTCAAATCCTCGACGCGTGCGAAATCGTGCAAAATGTGAAATGGAAAATGGAAAACATACAGGACACACATATATACCTGTAACTTTGCTTTTTGCAAAGCAAAAAATATCGTAGGAAGAAATTGTGAGACGTGAAACATGAAATTTGAATTCAAGACGTTAAAACGTGTAGACACACACTGGATTCCACAGATCATCAACATTATGATAGACTTTAACTAAATAAATAAATAAACCAACATAAAACATGCAAAAATATTACTTTTATTGCATAATGATATTTGGACCGTTGTTTTGGACATATGAAAATTTAATATCCCGAAATATATTTTTAGAATAAACCTAATCTTCTGGAAATCTTTTTCTCTCAATTTTATTTTCTTCAAAACAATACACTTCGTAATGTCAAAGACATTATAACATATCAAGTTACATTATTATTACATTATTCATATTTTTATTTTGTTTTGTTTTGTTGTATAAAATATCATTTTAAAGATGTTATAATTCGTTTTCTAGCCGCCCGAGGGCCGGAAAATGTTTTAATGTAGATTTTCCGTGCAGGTGTGCGAAAAATAATATCCCGTCGAGGTTTTGAGGTGAAACTCGTTCGAAAGTGTGGCGAAGGTGATGGTGGAGGCGCCGCACACACAAGGGTTGTTAGATATTAGAAGGGCGCAACAGCAGGAGCCTAAGAAACTGCCAGCGCACACGCGACGCAAACGACGCCGGCGATTACAATATCATTTGCATTTCGGTGGATTTGCGCACATTTCGCCGCGTGTACCCGCACACCACCCCTTTTCTTACATTCCAAGACACGAAGGAAGTTTGTTACCACCTTACGGTAATTTAATTTGCATAAATGTGAAAAAATCCACACATATTTTAAGAAATTTGTGGGTTTTTAGGTTATGTTGATTTTGGGACGCAAAAAATGAGGTTAAGTTAGGTTATGTTTGTATGAGTAAGGTTAATGTGTCAAAATATTTAAATTTGTAGTATTTTAGGTTATGTTGACTTTTGTAACTACCAAAAAACGTTCAAAATTGAGGTTAAGTTTGGTTAAGTATGGTTAATATGTCAAAAAATTGAAATTTGAGTGTTTTTAGGTTATGTTAATTTCTGTAACAAACAAAAACAGTTAAAAATTAAGGTTAAGTGTGGTTATGTTTACTTGAGTGAGGTTAATGTATCAAAATATATAAATTTGTGTGTTTTTTGGTTATGTTGACTACGGTAACTAACAATAAAGGCTAAAAATTGAGGTTATGTTTGGTTATGTTTGCATAAATGTGGTTAATGTGTTAAAATATTTAAATTTAAGTTTTTAGGTTATGTTAAGTTGAAAATGATGTTAGAATGAGGTTAAGTTTGGTTATGTTCGTATGCATGTGGTTGGACACTGATAATAATAGTAAGAAGCGATGATTATTAATTAAAAGGATAACTCTCGGTAAAGTTTCGCGTTGAACACTGGAATATCGATGTGCTCGGCTGAGTTTATAGAATTCGTATAAATGGTTTTCGACCCCTAGCGCCGTCGGCGATAGATTCGAGCTTTCCAGCGCTCCCTGCCTCCTCCTCCAGCGGCGCTCGCACTCGAAACTTTAATCCACTATAATCCAGATGATGAAAGGCTAAAGTTCCGGTCGAGGATAATAAGCTCGGCTCGGTTCGGCGCTGGATCTTCGATACACCGGGGACACATAAAGCTCGGATGCCCAAGCTCGGCCGCGATTTTCGACCTTTCGCCTTCCACGAAGTAGTCGGAGAGTCCTTGCACCAAGAACCAACACTGCCGTCGCCGGTTTTTTTTATTCTACGCGGCGATTCTTTGTTGTCGACGTCGAGCGCCGTTGTTATCAATTTCTTTTGAAGGTTTTATTGTCGGACGGCGAGTGCACCTCGGACGATCCTTCTGTTTTCTACGCAGGACAATGGCTACGCATTTGGTGATAAATTACTTCAACAACTTTAATTAAAACTTTATCCAATTAAAAAATAAGAAGAAAAAAGGAAGAAATAGGACAATTTATGGAATAAATTTTAAAAATTGAAAATCAAAATTTTTTAAAACTTCAAGGGAATAGAGTAAGTATAAAGTAACGAAAGAAGAAAGTTGTGGAAAACCGAAGGAAACTTTATGACTTATAGCCTGTTGCTATGTGAGCTATAACACGCAAGTATTTTCTCTCTACCTTTGAGTTTTTTTTTCCTTTTAGGACTTATATGATGTCAACTTTTAGTAAAGTTTACTTGTACATTTAGATTCAGTCAAAGTAGGTAATTATTTGCAAAGAAAAAAGGAAAAATCTTCAAAGCTTAAAATTTTAGTTTTAATTGGCAAAATAACTATTTTAACACTAGATAAGTACATTTTTAATAAGGTTATGTTGAGTGACATAACCTACAATGTCTTGACATTATTATTTGACAGAAAATTGTGATAAAATTATATTTTGCTATGAAAAACTAAAAAAAAAAACGTAAAAATTAACGCAATTTATACAAAAATATGACTTTTGCTGCAAAATAATATTTGGACCGTTGTTTTGGACATATAGAAAAATAATAAGAACTTTATTTTAACAGAAAAAACAATCAATTTCCTAAAATTTATTTTTTTTTGCATTTTTTTCTGAATTTCTTTAAAAATATCCAAGAAAAAGTAAAAAATAATATTTTTTCTATATAAGGTTATGTATTTTGACATAACCTATAATAATATAACCTAATCTAATGCATAAAGTAACTTTCAAATAGATTTTAATCCGATTGTTGGCATTATAAATAACAATAAATAAAAGATCAAAGATTTTGATTGTTTTAGAGCAATACTAGCAATTCTCGTATTTTCCTCCGAAATCCCAGCTGATTTGCCGGGTGCGTGATTCCTCCATGCGCTTGCATGCACTCACTCATGAATAATAAATATTTGCGCCGAGATAAATTAGTTTATTCAGCAAACAGCGCGCGCGGCCGAGGAAATTTACGATTCATGGAAAATCGCACGAAACGATGCAAAACAAATGATTTTAATCACTAACTAGCGCGGCAAATACGTTCACATCGCGGTTACGCTCTATTTAGAATATTTATTCATAAATACAACAAAAAATATTATAAAAACAAAAAATTAAAAAATGAGAACATTAAAACGTATAATCTACATAGCAATTATTTTCTGTTGCGTATTCATCGCGTTAGAATTATCAAAATATTTAAAAAATGAAAATTCTAAGGATCTAAAAGAAAAACTCGAAGGATTAATAGAAAATTTTAACCTGGAACATCCGAAAGCTATAGAAGAAATGGATAATCTCCCAGATGTTATTTTTAACAAAGAATATTTACGCTGGAAGCCAAATAATCAATGTAGTTTCCGAGCATCGAAGAGATCAAAACTAATCAGATTTACTGGCAAGTATTATCCTTGAACACATCACAGATACAATCTATAAATGGTTTAAATTTACAATCATTAGAAGGATTAGAAAATTTATATCTACCTAAAGAACAACAGGAGATTTTACAAAAAAAAGATTTTTATCTTTTTGGAGCGTATTTTGATTCAAGAGGTCCTGATGTCAAAATACTGGGAATGACACAAGGAAAACCTTTGGATCTGTATTGTAATATTTGGTTTTCCAAAGGAATTGAACCGAAAGTCATAAAAGCATCACATAAATACATCTGGAACAAAGACTGGAAGTGGAAACCACATTTGCTTAATCCATATTTGTTTAGTTGTACTTTACCAGCAAATTGGATGATGAATAAACAAGGACATTTCCCGAAAGCTGTTTCTCTAATTGGGGAAAGGTGTCAGAGGACTAGTAATCTTCTAAAAGTGAATCACCCTGTGAAAATTTTAGAAGAAAATGAAAAAAATGATCAAAATGAACAAAATGACTTAGAAAATTTTTCTGAGACTAAAACAAAAGATTTTATGGTTTGTGTTAAAGGATTAGATTATCCTGAAGACATTTCCTATAAATTAATAGAATGGATTGAATTGATCAGACTTTTAGGCGCTGATAAAATCCATTTTTACATTTTAAACGTGCATGAAAACGTCGCTAAAGTTTTAGGACACTACAAACAAGTCGGATGGATAATAACCGAAGGTTTATCAATTCCAGGACCTTCATTACCATCATCCAAAAACCGCCCACAAAAAAAACGTCATGAATTAATCCCATACAATGATTGTTTCTATAAACACCGTGAAGATTACAAATACGTAATCCTCCTAGATGTCGACGAAATAATCATGCCTAACATAGGAACATGGAAGGACCTCATCGCCAAAATGCAAAATTTAAATCCTGATATAATCGCAAGTACATTCTCAGTCCCAAATGCTTACTTCTTCGATGAAACATTAAAAAACAACGCTTTGGACAACCCTGAAACTGATTCAAAACTACATATGTTAAGGACATTACACAGGACAAAGAATATAACACAACCGTCACTTTTTATTAAAGGATTTCATAACGCAAGTGATGTTGTAACAGTGCATAATCATTTTCCAATTGAGTGTGCACATGGCAAGTGCACCGAGGTGAAAATCCATGAAGACATCGCCAAGTTGGCGCATTATCGAAGTTGTCCTGTGTTACTAGGAGATAAATGTCATGCTCTAATAGAGGATTATGTCAAGGATGATGGCATACTTAGATTCAAACATGATTTACTCCGAAATATTCAAAAAAGCGTCAGGGATATAAAATTATCTTAATTTTTACTTTCAACAACAAATATATTTCTCTTCTTTGAATATATAAAAATTACAGGATATTCAAAACATAAATTAATCATAATATCACACAATATGATAACAATAATAAATATTCTACTTTATTCTATGGGTTTTTATCTATGATAAACTCTGCAAATTTACAATAAACTTTTTCAGGTTAAAATAACACTCTGTATACTTTTAACAATTTTATACAAATTTTTTTATAACTATGAATGTCTGCCTTTTTCTATGGTTGGTAGTGCTTCTAACCTCAAAGGTCTTCTTAGGTTAGAATCAGAAAGAAAATGACCGTTTGTTGTTGATTGTTTCCTTGGAGAACGATGCCATGGCGAATGATCATTTCCGTTTTGAGTACTAGTCAGATTTGGTCCGTTGAGGTTATGATTATGACCATTGTGGTACGCTGATTGGCCGGATGGTTGCTGGTGGCGCCGCGTGGTGGCAAAATCTGTAACCGGTACTTCTAACAATTTTCCTGTCAGAGAATTAAGTGATTTGTTTAAATTTTGTTTCGAAACTAAACGACAACACAAAAACACAACAAAAACTAAAATTTTACACCAAAAAAACATTAAAATATTGTGCGTAAAATTGATTTTTAATAATTTACCTCTCCAAGTATTGAATATTTGATTCGTATTCATGGTTTGACGCACGGATTGATTCAACAACTGCGTTGCACGTTTAGGTTTGAAGTAACTTCCGACTATGTCGTCGTCCATTTTCTCAAAACGCTAAAAATAACCTCAAATTAGTAAAAATTTCATTTTTGTTCAAATAAGTGATTATTAAGCAACAAAAGCAACAAAACTTAACCAAACATGTGCTCATACCTCGCCATGTCCGTTGATGTATCCATTTCCGTTTCCACTTCCGTTTGTTAGTGAATAGTCTGGTGGTGATGTGGGGGCGCTGCTGTTTTCGGAATTCGATGAAGAAACTCGTTGATTTCCTAATAGTCCGTGGTTTTGTGTGATTCAGCGATTTCAACACATCGCAAACATGCAACAAAAAGCAAAAAACAACAAATTTTTGTGTGAGTCACGCAACTTTTTTTGGCAAAGTGACTTGTGTCTACCAAACACGCCTAAAAGAGCATTGAAGAGTATGAGAAAAAACAAAATTACAACACGGATTCTAACACTGCGAAAATTGGCGAAGTTTTTATTTGATTTTTGATATTTTCACCTTTTCTAAACGATTTTCTTCCTTATCGGATGTGCTATCAAGTCGACCCGGTGCTGTTTTACCTTTACCTTTAAATTATTGCAAATTTTTTTGAATTTTTTTCAAAAAAAATCATTTTTTTACCTGCAGGTGGAAATTTTGTCCTTTTGAAGATTAATTCGGGTAGTCTATATTTTTGGGAATCATCTGACCATACAGCTTGCTCCTTGATAGACTCCAAATCTCTGAAAACAAAAAAAATCAAAAATTAAATTTTTTTTTGTAAAAATTTTTTAAGAAAAAAAATTTACCTATAATTACACTCTTTCTTCATACTCCCACTCATTTTATCAGAAATCTGTGTCATTAGCTTAACACTCATGTCCTGTTTCCTGATGGTTTCCAAATAGTCCTGGCGTTCAGTCTCAAATTCCCCTTGAATGTCCTGAATCTCTTTCTCTAAACTTTTCACCCGGTGCCGAAAACGCCTCAACGCATCAGTTTTTAAATTCAACTCTTGAGCAATATCCTTGTATTGGTTCTGAAGGATCTCCCGGTCTTCATTGAGATCCATTTTGGCAAGGACATGCGCAATAGCACTAAGTCTCCTCTCTGATGCGATTTTCTTCTTCCTTCTTCTTTCTGATAATTCTTTATCATTGGCACGTTCACCACCAATCATATTCGCCTTCAACAATTCAATCCTTTGAAGGATTTCTTCCTTATTCACAGTTTCCGGTTTATTCGACGCGTTTATCTCCTGTTGACTTTTTATCTCATCATTTAATTTCTCTATACTTTGATTGTATTCCTCCCGAATGGTTTCTATTTGCTTCATGATATTTTCCTTCTGAGCTTTTTCATCCTGATGAAGATTCTTGAGTTTTTCCATCTCAGATTCGTATTGTTGAATTAAAAAATCACGTTTTTGATCTAAATCATCTTGTGTGTTATTATTGTTATGAATATTTAAATGATTCATGTTTATTTTTTTGTTATCACTGATAATAGTCGACTCCTCATCGACATCTTCAATTTTCAATGGTGTTGATAACCTGACTGATTTATTAAGCATGTCTTTAAGCCTTTCTATTTCTTCTTGATACTGTCTGAGTATTGCATCTTTAGGATCTTCATTAACTTTTGGTTTATTTGAAATATTTTTCGCTCTGTTTGCATATCTCAACGTTGATAATGTTTCTACATAATTTCTACTTGCAGGACTTATACACGCAATCATCAAAGTCCTTGTATTACCACCTAAAGAATCCTGTAATAGTCTTGTAAGTTTTGAATCTCTGTAGGGGATATGTTTAGCTTTGCCATCGACTAATGCAGATATGACATTTCCTAACGCACTTAACGACAAGTTAATTTTTGTAGCTTCTTTTAACCTCTCACCAGTAGCTCCTGTTTTAGCTTGTCGTTCAGAACCAGCTAAATCAACCAAATTTAATTTTCCTCTGCGGATTGTTTCAGTGTCATTACAGTTGTTTATTTGCTCAATGCTTATTGTAAATATACTGTGTGACCTTGAACTGTTTTGATTCATTAGTGTTGCTCCAATCATTCTGTTCTTAGCGCCGATTTGTAATAATTCTTCACATTCTTGCATATTGTGAACTTGATGCGTTGTGAGTCCTGCAACTGTTAGTCCTTCGTTTTGGGTATCTTTTAATGGTAGATTATTGCTATTTGCGGCTGTTTTGGACCCGTCGAATGTCAAAAGATCACGTATTTGTTCGTTGTAGATTTCTAGATAGCTTACTATTGCTAAATATTTTGTTTCAGTCGCCACGCTGATTGCTTCGAAGATATGCTCGAATGTTCGACTGATTATTCCTTTTTCTGGTGGGTTTGAGGTTTTATTGCCTTCCATTGAGTAGGATTTTCCACATCCTGTTTGTCCATAGACGAATATCGTTGAATTATATCCTTCTAAAACACTCTAAACACATATTTTTAATGTAAATTAGTGAAAAATTATTTTTTTTTATTTTTTACCTCAACTAAAGGATAACAGATGTCGTTGTAAATATTTTCTGTTTGGCTGTCAACATCATACACGGAATCAAATGTAAATTGCTTGGGAAATGCAGGTCCTTCAGCAGGATCAAAAATTTCCACCATACAATCTTTCATTTTTACCACAGGCTAAAAATTAATCCATTTTTTAATAAAATTTTTCATAAAATTCTAAAAAACTTACTTTGCTCTGTAATTCTTTCTCTTTTGCGTTCATAGGTCGACACCTTACGATGACCTTGACGTTTTCCGCCATTTTGTTTTATTGTTTTAGAAGATTTTTATCTGAAATCTGTAAACAGAATTATTTAGTAATAAAATAATGCCCGGCGCCTTCACAATAGAAAACCTTTTGAAATATTTCCATGAAACTCGCCACAACAATGGTCGACGCTCGCTCACTGCGCAATCAATTATTTAGATTTATAATAATCGAGCTCGAGGCAGGACTTAATAATAACTCGCGTCGCATGCAAACGTCAGAATATTTTTGTGTGTGGACCAAAAGGTTCAAGGAAATTCAATACACTTTTCATACGCTTGCGATATTCAGATTTAAAGTTATAATTTGTTTTGCAGTATTGTATGACGAATCACTAACGAGTGTCGTTAATGGCCGCCTGCATTTGTTTTCGTCCTGCGCGAGCAGAAAGCGTGTCATGAATGCATGAAAATGAATCGAATCGGAAAACGGCCACCGCCGCCGCCTCGCCGGGTCATTATTATCGATTAATGTGTAATGTGTAATGATATGAATAACCAACGACGCATAACGTTCGGTTTTCATGCGTGGGAGCGTCGCTGGAACGGAAAGTGATGGACGGTGACAGAAAAGAAAAGCGAGTAACACGAAAACAGATAAATATGTAAATATCGACAAGCGAAACACTTAAAACGTCAATAAGCCAATATATTTATGATAAATTTATTACGTAAGTAATTATTTCACTAATTATGACGTTTTTTTGGTTGAATTATTTGATATTAACTGGATTTTGACCTCGTTAGGTTTATTCTTTGTTTGAAAAGATTTATACCAAACGCACTCAGCCTTGTAATGATGCAGTAAAAGTCGTAGAGGGTTGCCTTGCCCTGAGTGGTCAAGTTGTAAAGCTTTGCACGATGGTAATCACTCGCCAGGACGAGGCAGGACGAGTTTACGACATACTGACCTAAATACATACGTTTATACGGTTGCAAAAATGTTTTTTCCACGTTTTATCATTAATTTGCTAATAATTGCATTGCTCTATAATCAGCATAACAATTTGTTCTAATAATATAAAATTATAGGGCAATTTGTAACTTGTTTAAATAATTTGTTTCAAATGAAATCGATTTGATTGTTTGTGAAATTGTCTCAACTTTGAAACTGTCCTGAAGTCGTAAAAACTACGACCTAGACAAAAGAAAATTGATTTGGATTCCTTGAACTATTCTTTATACAATGAATGATTTATATTTAAAATAAATTTGTATTTAATAGCATATAAATAAACTTTTATATTTTTTTGTAAATTTTTTTGTAAATTTGTTTTATTGAACGTTTTCCTTTGTCAATTGATAATGGATAAAGTCATAGTATTGAATCCCACAATATTTATTCTCTTTTAAATTTACTTTCCATTGATTTTTAATTCACTGCTCTGGAATTATTTTTTTATTAGTTATAACACTTTAAAAACAATCAAAATTTTGAAAATTCAAAAATTTTATTTTTACTAAGTTTCTTTGCAAATAATTTAAACCCCCTGTATATTATTAACTTGAAACTTACTACGCCATTTAGACAATTTAATTAGCTTTCTAAAATGGTATAATTCATTATTCTACCCTCATCAGTACTTGAAATAATCCCAAAAATGTCAAAGAAAATAGTTTGATACAGTTGTCACATTTATTGAGTCTATTGCATTAAATAATGAATGTGTGTTGTCGCATCGCGGTTGACATGGCGAATAAAAATTTAATCGTGTCACCTTTGACTTTTTCATGCACAGCGAGCATTCGCTTTCGCATGACATGGCCGAGCATTATCTTGATAAACAAACGCGTTACACCAACGCACACATTCTTCGGACTCTAAACACGCATGAAAACAATTCAACTCGTTGGATGGGTTCAACAATTTTGGTGGTAATCATCACCAATCATCAAGAAATCGATATTAATTATATATGTTTAAATAAAATAATGAAAACAACAACAAATTCTATTAATAACGGTAAATGAAACTTTCTTGGAGTATTTTACGTCATATTTTGTGTTTTTGTTTTCTTTGATCGTGTTTTACGGCTAAAATCAATGCAAGTATTTATGGAATAATTAAATATTTAAATGTTTATGCATTCTATTAATAAATGTTAATATTGGTTTTGTTTTAGTACCGCTGGAACGCGCTGAAAATAGATTTAATTGACATTTGTAGTTGACATAACCTCAAGTGTGAATTTTTAATATTTAAAACCTTTAAAATATTAATTTATTAAAATATTTGAAGTGTTAACAGGTTAAAAATAAAACCATAAATTTTAGATCATTGTAAAGTTAATACAATAACATGAAATTTATCAAACCAGCGATTAGAGAACAAATCGTCCTTGTTTGTCCTCGATATTGATAAGTCTGACATTGAAACTCACAAAAACTCACATAATCGTTAATCGCAACCTTCGATAGCACTAATAATGAATATTAATAATTGCCTAAACATTTAAATTTCAGTATTTTTCCAACTTGTTAACAAAATTGCATTCAAATGCACCTCACATACTTTATCAATAATTGAATGGACTGTCATTGAAAAGCATGATGGACGCAACTAGTAATTATAGTTCAAGGTTGAGTGCCTTTCTTAAAAATAAGTATTCAACCCGATAATTACTGCGCATTGTGTATGCGTTTGTCTCATTTCTACAATTTCTCGCATTTGTAGCGCTTGTAAAGAACATGGCATTTGTCCTTATGTCCTTAACGTCCTTTCAACACGCCCTGCAACGTGTGCACGTCCTTGTGTGCATTGGTACACGTATTATTTGATTGATACAGAGTCATAACTCGTGTTGATTAATCAATATTCATAAATATTAAATAATTAAAAGCAGAAGTTTGTTTTTCTAGTTATTTGTTTATAACAAACAGAATCTGTACCATATATAAACAAAAATTACACATGAGATACTGAAATAAATTGTTGTTATTTTGCTTTTTGGTTTGTTTAAATATCTAGTATAGTTTACGAGTTATTTCTTGTTAAAGTTGAATGAATTAATTTTAACTTTAAGTATCATGTTGAATGTTTGAATGGTTTTTACATGTTGTTGTCATGACAACAAGCTGTTTGTTTGTGCGAAACGCGCACGTTCAGCAAATTTACTTTTCTTTCTGCCTACATAAACTTAATTTAAAAGCTTGTTGTCCTAATTAAGAACGTTTTAAAAATAAAGTTTTATCTTCTTGTTTGGGTTCATAATACCACAGTAATATTATGATAAAAATGAATAATAACATAATTAACTATCAAATTAAACAAATTTACATAAACTTACATAATTTTATCATTCGTCGCGTTAATTGACGCTCTGGTAGTTCTAATTACCGTTCGATTGATTTTTCCATTAGATCACAATGTATTGTCCACATTTTAAACTGTTTCAACTAATAGTTTCGTAGAAATTCAAATAGTTTCACATTGATTTATTATGTTTCTCTAAATTCGTTGTGTAGTAGTTTGTTTATTGTTGCAAACAAGCACTGAGGGTTCATTTACTTAGGAGTTCAGGTACGAGCGTGTGGTAAACAGTGTAGCGTCGCGACGCCGTCGCATTTCGAACCGGACTGATGAACGCTGACCGACGCCGCGCTACCACCCCTGGGTTCTCGGTGGCGGCAATCGAAATCGCTCCGTGAAACGGCCGAAAGGGTCAGTCACGTAAATCGCTCGTCATTAAGCACATTTACATACGTGTTGTTGTGTTGGTGTGTCTGTAAGCACATACATGCGTAATTTATGTAAGAAAACAAGTGTAGGGTGACTCTTTCCCACGTTTTGATGTTGAGATGTTTGTTTTATTGAAGCTTTCTTCGAAATTCTAGAGTTTCGTGACATCATCAGTGATATCACGATCGCAAACTAAGAAAATCTTTAATTTATGCATTATTTGACTTGCTTATATTCATTTCTAAGTATTCCTCATCATAACTTCAGCATAATAAGCTTAAAACTTATTTTTTTGGAATGAATACATCATTTGTGCAACGATATTTTGTTTATTTTAGTAATTATACTCCGCTTGAGTAATATTAAATTGCATTCGGCGCAATATCGTATTTAATTCTTAATAGGCTTTAATTTGATACTCCATTCAATAATGCAGATGCAAAATCACGGGTGTAAGCATTAATTAATAAGTATTAAACATAATTATTTAAATTAGCCGCCAATTCAAATTTGGCGCCATTCGTGACGCCATTTGCAAACGGAAGCACCTGAAAGCTTTGGTTGCTATGGAAAACCCCTTAGCAACGGTCCATAAGAATCAATGTATGTCGGCCATCATGAAAATTGACCGGAAGCCAAAGCTAGATGACGTTGAAAGCTCCAACCAATCACAGTCAAGGAAGCTTTAACAGCTTTATTTAAAAAAGTGTCAAAACATTTCATAGTTTAATTAGATTCAATTACAAATTTTAAAACTAATTATCATCGCCATTTGATGAATTGAGTGTTAAACGTTACCTAAAAACATAACAAAAACGTCAGTCTAAGTAAACCAAGCCACACTGATCTAGTTTCTGCGTAACGGGTGAATTAAAATTGCAAATTTTACGTGTGGGTTTAATATTTTAGTAATTAGTTTGAAAAAACGTTCTATAAATGTTAATTATGCTATGTTGTTTTGTGTTTCAGGTCGTAATTAATACGCCTCTGCCAGCTTATTGTATAAACAGACGATGCATAGGTTAGGACGTGACGTTCAGGCACACCGCGATCAATAATCTCCGGACTCGGCAGATAAGGCAATTCTTAGCGTAGAAGTACGTAAAATCGCTCTCTAATAGCTTAATTTAATTAAAATACTTGTTGGGGACATTGTCTCATATCAGTAAGACCGGCTGCAACATGACTACACCAACTGAAAGCGGTGAAAACATCTTTGTGTTCGTGCCCAACATCATAGGTAAATATTTACTTTTGCTATGAATAATTCACTTCTAAATTAATAGGTGTGACAATATTAATGTTTGGTTGATTGTAGGGTATGCCAGAATCATTCTGGCAGTGATTTCCTTCTATTTTATGCCAACAAATCATGTTATTGCTATAACATGTTATGTTACTTCTGCTTTATTGGATGCATTCGATGGACATGCTGCAAGGTAAGTGTTTTATCATCATATTTATTAATTATAATAGTTATACAAGAGTCTGATTGATTTTTCTTTGTAGATACTTCAACCAAAGTACCAAATTTGGTGCAATCTTGGACCAACTCACTGACCGATGTGGCACAATGTGTTTATGTGCTGTTTTGGGATATTTCTATCCTGATTACATGTTCTTCTTCTTGATAAGCATGTCTATTGACATTGCTTGTCATTGGATCTATCTTCATACGTAAGTTATTCCGGGTTTTTATTCAAAATGCAATGTTTTAACACTATTTTGTTGTTTTAGGACACTGCTACAAGGAAAAACAAGTCATAAATTCATTGATATGTCTGAGAACCCCATTATGCATCTGTATTATACAAATAGAACTGTTTTGTTCTGCATGTGTGCTGGTAATGAGTTGTTCTATGCAGCTTTGTATGTTCTGCACTTTACTCCTGGACCATTAATTGGTAAGTTGATGAATTTTATGGATTCAAATGAATACAGATGTTTTGTTGCCTTTTTAGCTGGATGTTCACTTTTCAAAGTGTTGGTTTACTTCAGTGCACCAGTTGCTATTGTGAAGAGTGCCATCTCAGTGCTTCATTGCATTGTGGCTTGCAAGAACCTTTCCATAATAGATGTGAATGAACGTAAAGCTATCGCTGAGAAGGTGAAGTAATTGCATTACTAATTTCCTATAAAAAAGTCAAGATATTATAGAAGCAGGGACAGAAAAGGGTAGTTAATTGAGAGATAAGGTGAAGTTAATGAGGAATTCAATGGCATTATGATTGTATTTACCAATATTTCATTGTTATTTATTAACAGCCTGGGTATTATGTGAAGATATGTTGATGTTTGATAGAAAATTAGTCAGAATGTTAGGTATGTCTAAGAAAAACATGTAATGTGCGTGTTGCATGTATCCAAATCTGTCAATTCCATGTTTTTATGAATTTATGATAGTTTGTGTGCTTTAAATTTAGTTTCCTGGTTCCTCTGTGTTATATGATGTTACATATTATGTTTTAACAAATTAATGATGAAAAATGTACCTAATCCATATGTACTGTGTAAATATGTGTCAAAATATATAAATATTATTGTAAATTGAATATTTGTAATTTACTTTGACTATATTGTCTAGTTGGTGTAGTAGTTAGATCTTTAGAGGGCTGAAACAATCCCTAATATTGAACTCTTGGAAGTTTTGTAAATGTTTAGAACACGTTGTGGAAAACTGCATATAATTTACGTTTTACTGGCTCAATTTGATTGTGGTTTGCGTCCTTTTATAGCAATAGAGTTGCCCTTTTATTTAATGTATAAGTCAACCCCTCAAAGGGTTCAGAATAGCCTTAAAACTGCTATTATATTTTTAAATTACATATTTTGGACATTTTCAAAACACGACGTAGAAAGTATACCATATCATGCGATACGTTTGGCCAATTTTATCGTAATTTATTTCATCTTGTAGAATAGAAGATGCTCTTTTATCTGCTATATGATTTAATCCCGCAAAGGGCCCAAAACAGCCCTAAAAATGACATTACACTATGGCATAACTAGCAAATTCTCAAAACACACTCAGAAAAAACGTTAATATCTCGCGATCCGCTTTGCCAATTTTACTGTGGTTTATATCTTTTTGTAGAAGAGGAATTGACCTTTCGCATGATATATGACTTAACCCTTTCAAGGGCTCAGAACAGCCCCAAAAATAGCATTAAACTTTGACATAGTTTGCAAATTTTCAAAACATGCTCCGAAAAAACCTTAATATCTTCCGATCCGCTGGGACAATTTTATTGTGGTTTAGGCCCTTTTATAGAAGAAGAATTGACCTTTCACTGAATTTATAACTTAACCCCCTAAAGGTTCAGAAACTGCCCTAAAAATGGCATTAAACTTTGGCATAGTTTGCAAATTTTCTAAACACGCTCTGAAAAAACGTTAATATCTCCCGATCCGCTGGGCCAATTTTATTGTGCTTTACGTCCTTTCGTAGAAGAAGAATTGATCTTTTACCTGATATATAACTTTACTCCTCAAAGGGTCAGGAACAGCCCTAAAAATGGCAGTAAACTTTGGCATAGTTTGCAAATTTTCAAAACCCGCTCTGAAAAAACGTTAATATCTCCCGATCCGCTGGGCCAATTTTATTGAATTTTATGGCTTCTCATAGAAGAAGAGTTGCCCTTTTATTCGATATATCCTTTTGATCCCTGAAAAGCTTAGAATGGGCATAAAATTGTTACTGAAAATACTCAATTTTTCGAGAAAAATTGTTGATGTTTCACATAATTTTGTAGTTTTAATACCTATAGCGTCACCTAGTGGTGAAGTTTTATAGCTAAACGATTTTTTCTACTTGAATACAGAAACCTTATATAGTGTGTCTTTCTGCGAATAGAGGGCGCTAGTATACTAATTTCAATTAATTTTTATATTTTTGATGTTTATCCTTTACTGTTAGTATTTTTTTATTGAATATTTATGTACAAAATTATGCTTACATTTTAGGTAATTATGTCATCAAAATTTTTGCTTCTAATGTGATAAACAAGTAGAAATGTAAAGAAACAAATGTGTATACGTTGAACAACCAATAAACAAACAAACACATGTTTCATTCATCTCAAAGAAAGGATCCTATTGGATACATCCTCGGCCTATAATAATATTAACACCTACTTTTACCTGCCGAAAATATTTCACCTTCTCACACATTCTGCGATCCGAAGATTGAATATGCTTGAAACCTCTTCCAAATCAGTTTGAGTCGCAATTTAATAATTTTCGTAGCGAAATAAATCGAGAAATTGATTTTTAATATTAGGAGAGCAGAATGTACGAGAAGGCTGAAATGTTTCGGCGTGTTTTGATCGATTTTAATAAATTGCACACACGTTTAAACTGAAATGATATGCACTGTAAATGTACACCTTGCAGGATGTTTATTGACAGTGTAAGGGTTGATTTGCACTGGGTAGAAATGGCTAATATTATAATAAAAATTCAGCATAGGAGGATGTACGAGTTGACTGCAATATTTTGTCGAACTTTCGAACCATTTTAACATATTTTTGACCAATTTTTAATGAATTTATAAAAGATATTTAAATATTTTTGACAGTAATTAATAGTATACTAAATTTCCACTAGAAACATCTATTAGAAAATTATTTGAACCTTTAACTAAAAGGTAAAAATTGGGGTTAAATTTACTACCCCTTAAAAACGAATCTTTTGTAAATTTTGGGCTGAAATATACGGCAATTTCTAAAGTATTTAAATATTCAAATATCAGTTGAAAATATGTTAATTATCTTCATTAGTTTAAACGATACTCAATAAAAATAAATAAACAAATGTTAATGTGTCAATTTTTCGAATTTTCTGGTCTTCTGTTATTTCTTAACACTAAACTAATAAAGATATCAACATATTTTAAACAGTAATAAATAGTATATTAAATTTACTATAAAAGCAATAATCAGAAATTTTTTTGAACCCTTAACTAAAGGGTGAAAATTGGGGTTGAATTTACTACCCCTTAAAAAGGAATCCTTGTAATATTTGGGGCTAAAATATACGGTAATTTATTAAGTCTTTAAATATTCAAATAATTGTAAAAAAATATATTAATTATCTTTATTAGTTTAAACAATAGTCGCTGAAAAAAAAACACAAATTTTGACGTCTAAATTTTAAAATTTTTCATGTTTCTTTGTGATCTTTTATTTCTTAACCCTAAATTAATAAAGATATCAACATATTTGAAACAGCATTAAATGATATATTAAATTTTCGATAAAACTGCTTATTCAAAATTTATTGGAACCCTTAATTAATGGGTGTAAATTGGGGTTAAATTTACTACCCTTTAAAAAGAAATCCTTTAAATATTTGGGGCTAAAATATACGGCAATTGATAAAGTATTTAAATATTTAAATATCAGTAGAAATATATTAATTATCTTTGTCAATTTAAACAATAGTCCATAAAAAGGAATAAACAAATATTGATGTTGTAATTTTAGAATTTTTCATGTTTTCTAGTCTTCTTTAATTTTTTGTCACTAAACTCATAAAGATATCAACATATTTAAAACAGCATTAAATAGTATATTAAATTTCCCATAAAACCACCTATAGTATTTTTATTTTAACCCTTATGTAGAGTGTTTAAATAAGGGTTGAAGTTGCAACCCTTATACAAGTTATTTTTCAAGTATATCAACTCAAAATAATGACAATAGACACTTTATTAAATGCTTTATATAATAGTATAAATACTTTTTTAAAATTCAAAGTTGTTTAATTTTTTATTTAATTTTTAAATAATTAAAAATTTTACACGCACATCGAAAATTTCTTCATATTTAAGTTAACTTTAGGAGACTGTAACTCTTAAACCTGTTATTTAATTTGACTAATTTAAAAAGTATAAAATAAATTGTTTAATTGGGATTCCACCAACATCAAACAAATAATGATAACGTTTATCTAAGATAGTTAAAAAACACTTTAAAGTTAAAGTAATATTGTCTAACTTAAAAAATTTCAATTAATTCAAAAATCTATCAGTAGATTCCCAAAGAGTCACAAATTCATATGCACTTATTTTTTTATTGAAAAACTATTTTGGTATTTTTTTATGAATTTTTAAAAACTAATTTTTATTATTTCAGTATTAAAACGTAAATAAAATTTAAATATTTCCATAGATATTAGCGTATTCTTTAATTTTCTATTGATACCAGTTTTTCAGCCATCAAAAAACACACAAAAACGCGGTAAATATCAATATTTCCAGTTTTAGTAATTTTCCAGACATTCCGGGATTCCGTAGTAAAAACGTAGTAAGAGTTCCTAGAATTTCGTCTGGCTAGAGGAATTTGCGATGGCCGCCGCAAAACTAGGTCAGCGTGGCTGCCACCCTAAATAGTTCCATTTCATTGAATAAATCGGCAATTTCTTGGTTACATTATTGGCAATGCACAAAATGACAAGACCCTAAAAAATAAGTCACTAGATGAAAGTTTGACAGTTTGGCGCGGAAAAATGACAGATGTAAACAAACCACTTTATCTTTTCACTTCACCGAATCTTCCGATTTTTTAATTTATTACTTTGGATGTGAAATTCTGGTAATTATTACTGTGCTTATTAATATAAATTAATAGTGATGCTACCTGGGTTGCTTCAATTTTGGTGCAAATTTCTTATAAACAACTTCCAATTCATTTTTAAGTTTCTAATCATTTTGTTCTTACAATTTTACAGATTTATCACAGACGTTTTAAACAGCACAGCAAGACGTTCATTTATAGATTACAAACATTTCAGTAGAATGAAGCAAATATATAAAGCTGAACAATGTGATAGAGCAATCTGGTAAGTTATTGCACTTATTGATTATAGAACTTATTCTCATTTAATTTGATTTGCAGCATCATGAAACATTAAAACAGTGTTCCATATCATGAACAGCCACTATCAGCTGATTTCCAACTTGGATTTTAATGGTAGAGTAAGAAGAATCTTCAAATATTAACCATTCTGCTACTTCAAGTTGAGGACTGAGATTATATGGGGCACAAAGACATCTTCTACCAAGCTAACAATACATAAATCATCAAGAACAACAGCAGTTTGCCATTTTCTGTAGTGTCAATTATGATGTATCATTAACACATACTTAATTGACTTAACTAAAAGAAACAATTCATTCATTCTTCTCAATTTGTGTATGTAGTTATACATCTTAAGATTGTGTAGATGTGGTATTAATGTTTGATTCAACAGTTACTTTCTGTTAATATGTTTAATTATATGCTTGTGTAGGTTCTGTTGTGTATTGTTTATTTGTTAATTATACACTAGAGTTGTTTCGGCACAAGTTTCGAACAGAGTTTGTATTCGGATCGCAGGATGTATAAAGAGGCGAAAAAGTTTCGGCGTAATTTTATCAAGTTTTAATACCTCTAGCGCCACCTAGTTGCAAAGTATGAAAGCTTCAATTTAGCTTCAAGCTTTTATCTATTTAAATACAGAAGTCTGTAATTTTTGAGTAGAATGATGTTGTGATAGCATACCTTCCCACGAGAGGGCGCTAGTATGTACATTTTTAATTAAATTTTATATTTCTGTTATTAGTCCGTTATCGTTAATATTTTTTTATTAGAATGTTCAATGTTTACATTTCAAATTATTATATTATCAATGTAATCACTTCTAATATAAGAAATAGCTAAAATTTGAATAAGCAATGTGTATACTTTAAACAACCAATAAACAAACAAATATTTCATTGATAACAAAGAGAGCATCTTATTGGATAGACCCCTAGAAGATACAAATATTACCACCTACCTACCCACCAATCTTACCTGGCGAAAATATTTTACCTCCTCACACATTCTGCGATCCGAATATTGAGTATGCTTGAAACCTCTTTCGAATCAAGGTTTGAGTCGCATTTTAATAATTTTCGGAGCGAAATTAATCGAAAAATTGATTTGTGTTATTAGGAGAGCAGAATGTGCAAGGAGGCTGAAATGTTTCAACGGATGTTCGCGTGATTTTAACATTTTTTAAATGAATTTTTGTTGGGTTTCAACACTTTTTAACATTAATTTGTAGATTTTTAATAACATTTTTAGGGCTGCGCAGAAACTTCAAGAGTATCGAGAATACGCAAAAAAACTATAACATAACGCAAGATATAAGCAATGTTTCACAAAGTGTTTTAATAATTTGCCAACCATACCAATGTTTAATAGCATTTTTAGGGCTGATCTGGGCCCTTTCGAGATTTAACTCATATATCATCTGAAAGGTCAATTCTTCTTCTATAAAACAACATAAACCATAATAAAAATAGACTAGTAGATCTCAAGATATAAAGAGTTTTTTTCACATCGGGGGTAAAACTTCCAAATCCTATCAAAGTTTAGTACCAATTTTTGATACGGTCTGAGCTATTGGTAGGGTTCATTCATTCCTTAAATAAAAGTGTTAGTTTTCCTCTATAAAATACAAGCAGCTGCAATAAAGTTGGTCCAGACTGTCAGGAGTTATTAAATAAAACGGCATGTACAGAGAGTAAATGATTTGTTTCAATTGTCAAGAGTACAATTTCAGTGCTTCATTGCATTGTGGCTTGTAAGAACCTTTGAAACTCTTGATAGTTTTGTAAATGTACAGAACACACTGTGGAAAACAGCATATAACTTGCTTTTACTGGCTCAATTTTATTGTAGTTTGCGTCCTTTTATAACAATAGAGTTTCCCTTATATTTAATGTATGAGTCAACCCCTCACAAGGCTCACAATAGCCCTAAAACTGCTATTAAATTTTTAAACTACATTTTTGGAAATTTTCAAAACAGAATGTAGAAAATATACCATGTCCTGCGATACGATTGCTCACTTCTATCGTAATTTATTTCATAGAATAGAATAGGAGGTAATCTTTAATCTGATATATTATTTAACCTCGCAAAGGGCCCAAAACAGCCCCAAAAATAGCTATTAAACTATAGCATATTTTGCAAGTTATCCAAACACGATGTGAAAAACTCTTTATACCTTGCGATTCGTTTGCCCTATTTTATGGTGGTGTATGCATATTATAAAAGAAGAATTGACCTTTCATATGATATATGACTTAACCCTCTGAAGAGCTTAGAACAACTAAAAAAAAAAAACAATAAACTTTGGCATAGTTTGCTAATTTTCAACACACGCTCTGAAAAAACTTCAATATCTCCCGATCTCCTACGTTAATTTTATTGTGCTTTATGTCCCTTTGTATAAGACAAATTGACCTTTTGCATGATATATGCCATATCCCTCTGAAGGGCTCAGAGCAACACTAAAAATGACATTAAACTTTGTTTGCAAATTTTCAAAACACGCTCTAAAAAAGCTTCAATATCTCCCGATTCGCCAAGCCAATTTTATTGTGCTTTATGCCGTTTTGTAGAAGAAGAATTGAGCTTTTGCATGTTATATGACGTAACTCGCTGAAAAGCTCAAAACATCTCTTAAAATTGCATTAAACTTTGGCATAGTTTGCAAATTTTCAAAACACGCGATGAAAAATTCTTAATATCTTGCGAGCTGCTAGCCCAATCTTATTGAATTTTAGGTTTTCTTATGGAAGAAGAGTTGCCCCTTTATTTGATATATCATTTAGCCCCCGCAGAAGCTCAGAATGGCTTTAAATTATTATTAAAAATACTCTATTTTTTGAGAAAAATTGGTAATATTTTGGCGTAATTTTATTAAGTTTTAATACCTCTAGCGCCACCTAGTTGCAAAGTATCAAAGCTTTAATCTAGCTTCAAGCTTTTATCTATTTAAATGTAGAACTCTGCAATTTTTGAGTAGCATGATGTTGTGATAGTATACCTTGCCACAAGAGGGCGCTAGTATGTTCATTTTTAATTAAATTTTATATTTCTGTAATTAGTCCGTTATTGTTAATGTTTCTTTATTAGAATGCTCGATGTTTACATTTCAAATTATTATATCATCAATTTAATCACTTCTAATGTAAGAAATAGCTAAAATTTGAATAAACAATGTGTAGTTTTTAAACAGCCAATAAACAAACAAATATTTCATTGATAACAAAGAAAGCATCTTATTGGATAGACCCCAAGAAGATATAAATATTACTACCTACCTACCCACCAATCTTACCTGCCGAAAATATTTCACCTTCTCACACATTCTGCGATCCGAATATTCAATATGCTTGAAACCTCTTCCGAATCAATTTGAGTCGCATTTTAATAATTTTCGGAGCGAAATAAATCGAGAAAATGATTTTTGATATTAGGAGAGCAGAATGTGCGAGGAGGCTGAAATATTTCAGCGGATGTTCGCGTGATTTCAACATTTATGAAATGAATTTTTGTTAGGTTTCAACACTTTTCAACATTAAATTGTGGATTTTTAATAACATTTTTAGAGCAGTCCAGAAACTTCAAGGGTGTCATATTACATATTAAACGAAGGCACAAATTTAATTCTATAAGAAAACATAAAACACAACTGATTTACCGCGTGATATAAGCTATATACCAATGCTTAATAGCATTTTCAAGCATGTTCTAAGCCCTTTGAGGTGTTAACTCTTAAATTAAATTAGAAGACAACTCTTTTTCTATAAATGTACGTAATCCACGATAAAATTGGTACAGCAGATCGTAAGATATAAGGTTTTTTGCGTAACGTGTTTTGAAAATTTGCAAACCATACAGTTTGATAACATTTTTAGGGCTGTTGTGAACTATTTAGAGGATTAAGTCATATACCATAAGAAAGGTAAATTCTTTTTTTATAAGAAGACATAAACCACAATAAAATTGGGCTACTGAATCGCCAAATATACGGAGTTTTTCGCATCGTGTTTTGAAAACTTGTAAATCAAAAAAAGGAAGGGTCGATTTATCCCTTAAAATTAAAAGGGTAAAGTTTCCTCCCTAAAATACAAAAAGCTGCAATAAAGTAGGTCCAGTCTGTCGGGTGCAATTAAATAAAAACGGCAATTACTGAGAGTAAAAGATTTTATTCATATTTTAATGTGTCAATACAATCACAAATATTTGTAATATTTAATTGCTTAAAATGTCTTCCATTTTCAACAAACGACATTCATACAAAGCACTAACATAACATCAATTTTCTGCTTTATTGTAATACTTTGATAGTCAACCGAAATTCGGTATCACTGTAAACAAACGCAAAACTTTAAAACAAATTTTGCGTTGTTCCTCTGTCAATAAGTACCTGCATACAGATTACAAACATGTTAATAATTACAATAATTACACAATTTCAAACTTTTTTAAGAAAGCTGCCTGGCATTTTGTACAATTACAATCATCATTGAAATTGGCAGTTTTACTAAATCTAACAAATAATGGCAGTCATCAATAATTGCATACGTTCAATACAAAGAAAATATGTACCTCAATTAATTTTCTACACAGTGTAAACATTATATTTGGCAATGATTTAAATGGCACGTATTGTAAAAGACAAGATTATTTCCGCGGAGAATAGAGAGCTGCTTTGTACCAAATGTGTTCCGGATCGTTTGAGTCAACTCATTCTTGCGCTAGAGCGGCGATGTGAGGTAGATGAGGTTTCCTTGGGTGGATTGAATTCACATCATGTGATCTCCACCTTGAGGCCAATGCTGGGATTGAATTTGCATCCGCCACAATTGCCTCCACATAGTCCTGTGATAGTAGTCTATTAAAAACAAAACAAATTAATCAAAATTCTGGGGCCAAACACGCTTTATTCTTACATTTGAAGTTTTGATCAACTTTCTAGGACTCTGCCCGTATGGTATCCAACTTATATCCGAAGAAAATCTAAAGGAAGTTCGGGACAAGTCGATTTTAAACTGTCCCTTAATGCAAGATCGTCCATAATTCCCGAAACAATCAGCTGCGGTGCCCAAAGGTATTTGATCCGAACGTGATCGAGAATGGGTAAAATCATCAGCTAAAATATATAAGATCATTACTAATTGCTACCAAATTAGACTGTTATATACTTACCAATAATTATCATACGATGAATATCGAGTCTAAACTTCCAAAACTTGGTCCTCTGCATACTCGAAGAAGTATCTGCAGGACAACTATGACCATGATATCCATTCCGTGCATAAACCTCAGAAAAGTTAGATTCTCCATCCAGTAAAGTAATAAACTCCTCCGGATTATCTGTGTCCATTTTATAACAATAAATTTTCGCTCGTTTGTTGCCAATTCGCAACCAATAATCGTTATTCCTGCTCTCATTCTTAATCCTTTGAAGTTCTTTACAACTCCTTGCATCTGAACACGATCTATTCCCACATTTCCTTCTCCTTCTAGGTTTGTTCCTTCGTAATTGTGCACATTTCCAATTTGGTACCCTATTATTCCTTCTGTCAACACAATATACTCTTCTAAATTGCTTCTCATCTTTGCATTGCGAGCGACACTTCTGCCAGTCTCCTTTCTTCCATTTGAATGGATCACTACAGTCCATCTCCGAGCAACGTTCTTCAAAGTGTGGCCTTCCAACCAAAGCGCATTTATTGGAATCAGTTGGGATAAAATGTAAATGCGGATAACGTTGTACCATATTGCAAGTGACTTGTCTATGACGAATACCAACTCCACAGGAGACGGAACAAGGTGACCAGTTGCTTTCTAACCAAGCATGAGCGCAATCGTATCTTTTACATACAATAGAAGTCGGTGGTTTTCGTCGTAGATGTTCACACCTCGCATCTGTGAACGTAAAATTTTCGCCATCTGGAGAAGTACCAATGCAGGACACTGTGCGGTTTCTGTAACCAGTACCACAAGCAGTGGAACATTCCGTGGTGCTGTGTTTATGGACAACCCAATGGTAACTCCATTGTCGAGCGTAATCAACTTGATCATAATGCATATCATCTCCTATTAAATTCGATTGATAACTCCTACTCTGCGCGTGTCTTATTTTATTCATATCCATTTTGTGTTGAGGTGGGCAGTGTGTAATATTGCATTTTCTAGTAGTAGGAGGTTTCTCAATCGATAACCCTTCGCAGTATTGATCGTTTTCTGTGTTTTTGTTATCCTTACGTATGCAGAGAACCTGTCGTGTTTGCTCACCTTCACCGCAAGACTTGGAACATTTCCCCCATGGAGATGGTATCCATTCGTAAATACACTGTGGAAGATCACACCTTCTTTTATCTTGTGGTTTGGCACCAAGTTTGGCAGTACAATGCTCTTCAATAATTTTGGTCCCTGTTTCGGTGTCCATGCAAGTGACCAAACGTTTTTGGTAGGTATCTCCACAATCCCCACTGCAATCATTCCAATCACCATGCATCCACATTGGGTCGTAACAAGGTGCTTCCGTGCATTCCTCTACTTCTATTGGTGGACGATGAGGAGCACATAATTGATTAGGCATTACCCGGTTACCTAACATGCATGAGACTTGACGACGTCTTATTCCAGTCCCACAAGTTACAGAACACTAAATAAAACAATATTTAAGGGAATGGTAAAAAAATTGTACTTAAAACTTACAGATGACCAATCGTGGAATAACCATGATGGGCAGATGGTCTCCCCACAAGGTTGTGAAACATGTTTTTCCTGTTGCGCGCAGTAATGATCATCTAGGATCTCACCCTTGTCATTTACGCAAACAGCTCTTCGTTCTTGATGACCACCTCCACAGGATTTAGTACAGAATTCCCATTCGCCATATTGCCATCTAATAGCTTCACAAGCACCTTCACAACGTTCTCTTGTAGGTGGTGCTTTTATACCACGGCAGTGTTGTGGGTCTATGACCCTTTGTTTCTTACTACTTACATCAATTTCAATACATTCATGGGTAAGACTTCTCCAACTAAAATATTATCAATAAATAGTAATTAAGTGTGCTTAAGTTTGCTCCAAGACACTTACCCAGGACCACAATAAGAAGAACACGGTCCTTTCTGCACAACCCTCCATTCAAGTTCACAATGAGTGTTGCATGCTTTAGGTTTATCATTATTCTGATTCTCGCAGTACTGAGGATTAACTTCCACATTCTCCACCAAATCTTTACACTTCCTCAACGGGTACCGATACCCACGACATATTGAATTACAGTCCGTCCATTTATCTTCATAATACTCCCAACTGTAATTGGGAGTGTCCTTACAAGAAATGGTATAAGACCATTCAATATTGGGATAGGTCACGTTTCCCACTTGTAGAACCTCCACCATGATGTCCTTTGTAAGTTTTGCTTTCGGGGGAGTTACAATAGACTCTTCCGAAATGTTACTACCGCTGTATTTAAATGTTAATCCACCATAGATGATATCTTTGGTGTATCCGGATATAACAGAATTACCGTTGAGGTGGTACGCTTTGGGGCCTCTGCCTTCGGGTGGGTCCTTCAATGATAGATAATTCTCATCTGAATCACTATCAGCCAACGCACCCTGTTTGATGATTATATTAGAACTGCCCTTGGGAATCCGAATGACATGATTATAACCGTAGTTGGTTTTGTTGTAGAACCCAACGCTTTTACAACACTCTTTGTTGTTCCCACCACAAACCCCACAATCATCTAGAGTGACATTTGAAGCCAGACGATTATCACAACCTCCCTTCATACACACTCCATTGACGCAAATATCAAAACTGTTCAAACCACATTTGGTACCATCAAGAACCTTATTCTCCAAGAGGTAATAAGATGAAGAAAGGTCAACTCTACAGTACAACTTACAAGCATCTTCAATATCTGTAATAAAGCCATCAAAACAAACCAATTAAAACTACAGAATTCCACTTCAAAAGGTAACTGCTCTTACTGGTACCATATTTGGGAACCCATCGAACATTGTGGTCCAGGCCATGTAGTCCTTTACTGTTCCCATTAAACTGAGCACATTGAGTCTCCCGGAAATCAGGAGTATGTTTTGGGCAACGATGAACATTACAAGATTTATAATGATGGCTTGGTCCCATGCAGTAAGACCCTCCATGAGCTGGCGTAGGATTATTACACTCACGCACAGACATTTGTATCCCACCCCCACAGGGACGCGTACAATTCCCGCGCGGTTCGAACTTTCCCCAACCCCCATGCACAGGTTTGAAGTGATTCTTGGATGTGCATTGACCCTGGAGGCACCACATGTTTCTTCCACATGGGGTACCATCAGCCCATGGCATATATTGAGTTTTACAACCGGAATCACCCGGTTTTGTATCGAATTCATGCGTGCACCAAAGTGAAGAACATTTTGGCTAATAAAAAAAGTCAATCAAAATCATTTCAATAATATACATGCAACCCTACCATGAATGAGCATATTCTTGACCCGGGCCCAAACTCAAGTTCGCATTGCTGATCAGCCTGAAACGCTTCCCCTGGCAGAAGACTATCACGTGGCCTAAGTGGATTATCACGCATATGATCTTCATGTGGCACATCTAAAAGACAACGTGATCTGGGAGAACTGTTTAGGGATAGAGCAAGGAACAATTAGAAAACGCACACCTGACAAAACCACACAAAAGCATAACAAACTAAAATTACTCCTACTACCTATTACTACTACTATTCCTAACTACTTACTTTAGAAACTCAGTGAGATAGTGTTTGGAGCACTGTGACCAATGCCATGGTTGTGTTTCATGGTGCAACGACCTCGCCATGATATAATTCGGAGTGGTACCATTGTAGATCTTGTTACATTTACGATCATCATCATGGGGCATACTAACAATAGAAAAATGTAATATCCGCATGTGGACCATTATTGGGACCTACCTTAAAACATGTCCCAGTTCATGAGCGATCGTAAAAGACGTTGAAAGACCCTTATCACGAACCACTGCACAACTGGAAGACGGATTACACATGGAACCTACTTCGGCCACACCCAGCGTGGTGCACACCTCGACAGAAGCGTTTTTACAAATGACATCACGGGTTAGCAAAAGGGCAACGTCATGTTTTTTATGGCTGTGCTTCGTTTGATATTCGCAAAATTTCCGGAGAATTTCTATAAAAATATTTTTAAAATTTTTCATTAACAAAACTCATTTTGACCGTTTACCTGGACTACTAGGAGCTGTAAAATCTGTATTGTTCAGGATAACAATATCTACGACTACCAAGGAGATAGGGTTACCAACTGTAGCGTCTTTGAACAACAACGCAGCGTGTGACATCAAAGTCAAAATATATCTGGTTAAATCATCTTCGTTTTTATGATATTCAGACATTTTCCGATCTGTAACCACCATGGTAGCAATATAATAAGGTTGGTTCTTTTCGAAATTTGCTTGGTCCTTAGCAGAATTCGCAATCTCGTCTTCGCCATAATGATGGTAATAATACGCATAATCAACCACATCATCTTCATATCCTCCTACAGATCTCGTAGATCTATGAATAAACCTTCGCTTTTTCAAAGGTTTATCCGGTAAAGGTTCAAAATGAACCGGATTGCTAATAACTTCATCATTATCATGCACATCGGATTGATCCTCGGCGTTTCCAACCTCATTTTTCTGCATCTTAGTCAATCGATGCCGAATGGATGTTTTACTGTGTTTAACAGGATCGTATTCCTCATCGGGTGCGATGTGATAATCACCATGTGAGGTTTTGATGTAACCTGTCTTCAAACACACGCAGAACGAAAACAAAATCGAATATTAAACAGAGTTCAAAGAAAGTCAATTCAATATGAGTGTAGGCTATATTTAGTAGTTTTAATTTGTTTATAATCGTATGATCAAAAATAGAAAACGTCCCCACAGGCATCAAACAGTCTAGCATTTGGTGAGTAGTTAAATTTTGCAGAAAGACGTGTCCGAAATGTCAACACTTTGGCGGGGTATCGACGGAAATAAGTCGCGTTAAAAACATGCCGAGAGTAATGAGCCACGAAATATGCAACAAACGTCGATGGAACATACGCAAACAATGGCCGGTCGTAGACATACGAACGTGCTTAATGATTCGTTAAGCCTGACAAAACACCAACGGAAATAACCGATAAGAAGATTATTCATTTGTTGCAGTTTTCAATTTTAAACAGAAATGTTTTTGAATTTTTTCAATAGCGTTCAAACTTTATGAGTAATTTAGGTTTAAAGTATTGTAATGTTGTGTTGTAGTGCGCACGCGCGGAGAGCTTAGTAACATGGGCGTGGCTCCCAAAACGTTAAATTATTATATCAACTAAACTGTACATGATAACAAAAAAATATAAAAAGATTCATTTTAATTTAAATTGCTTCTAATTATTGCATTAGTGCGGAACCTAGTTTCTATTAAAACAAAAAATCTATTTCTATTGCTGCCTCTTACCCGTCCTACTATCCAACATATCCAAACAAGTTCTTCTGATGTTCAAGAAAACATAACTGACCGCGTCTGCTCCGAAATCGATTTAGACTTAAGCCGTGAGTCTGCTTTTAAGTCGCTTACAGTTCATTCAAGATTAACGATTCGACGAGATGCACGTGCGCGTGTTTTATTTCTTTATAATGGAACCAATGAACCAATAAACCCCACCATGAAGACAAGAAGAAAAACACAACTACACAACCCACCATACACATATAAATTACACTATACGATTACTATAAACTATAAACCTAGAAAAAAAATTACGTTCATCGCGATGAAGTAATAGGTGCGAGGCTGCGGCTGTTTAAAAAGCCATAAAAACGAGATAAAACACGAAAGCTCGAATTGGGTTCAATCAGCATATGACGGAATCGACGCCGGACCATTTTAATGGATGATTAGACGCGATCATTGAGTAATGAAAGTAGTAAAAAAGTTTTAAACTCGGTGCAATAAAAACTCGAATAAAATAGGGCAAACGCACACATAAAAAATATCATAAACAATAGTAAAATAAAGGAAAAAATCTACTACCGAAATGATTTTGAATTTTTTAAATATCTTTTATAGTTTTCGAGTAATTTAAATTTAAAGTTTATAATATACGCATACGCATGTGTAGAACGCAACCAGTTATACTAACCTATAAAAATAAAAACTTTCAACTTGAATATCTCCCAAACAAAGCGCGATATTAAAAAACTTCTTTAACATTTTCATTCAAGAATTTAACGCTTAATCCATTAAAAAATGATTTCCTGAACACGTGCAAAAAGATAATCTTAAAGTTTAACTCTGCAGTAAATGTTAACGTGATTTACGGTCCATTGAAACGAGTTGCAACATCCTTATTTCTAACACTAAAAAATATCACCAATCACACAAAGTTCTAGGCAAATTGTTATTACCATGATTGTTAAACGCACAAAGACGCATTATCCATTCAAACACTACGAAACACACGCATATTCATTATATTTTACGCTTTTACTTCGTTCTTCATTATGATTTCGTAAGATTTCATTTAACGAGCCGCTTCAGAATTATGATGCGTGTTTGTACGCGCAATTTTTCATCGCAATTAAGTACGCATTAGATTCACGTTGAATATGTATACAAAATACGTAATTGAAATGATGATTTATGCGTGTGAGGAAATAATGAAGCAATAAATAATTTATCAAATGCAAAACGCGCATAATCAGGAAATCTTGATGAAATTAAATTTATCTGTTCGGATTTTCTCTTTTTTGATTCTTGGCACACCTAATAAAACAGCTCAAAATCTAATAATATAAATTATTATATTATACCTTCATTTTTTCCTGTTTTTCTTGCTGCTATTGCCAAAAATAAAAAATATAAATTCAAGACAGCTTTATTAATACTATTTTTTCGTGAGTATGAATTCCGAAGAGTATAAAAGATAATAAATGACTGCCATTAATTTAATTTTATGCTCGTTGCATATCTTGGAATATTTAAATGTTTTCTTTCACTGCTGCGTATCACTTCGTCTGCTGTGCATCTTTAAATAATTTTTTTTTGTCATAAAACCAACGCACAATAAATCTGTTCACAAAGCACGCCAATAAAGTTGTAAGGAATGTCCATGACGGCAATAAACAAACGTTTATACGTTTCAAACTGTTTGTCGTGTTGAATTTCTTAGATATGTGAGTTTTCGGTACTTTCCGGTGTTCCAGTTTTATATTTATCGACAACCTATATTTTATAGGTCGTTACATTACGCTAATAGACTTTAAAGGGCAAAAAATGCTCCCGGATAATATTTTTAGATTTAGATTATGTGTTAGGTTATACGTTTAGGTGATAGTTTGCAGTTGTGAGAATGTGTGAATATTAATAAATTTTTATGTAGTTCGAAACTGTGTTACCAGTCACCCACCTACCATGCCGTTGCATAAGGAAACGCCAACATGCGAAATGAGCTCGCCGCGCACCGTCCCGGTGTAGTAACATGCTGGATTCTTGTCGTCGTGTTTCCTGCTGATGTTGTTGCTCACAGAAACTATCTGCAAGCAAAACAAGCAACATAAATTAACACACAACAAAAATTCAATCAAAACAATCCATAATTTAATTCATCATTGAAATAATTATTAATATTTATACAAATCAACAACATTTTATGATAATTTTATTAATTTTAAACAGAAAAATGTCTTTTATAGTTTTTTGATATCTCTTATACTTTGCCAGATATTAAGCTTTGAAGTTTCAGGAGCCACGCCCCGAACATGTAAACAGTAAAACTAACCAAACTTCAAACTCATTTTCCATCCGTACTAATAAAGATATCAAAAAAATTTAAAAACAATTTGATTAACATTTTACTCACCCTTAAATGTGGAGGTCTAAAATTCATATCCTGCGTCAATTCCAATACAATCTTTTTATTGGTCGCGTTAATCTCGTACTTAGGATGCGGATCAAAAACTTCGGCAGTGTTATCTCGAAAATGCCCGGAATGGACAACGTTCGTATTCGCTAGTTCTTCGACGTTCTCGTTGACACTGACAGTGTCACCGCTTCTTATCTCATCGTAAATCTTATCATACACGTGCAGCGGGGGTGAATTTTTTAATGGCGTAACATATTCCATGTTAGAATCGTTTGTGTTAACTGGATTTATAATTGTAGGTGTAGTTTTGGCTGATAGAGTGTTTTTTGTGTAGTCGATGGAGACAGTTGATGCTATAGATGGCGTTGGTGTTTCTGAAGCTGGACTATCACCAGGATAATCTGAAAAGAAGAAAAAAATAATTAATTTTTGTTTTTTAAATTTTTTTGTTATCTTTTTTCGTTTTGGTGTAATTTAAGTTTTAAGTTGATATGGGAATTTAACATAGGGTTGTGCGACGCATGCGCATTGTGATGCAAGGGCGTGGCTCCCTAAACTTTAACTCAAGTTTACACAAAAACTAACAAAGATATAAAAAAAGTATAAAAAGATTTTTGTAATAAAATTAAACGATTTTTCCGAAACAATTTAAAAAAACATAAATAATTCAAGGATTGTGTAATGTGATAAATGTAATTTGCATAAAACAAGCAATACTAATTACACATAAGTAATTATTTCTGCGTAATAGCATACATTTCGATTAATTGCATTTTAATTGTCGCATCGAGATTCATTCGCACGCTTCATAAAACATTAAAACACTACAATTAAAACATCAGAGCGTAAGTGATTGTCGTATACTTTTATAATTTAACACGCGAGAGGAAAAAGTTAATTGTCGACGCGTCGGAAAATGTTTATCGTTTACAGTTATAAATAACAATTTTACTATACAACCAACAAGTGTATGTGTAGTTCTTTTTTTGGTCGAGGCTAGCCGACATAAATCTAAAATTTTACGAGTGTTTAAGTTTAAATAAACACTCGGCACTGACGATTTTATTCGCATTGTAGAATTTCCTATCGCGAATATTATGCATACTCGTAGTGAACCGAGGCGTGACAAATAAATGCGCCTAAAAGAGCGTGAAATGCTCGTGAAACCAGCGCCAGCGAACAATAAAGACATCAATCAGCCATGGATTATCCTTGAGAATATGCCACGACCACAACAAATTGCAATTGTTATTGCTTACAACAAATACAGCTAAAAACTAAATACTTCTATAAATAAATTCTAATTACTGTTGCATTGCAATTTGTTGCAACAGTAATTTAAATGTCAAAATCAAAGAAAAAACATGTTTTGAGTTATCCTTAAAAGTAAACAAGGAAATTGACTAATTTGTGTCTAATTTTATATTTTAAAAAATAAATTAAGTGATCTGTCACTTATTTTGCACTGCAGTTGAAACGACTTTTTACTCCAAATATGGAAACAAGGAAGCTGCAATAATGCAACATAAATTATTCACTTTTATGACTCCATATTCTAGGAAGATAACATCTGACAAGTCAACTTAAGACGTTCAAAACGAAATTGATGATATCATAAATTTCAATGTCGTGCGCATTTAAATATATTGAGAAATTGTTGTTAAAAAAATTACGTGCATATGAAACCTAATATTCTCATTAATGTTATTAATGTTTATAGTAAACGCTATAAATAGTCGTCCAACGCCTTGTGCGTGCTTCTATTTTGTAACACACACGCCTTGGTTCCCTAATCGAGCGGAATAATTTTAATTCCACTGATGACGACTTTTTAAATTGATGATCAACGTTTCGCACGTTTCGTACTTGAAACAAAAATTATTCATAATTATAATTACGTGTAATAGTAAAAAAGCATTTAAACCTTTTAAGTTTAAGTTTTAAATGATTTATTATCGTTGAAATTTTTTTGATAGCTTGAATGGTTCACGAGTTATTTGAGTTTAAAGTTTATTGAACCACGCCTACGGCTGTCAAAAGATGCGGGTGAGTGGCTGAGTGGTTAACGCACGCGCGTAAGTGAAAGGGCGTGGCTCCCTAAACTTTAAACTCGAATTACATAAAAACTATTGGAGATAATTAAAAAATTCAAACTGATTTTAGATAATAAATCTAAAAACTATAAAAGTATTGAATTTATGTTGTAGTATATCATTGCAATCGTCGCGATTTAATCAAAAGTTGACAGGCGTGCAGCCCACTGTAATATTTCAATTAATTTGCTTTCGCGCGAACACCCAATTGACCTCTGGTGCGCGCGCTGTTTTGACTCATGGCATAATAACAATTCCGTCTTCTTAATCGATTAATACGCTTTGTGAGCAATATTTGGATTGTCAGATTGACACCACTCTCAAGACCCAGCGCAACACTCGCAATGGAATATGAGATCAAGGCAAAAATAGTCTAACCATACAAATGGCGAATCTAAATTTGCAATTTCATACAGAACACATGCATATTATTAATTTGTGCTTGGCGACTAATTTATGCAATTATCAAAAGCAGGCGTTTAATTTTAATTGAAATATCTGCGCGCGCGGAATGAATGTTATCACAAGAATAACAAAACATTAAAAAATGTTGAAATCTATGAATGAACAACATGAATGAAATAAACAAGCATTTTATTCATTCATAATATATTTATTTATTGCATCACACATTTACGGTAACTAATTTTTCGAATTACCCATAATTAGACAGCGATTAGTTCGTTTGCATTTGCATAAAATCCAATTTTATCCGGAGGCTAATTTTATTTTTAATCGCGTGATCTTTGAAATTTGTTATGACAAGCGATTACCGAGCCGAAAACTAAGCCTGCAAGATGCTAGATGTTGAAACAAATAAAATGTTGGAAAAAATCGATTCGATGAGTTCGAAACGAAACGGTTACAAGGACGCTATGATCGAGAGACTGCGTACGTATTCGCATTCGCATAAATAAATAAATGTCTATGTTTACTATCTTTTGCTAGGATACAACTCAGCTACCGTTTTTAACTTATAAATTTACAAAGAAAAATTAATTTTTTTGAATTTTTAAGATAACTTTAATAGTTTTTGAGTTATTTAGTTTTTAAGTTTTTGGTGCCACGCCCCTTAAGCGTGATGCGCATGCGTAGTAGCACAAAACACTACAAAATACTTTAAACTTGATTTATAGCTAAACTAATAAAGATAATTAAAAAATGTAAAATATAAAATGTTCTGCTTTAATGTGCAATATTGACTCATACAAATGTTTATTTAATTTCGTCTGCGTTGCAACTGCAGCCAAATATTTCGTTACAAGTTAATATGTATATCAAATTTTTATGCACGCCCAAAACTCATATACAGTGCATTAAAAATGCATTTAAAAAATCGTAAAAAATACTTGGCGAATATAACAATATTTTTTTACAACTTAACTTAATTTACTTAACTTAAGTCAACATCACTTAATTTTAATTAAACACGACGTGGTGAAAATAAATTTGATACATTAATGTGTTTCTCGTGTATTAATGCCACAGACAGTGCAGAATAAAAAAGGGAACGACCTTTTACACGAATATCAAATTCGCTCGTATGATTCGGATTCATCACGTTCAAGGACCTTCATGGGTGTCCACTTGATAACGCAGGCAATGAATATGCATGATGGAATGCACTGTTTATTTAAATTTATTGAGTTCTGCAATGTATAGTGAGAAATGATTAATTTTTTGAGCTTTGAGCGAACTTTTTCGATTTTTTCGAGTGATGCGTTGATTTATTAACGACTCAAGCGCGAAATTAGCAGGAAAAAATCAACAGCTTTTCTATCCTTGAGAGTGAAACCAGCCGTAAATATTTATCCGATGGTGTTAAAAACTATAAAAATATTCACACACCAAAAAACTAATTAAAACAAAATTATTTTTAAAATTTTCTTCTTTTTTGTAAATTTTACGTTTTTGGATTAAAAATTTGATGCAATTGATAATAAATAATTTAAAAAAATTAAATTTAGATATTTTTAGAGATTTTTAAAATGTTTCAAGTGATGATGGGTTCTAGTAAGTAAAAATCCTTGAGGAAATTTTTGCAGACGTGTTACTTACGTAAGAATAACACAGATTGGACTTTAACAGACTTTGTTTATCATCAAAGCTTTCAATGTCGAATGGTAATATTTTATTTCTAAAGAAGTAGGTCGGAAAAAACAGAAGCGATAATCTCGCGGTTTTCATGCGGGGCTAACCTTGAAATTTGAGAAAACTCTGCGAAAAATCAGCGCAGTCAAAACATGAGATTAACTTTTTAACTTTGAACATATTTTAGCAAAATAAACATAGATTTACTCAATGTTTTTTCTTTATATAATATTTTTCAAGAAAAAACCTCTTAATTTAAAAAAGTAAGGTTAAGTCAAAGGGGCGTGGCTCCCAAATTTTAAAACTCAAATAAAACAAAAACTATTGTAGTTATTTCAACAAAACAAAAAGATATAGTCTTAAAATAAATTAAGCTCGGAATGCATCGACGAAGTTCTTGTGTGCTGTGCATTTGTTATACATAAATAACAAAAGTAATCGGGCATTTCAAGTATCGCATTGCGAGCATTGTGTGTGCATTCGTACAACTCGGACACAAGTAATATTTTTAGGCTAGCCAGCAACGGCCGCAACAAGATATTATTAGAATGCGATCGCCGGCATTGCGACAATTTTGCAAAAGTTAAAAGACGTTTTGTTATACAGACAAACAACAAAATGACTGAATTTTGTAAAAATTATTGTAAATTTATTTCCTTCAATTAATTATTCTTTTCTATTTATTTCTCGGAATCTATTTTAAGCACGTTTCAAAATGACACCGGAAAACGTTTATTTTTGAATTTTTTATAACATTAATATCATTTTTAAACCGCACGAATTATTTTTATAAATTCTGTAGAATTATAGAAATTCCAGTTTAACTAAAAACAGATTAAAATATAAACCCAAATGATGATGCATAATGGTGCTACTAATAATCTGAATATTTTTGCATCTGTTAATGATGCATCACATGGAATGCATAAAATAATAAACAATTTCCTGGAATTTGCACATTTTGGAAATTCCGATTTGAACCATGTTTGTTTTCATAAAAATCCAAATTTCCCACATTCACGCATTTCGATGAAGGTTTTATCATCCTTTTACTTAATTTTATTTCCAGCGCACATAAAATAAACAATTTAGCAATAAATCATGTTTAGGTTTAGTATTGTCTATCGGCAAAACAATATGATAATAACTCATATTACACGAAACAATTGCATACCTACCTATTAGAAAGGTAATTGAATCTTGCGCTACTGTTATTTAAACAATAAAAACATCTTGAGTTTCAGAAATAAAATTTGTTTACAGATTTGATTTATCTCTAATAGTTTTTGAGTTATTTCTATTTAAAGTTTTTTATGCTCCTCCCTCGTATACATATACGCATGCGTTGCATTCAGCAATATCACTCCCCGTGGCGCTGCAACCACACTCACACAACCAATCAGATAAACCAAAACTTTGAATTCAATTTACACCGAAACCGTACAAGATATCAACAAAATTCAAAAAGTTTATTTGCTTCGCATTTCCGTATTCCAGTATTCCACACGCAATTGTTTATTAACTTAAGTCAAAGCGCATGCTTGCCTTAACTTAAGTAAAGTGTGTTACTTACTTAGCAAAGTAAACATGTGAATCAATCTTCCGATTGATCAATCTATCAATGACGAAGAGAAAAAAACTTAAGCCGACTTAACTGTAGCTTTACTTATTGAAGGTACTGAGTAACTTTGGATAAGGTTTGTGTGTGATATGGTTTGGTGGCGTGTTGTGAGGCTAATCGTGAATTTATTCACAGTGTGTCATTCACCTTACTTACAGTCTGTGAAACTGGCTTAACTTAAGCTGTGAACAAGCAAATGCGCGCGCACGAATACATAAAATATAAAATCTTGTATGAATCGAGAATCCAATCAATGCAAAACGCTATTTTTATATTTAAGTCAAATTGACTTAACTTAAGTCAACTTATCTGTCAATGTCATTAATTCATCCTAATCACTGAAATAATTACATAAACGTTAATGTTTTTAATGTTCGCATTCATGATTGTGATTGTGATTGGGATGCGCGCGCATTCTCGACAATTTATTTATATAACATTATAATTACAACAGCAGACGACGCGAAATTAAACGCTTCTCTCACTCTTTCTCATCATTTTTTTCGTTTTAGATTTTAGTGAACGAGAGTTCAAGTCGACGACCTTAGTTAACCATACGCAGAAACGAATCTTTCAGACATGCTAATATTAATAAATTAATGAGATAATAATTGGCGATTAACAATTTCGGTTTCAGATTAGTTTGTTAATTTAGTTGTTTATTTTTTTAAACTTTATATTTCAGTAATAAAACTTCGCTTCGTTTGATGTTTGTCGTTGGCGGTCGTAAATTTTATACATCGCGCTAAATATGACTTAAGTAAGTGTTGTACACATAATACTTTTTCGCCCACATTGCTTAAACATTAGTTTTGAGTTAAAATTACTGTTTGAAGAAAAGTTCGCATATGACGTAGGGAATATATGAATGCTAAATATAAGATTTTCTTTTCCTAGCGACGTCTGCGTCGCGACGCATTCGACGCTTGAATTAAATAAAAATCACGCCCGCGCAATGTTTATTTTTAATAAGTTAACTTAATCCGAATTCATATTACTACATTATACTAGGTTATACTAAGTAAATTTGATCAAAATGAAGTCATTTCAGTTAAGCTATTGGCGCATGCGCAATTTAAAACTTGGATGACTCAAAAAATTAAAGAAAACAGAAAATTTTCACAAAAAAAAAACATTTTATGGTAATTAAGCGATACTAAATCAATCAAAAATATAAATATTTTTATTTAAGTCATTCGCGCATGCGTAGTTAATAAATGGGCGTGGCTCCCATAACTTTAAACACGAATAACTCAAAAACTATAAGAAATATTGAAAATTTTCAAAAAGACAACATATTACACTTATTAAACTAAGTAATTTTAAATGAAAAATATGTAATTAAATTTAAGTTATTCGCGCATGCGTAATTTATAAATAGACATGGCTACTATAACTTAAAACTCGAATACCTCAAAAACTACGAGCAATAATTCAAATTTTCAAAAAGCAAACTTTTTAAGACTAAATAAACTCAATCAAAAGCAAAGTATTTTAATTTAAGCTATTCACGCATGCGCATTATAGAAATAGGCGTGGTTTCCATACCTTTAAACTCGAATAACTCCAAGACTATAACTAATTTTTCAATTTTTCAAAAAGCAAACATTTTATGATTATTAAATAGATAATTTTAGAGGAATGAATACGCGTACACCAAGACCCACCAAAAAATCGTTGACCTTGCGAATTGAGTTAAAAATAGCGCGCCAAAATTATTCCGAGATATTCTACACTCAACACCAACCAACGCCATGACTATTCATACTCAAACACACAAAAATATATCATTTTTCGTGACTTAAGTACATCCAACACACATTTCCGTATCAAAATCCTCATCAAAAAAAAATTCTCCAATTATAACGGTTTGTGAATGTCTACCTGAGTGCAACTTTTGACTTGTTCGTCAAAAGTCAAGAAAAAAAAAACAAAGAAGTTAGTGGATGAACTTAAGTCACCTGAGCTGGTGGCATGAGACACAAGAAGCTCGACCACTGGCCGCGCACAAAGTGGAATTTTACCTGAGGGCAGAGACGCGTCTTGGAACGCAGCGGTCGTCGGCGCGAAGAAGCCCACGCTCGATGAGCCGGTCCCAGATCTTTTGTTCTCTTCATCTCCACTGCCAAGCGTAGTAGTAACCTGATGTAGTGTTGTTGCATTAATCACCTCGGTCTCCATGCTCACATTTCCGGATTTATTTGCGAGTAAAACAAAACCCACCCCTATCAACGCGAGTACAACAAGACACGCCAACACACAATACCATCCCGCGCATTTTCCGAGTCGATTTTCACGCGTTGTCAAACGTTTTTCATTCTTTTGATTGCGTTCGTCTAAATTGAACGTGAACGCATCCAGATCTAAATGTTTCTTACGTTCACAAAGTTTACAGGTTTTCGTCTCATTGAAATTCACTACGCTCGAACATCTCGTACACTTTTTTAACATATTCACATCGCATGTGTCATCTACGGTTGAATTTAATGTTGTGGTTGTTGTTACTGCCGGTGTACCGATTGTACTCATCATTGCTGAATTGACATCGTAGGTGGTTTTGAATCCGCACAGTTTTAAGCGTCGTTTCTTTGTGTAAAATTGTTTCTTAGGCTTGCCTTGCTTGCCCATCATCATGAGAGTGTATTCGGGATCGTCGAATTTATCATAAGACAATGCATACGCCATTATTATAGGTATAATATTAATAATATTGTTTATAATTTTATAAGGGTAATATTCATGGCAGTTATTTGATGGCAGCTTGTTTAAAAGTTGATTGAAGACATGGAGAACATTGAGAACGCCAGGTGAATGTTAAATCTGTAAATAAATCATATTAATTAATAATTAATTAATTATTTAATTGATGTTAGAGTGTTAGTATGTACCTATCAAATTAATTGTGCTTAATTGTTGTTTTTTAATGCGAATACAGAAGAAAATTTTTGCTTACGCGCGATTCTTGGTATGTAATGAACTCTTACGATTTCTTACTAATTACGCTTCGTAATTAATGCATCATTGACAAAAAACCCGAACATGTGATAATTACAGAGTGATGCGTAAATTATCAAAGTTTTTGCGCGGTTTTTAATGATAACTTTTAAACCAATTATGATAGAATCATTATTTTTTCTGTGTATTGGTAAGTATTTAATTCTACATCTGATAATGATTTCATTTACCAAATTTAATTGTTAGATTGGTAGTGATATATAAATTTTGTTAAATTATTTAAAAAATTACTTTCTTTACCTTGTATATATAAGTTTTTCTAAATTAATCTATGCATAATTATAGGTAGAAATTAACACATAATGAATTTGTCAATGAATTATTATTCTATCATATTTAATTTATGAATAATTAAAAAATTCAAGAGAAATTAGAATTTTGTCCGAATTCAACGAAAAAAACATGTTTCAATGGTGTAAATAATTTATAACTCAAACGTTTAATGTCCTCAAATAAAAATTCTTTAAAATATCAATACTGAATTAAATTCTGCATCAACCTTTATATAGATTTGATTAATTAGAATATTAGATTATTGATGATTTATATTTCTTTATGTAATTGTAAAAAATGACTAATTTTTTAATAACTAGTTTAATAATTATATTTTTAGATAAATGTTGATAAAAGTAAACGTAGAATTTAATACAGAATCGATCAATAAAAAAGTATTCTTCTATCTTATATGGTGTATGATTAATTAATTAAAAATTGCAAAAAATAAACTTTTTCCTAAATTTCTCAAAAAACACAAAATATTATCAAAGAAAGTAACGAATAACTCCTATAATTAATGACTTAGAATTAAATTCTTTTAGGAATCAACTCTCCAATATATTTTGCATATAACCAATAAATTTTATGTTAATTAAATAATTATTCAAGAAGTTATCAACTAATAACTTGGTCTTTCAATAATTTTTGTGAACAAAGTAATAATTTTCTTAGAAAACTCTGTATATTATGATTTCCAACCATTATACGATCAGAATTTAAAACAGAATCAATTCTCAAAACAACAACTACAAAAACACGCCACACTACGAAATAAATAATCAATAACAACAAACATTGATAGGTTATAAACGAAACACGTGTAAATTAAACTTAAACGCGCATCTTCAACAAACTTCTAATTAAATTAGCGTAAATTACCCAATCAGTAACACATTTCAAAGCTAACAATTCAATTAAAAGCTAAAATAAAGAAAACAACAAATGCAAATCTTACTTTTCAGTTCTAACATCAATTTCGATTCATTCCTCAATTCATTCTTCGATTTGTAATCCGTGAATTCGTTCGTTTTATTTATACTTCTAGACTTCGAAATCAAGTAAACCCGTTGATGATCCAAAGAGCCGCCGAAAATTTACTAATCTTTGAATTTATCGTAATAACTTCTTCGATTCCTCTGTGTATCTTATTTAAACTTTCCGCGAGATCCGTGTTCACGCGCGCCACGCTCGAAAAATTGAGATTCACGCACGTATACACTTATTAAATTTAAATTTAATTATTCGAAGTACTTTTTACGGAAAAAGTACGAAAGTTTGTGGATCGCACGCCGGTTGAAGTCGCACGCGTTTATATCTCGCGAGCGATCGACAACCGCCGACGTCGACACGCGATAAAAGACTCACAATTCGTTTCAACTCTACTACATCAGTGAGTTTAAAAGTCGCCAGGATATCCCCGCCAACGGGTACAGCTGGGTACTGGCGCTAAGCAGGAGTTTGAGAGTTGGCGCAACTTACTTATATTAAGTTTACTTAACTTTTAAAAAGTTTTAAAACTGTAAAAAATGGGCTATTGACAAAATAAAACATTACATGTACCTAATAACTATTTTTTCTTTTCATTTTGTGTGTACAATTGACTTGAAAATGGTTTTTAGTCAAAAATTTCTCATTTTACCATTTTTGACAGTTTTTCTATGATATATATATGATACGGTCCCCTTTTATGTCAATTATACTTCCTAGATATAGGAATTCCTTGACCTCTTCTATTTCCGTATTATCTATTTGGAGTTTTAAGGTGTTGTTTGTATTTATACGCATTTCTTTTGTTTTGGCAATATTTATTCTTAGGCCAATTTTACTTGCCTCCCTTGCTAATGTTGTTAGCTGTCGGCTCACGCCTTCGAACGTATGTGACATCAGGCAGATGTCGTCGGCGTAATCCAGGTCGCTGAGGTGCGAGGTTAGTGTCCAGCGCAACCCATCCCTGTTCTGGTCTACCTTTGCTAGTATGTAGTCTAAGGCGATGTTAAATAGTAATGGGGATATGACACATCCTTGTTTTACTCCTCTGTGTATCGTAAAACTTTCGCTTTTTCACCGTTGTGTAACACACTGCAGTTTGCATCAGTGTAGAGTTCTTGCAGGATGCTTATTATCTTTGTTGGTACACCTCGCGACTTAAGGATCCTCCATAAAGCGTCGTGGTTCAGGCTGTCGAATGCTTTCTCAAAGTCGATGAAGGCGATGAATAGTGGTGATCGCCATTCTACTGATTGCTCGATAATTATACGAAGGGTATTGATATGATCGATGCATGAGCGATTCGGCCGAAAACCTGCTTGGTTCGGGCGCAGGGTGTTTTCTATAGTTTCCGCTAATCTTGTTTGGACGATTTTCGCGATAATCTTATTAATTGTGTTTAATAGCGTTATGCCACGCCAGTTGTTACACTCGGTCAAGTTACCTTTTTTGGGAAGCTTGATGATTAGCCCTTCTTTCCACTTGGTCGGAATCTTGTTGTTGTTCCATGCTTCCTTAATACAGTGGTATAGTTCATTTGCCATCCATGTGGCGTTTACTTTTAGTAGTTCCGCTGGAACGTTATCAGCTCCTGCTGCTTTGTTGTTCTTAAGCGTCTTTATAGCTGCAGTTATCTCCGCGACTGAAGGCGGGTTCGAGTCAATGTTCAGTTGTCTACCTGGGTTATTCTCTGGCTCCCAGTTAATTGTTTCGTTTGCGCTGAGCATGTCGGAGAAATGTTCCCTCCATCTTTCGAGCTGCTTGTCTGACTCAACTAACAGGCGGCCGTTTTTTGACTTAATGAAGTGTGTGCGTGTAGAGTACTTATTGGCCAGTTTCTTTGTGAGGTTGTAAAGTTCTCTCGAGTTGTTGTTGAGCATTGCTTCTTCTGCTTGTCTGCAAATATCATCTATCCACCTGCGTTTGTCTCTTCTGGCTTCCTTTTGACCTTTTGGCAAAGGCCTGTGTACTCTACCTGTGCCGCTGCCCTATATTCTTGCGAAAGATTTTGGAGTAGCAGGTGTTTTCCTCTTTCGGTCTTCTATCAGCAACCACGTGTTTTCGCTGATCCATTCTTTCCTTTGCCTGCTTTTCACTCCAATTGTTGTTTTGGCGACTTCAATGATGTTGTCGGCCATATTTTCCCATTTTGTGCTGATTTTTGGTTTATTGTCTCTTGCATTTTTTCCTTGAAGGATTTTGCTATTTGTGGAATGCGTAGCTTCTCTATATTTAGTTTTATTCGTTTCATATCGGCTGGTTGCTTGGGTACTGCTAGTTTTATTCTCAATGTGCCAACTATTAGGTGGTGGTCACTGGCTACATCAGCACCTCTCTTGTTCCTCACATCGAGTAATGACGATCTCCATTTCCTAGAGATTGTGATATGATCGATTTGGTTGTGGGTTTTGTCTGGCGAGACCCACGTTGTCTTGTGAATCTGTTTGTGGGGAACAGCGTACCCTATTACCAGGTTCGCGTTGGAGCAGAACTGTGTGAAGTATGTGCCGTTTTCGTTAATCTGCCCAACGCCGTTTTTCCCATAATTTCTTCCAAATTCTCGTTTTGAGCGCCTACTTTCGCATTAAGGTCGCCCATGAGAATTTTATGTCACCGCTGTTTACGTCTTTTATAGTTTTCTCGAGGATGTCATAGAATTCATCTTTATCCTCTTTAGAAGCGTTATTGAATTTGGAGCTCTCGTTAACGTCTTCCAGCAGCCGAAACGTGATAAAAATCCGTCCGGGTTTGCTTAACTATTAAATGTAGAAATTTGAAATTTTCGTAGATTATCCTGTTTTAAATTCTCTTTCTAAAAATATATCTTTCAACATTCTATAACATTTATATCCTTTGTTATAACGCAGCGAAATTCCCTTTCTAAAACTAAAAATTCCACACTACATAAGACAACTTTTTAAACATGAAAACCAATCTACATTACTTATCTAAATATTATTCATAATTAGCAATTACAATACACAGCCTAGGAATAGTTAAAGATCTAAAGCCACTTTCAAACACTCAATTTACATGAATTAAATAAAGTGTGTTTAAACAGTGTCACAATTCGTTGCCGTTTTGGGAATGTAAAAATTACCCATTTCGTCACCATAAACATTTGCAAAGTCTGCTGATAACAGAGTGAGTTGCAAATGCACTGCTTGTTTGTGCAACTTGTCAAACCGATAATTAACGGCTGTTAATTAATCAACAACCAGCGCGCCGAGTTTTATTATAACAATTTATAGAATTGATATTAATTGCAAACGCGCGACATCAACCCGACCCGCGATCAATAAACCTTTATAATCAATTACATGGAATTAACAAGCATTCAGGACCAATACGAAAGATTACAATAAGTCTACACATTCTACATTCAACTACACACAATAAAGTGCATTGAGCATGCATTAAACTCAATTAATTAATCAACAAACCAACTACTTATTAGAACAACCAAAACATTGCCAAATATAAATTGTGATGTGCATGTGCCGGCTGGAAATCAATAACGTTAATAAACACAAACCTTATTAATAGTTGATTGTTGTTTCTCAACTTCCTGTGTTTATGTATTCTTGTTTTTGTCGTGTTAGGCGGAGGATTTGTTAGGGTTCAAAAGTATTTTTAGAAAAGGAAGCAGTCGTTAAACACGCCTGACCTGGAGATTATTACTTCCTATTATGTGGAAGTACGCAAAAGTGGCTTACCCCCACCACTTTTTGCGGGTTGCAGAGGTAAAAAAGGACAGCCCGCAGTGGACCAAGTGTTCAGTCATTTCCATGCCTTCCAGTAATCATTTAAAAGGCCCCAGGTTCTTCTGTTTTTTGATTTTCTTGACTACTTGTCAAATATTTTTGTATAAATTGACGATTGATAGATAGATTACTATATAATTATGGTTTACATTTGTATATAATTCTCTTTGCTATAAAATATCCTTCGCTCTTCAACACTTCAACGTAATTATGTATAATATACTTCCGACGATGTTTAAAAAAAGCTATGAATTTAATAAAACGAAAAAATCAACGAAATTCTTTACTGGGCGTTGATATTCCGTGCGCCTCCTCGTAGTCATCGTCGGTCTTCACCAGGGTATCAAACTCCATCTTCAACTTACCCACTTACAACAAAGAAACAAACAAACAACAGTTATTATTAAATAAATACTGTAAAAGTGTTGTAATTGTTTGCTTTCAGAGTAATGTGTGTCACTGTGTAATGGCGGTGGTAGTGTACCATGTATTAAATTTATTAGTACCAGACGCAACCCGCTAGGTGCGCTAGTGTCGTTTGCATTAAAACACACAGCGCTAGCGTCGGTGGCGTACCAGTAAACTAACAAATAGTGTAATCTACGTGTTACTAATGTGATTTACCATTTTTTGAATGCGACTTCGTGTTTTCTTTATCGCCTTCTTTCCTCTTGGACTTTTTCGTCTTTTTCTTAGACTTATCTTTACCGGCATCTGCAGTTCCATCACCAGCATGCCGATGTTTCCTCTTCTCCTTCTCATCTTTATCTTTTTTGGAATGCTTCTTCTTTTTCTTCTCTTGAACCTCATTATCACCTACTAAAATCTCATCTTGAACTTTCACATGACTGCTATCATCTTGTTGATTCTGTTCGACTTCATCAACAAGCAGCAAATCATTAATTATTAGATCCTCAGCCTGCGGTGGCGATTTTTTCGCTGACTTTTTATCTTTGATACGTTTCTTGTCATGTTTGTCATGCTGTACCCAAAAGGTTAATAACAAACATTAAATAACTAATGAATGAGACAATAAATGAATGAAATACCTTTTTAGTCTTCTTCTTCTCATCTTTATCAGTTAGTTTAGGATGACCCACAAGTGACTCCTCAAAGGACGGTCTTAAAACATGCGATTATATACCCAATAAATATTATCAAAATAAAACTAAAGTACTTACAAATCAAGGTCGATATTTAGCGCACGATGTGGATCATCCATATTATCATGGCTGCTCTCACTGTCGGACAGAGTCGCACCTTCGGGTATTTCAATATTCTGACTTACAATCACATTCGGCGCGTCGTCTTCACCATCCGTTGAACTCTCCACCTTCTTTTCCTTGCGTTTCTCTTTACCTTTTGATTTACTCTTCTTTTTCTTGGATTTTCCTGACTCCAAATTCAAATATTTATCAGATCTCTTACTCAAGACCTTCAGTTGCACAGGAAGTGCAAGTTCGGCGATTGGGATATCCTCAACTTGATAGTTATCACTACCATTATCATTATCTCGCTTGGCAGCACCTTTCAAATAGTGCGGATTATTCGCTTGTTCGTGTTTCCTAGCCTCTCGAATCTTCACGCGTTCCTCCTCAGTCAACTCCGGCTGATACCGCTCACGATCCGGCTTCTGTTCTGACTTATAAAACAAGTTACCCATCTGTTCATACTCAGAATCTGAACTTGAAGATTCATCAAGCGAGGGTTCCTCAATTAAATCATCTAGATCTAATCCTTCGGGTACTGGGACCTTCTTCTGTGCTTTAGGCGCCACTGGATTCAATTCACCAGCGAATAACACCATCAACGACGCTGCCACGGTGTGTTCCTCATCAATTTTCGTCGTGGGTTTAGTCTCGTCCGATTCATCTTCGTGCTCATCGATTAAATTACCTTTTTGTTCTTTACGCTTCATGATTTCCTCTTGGACAATCTCCAGCATCATTAGAGTAGTACTAGCACGTTCCTGTACTTCAATCTCGGGTGATTTTAAACTATTCCGTAACTTTTTCTGTGTTACTTCATACATTCCATCTATTTTATCATAATCTTCAGCTATTTCATACAGCATTAAACATCTCGCGTATAATTTCAAGATGTTTTGCAGGAAAACAATCTCAATCTTCTGTGGTAAGTTCTTATACTTCAACATACTTATAAGTGTTGATTCTGGTTTCTGTAATTCGGTGACAAATTCACCACAAAGCCATGCAGATGCATAGAGTACATCCTGCATGATTGTAAATTGTGTAGAAGATGCGTACACGTCTAAGACTTGCGACATTTCATTGACTGCGAATGGACGTATTGCAGTTACACGTACACAAACGTCGATAAGTTGATCAGCAATAATGTGGCCTTGTTTTGAACCGAATTCCATCTGCGCTAGCTCAACTAAAACTGTTACGTACCATTCGAAGTTGGTAATGAAGTGATAGTTGTTTTGCGCACAGATTTGAATAATTTTACTTAGTAATTCATCGCGGTAGAGAGTGCCTTCTGCTTTTTCCATGTGTAACATTAGTTTCTTAACTATTTCCATTAAATTTTTCTTAGAAACCATGCCGTAAAGTAAATCAAGAGCACGAAGACGAATTGACTCATCCTTGTCTTCTAGACATTGTAGAATTAGATCTTTGTGTGCCTGCACACTCTTCGGATGAGTTTTGAGAATCTTTGACATTGCAAGTAATCCCAAATATTTAACTGTTAAGAAAAATTAAAAAATATTTTAAAGTTGTGATTTGTAATGTACCAAATACTAAATTTGTTAATACATGGCGCAATCCACTAGGGGCGCTAGTGTCGTTTACATTTAAATACACAGCGCTAGTATCGCCGGCATACCAGAGAACTAACATAAATTTATAAAAATACTTACGATTTTGATCTGAATCTTCTATCAAAATGCGTAACTTTTGAACGCAGAGTTGAATACTCGCAGCATGATTAGGCATACCAGATGAGATGCTAATAAGGACTGCAATCACCGTATTGATGCACTCGTAGAGCAGACTCATGGCAGACGTGCTGTGAATCAGATTCGTGAGTGGTTCTATCAACTTTTTGCCCAATCTAGGTTCTAGCGGTGTCAAAGCGCCAAACTATAACAAGAAAAAGCACACAACACGGTGTGGTTCATACGTGTGTTCGTCAACAGCAACTCGGAAAGAGTGTGTGAAGTGTGGGTGTTGACATGACAAACAATTCGTCGAGATTCCAAGTAAAAGACTTGTTTCTAGCAGTTTTAGTGATGTTTTACCTGCGAATAATCGTCATCAATGGTGCAGTCAGGCGCACACCAATTTCAGAATCGTATTCCGTCAGGATAGCAAACTTATTTTAACAAATTCATTCGTTTAACTACTAGATAATGATGATTTGATGTGATTGATGTGTTTTTTACAGAGTTTTCACTCAATTCAAGAATTTTGCTCTTAAATTAAGTTGTAATTATGAAATAACTTAAAATTTAAGCATACCAGTTTGATTATCTTGATTAACATCCAATTATTCGTCTTGGTCGTCATTAATTTGAAGAAAACCGGCGCAAGACTCAAATAATTCTTCGGATTCTTTCGAGCCAGCTCACAGACAACATTCACAGCAGCTGACTGTACGCCAGGATCAGGATCTTCAAGTTTTTCCTTTAATTTCGGGAACGCCGGACGTAAAGCCTCCGGATATTTGAGGAACACTTTGTACATCATCAGAACAGCTTTCTTTCTGATGTAAGGCTTCGTTGAACTTAACTATTAACAAATTTAAGAGTAAAATTACAATTATTTACATTTTTGTTTATACCCACCAAAGTTAAAATATCTTGTGATAGGTCCCTAGCTAAATCAGTACTGATAAAGCAACTCAACGAAGTGAGCGCAAGGCCAGCATCAAATTGATTCTGGCTGTTGAGTTCTTTGCGAATCATATTGGTCGTGAGCATCAACAGCTCCGAATCGCAGTGGAAGCTCTGAGAAGCCGCTAGATATCCGATTCGTTTCAGCGTAAACTTATTGGAACTCATTACTTCGATTATATTGAAACCAGCCCATGAAATGTCATATCCAAGCATTTGTAGCTAATTAGAATAAAAACAAAATAAAATTAATTAGAGCATATACAAAAATATTGCAAAGAAACTGCATAATGGCGGTGATTATGTACCAGCTATTAATATTTTTAGTACAATGCGCAACCCGCTAGGTGCGCTAGTGGCGTTTACATAAGTTACACTGCGTGGCGAACCAATGAACTAAATTTATAACCTAACCATTTATAACCTAAACATAACCTAATATACAAAAAATAATTCCAAAATTGTTACAAATCTAATATAATCTCTAAATGAGACAGTTCCTTAACCTCAATTCAAGAATTTATGCCTTTTCTTCACATAAAATCAGGTCAAGATACAAAGCACACTTGACTTTTAATGATGCTTTCTCTTTGATGGTTTGTATACATACATAAGTGAGTTTTGCGATGGCATTGCTCTTCACAGCAAGATTATCCTGCCTCAACTCTTGCTTGATGTCCTCCATGCATTGTGAGATGTACTTCACCTAGAAGAAAAGTGCAGACAATAAACCACAAATGTTTTGAAGCATGGAACAATCGAGCAGCTTACAAATCTCACCTCATTCTCCTTGTTGTTCCTGATCCCACGCACTAAATCCGTGAGGTTCTTATCGAACATCCGTTCAATATTGCCCTTGACTTTCTTCAGTGCCATTTTGCAAAATAAAGTCTTCTTCTTGTAGTTATAGTCTTGATGGCTGCTGCTGGATTGGTTTCCGAGGTTAATGCGGGTTGGCTTGTTGTGTCGACGTGAACTTTTGATTACTTGATTCGATTTATCACCACGAGTAAATACTAAGCGATTTATTTATGTATGAATGGCTCGTGGGGATTGTTGGCTGTTGATTATCAACGGTTAGCAGTGATTAGCCTTAGCCCGATTGTGTTTGGGTTGTCGGCAAGCGGGCATTATTGCCGTACGTAGATCACGCACAGATGATAAGAAAGCACGTACTGACAGCTGCGCCTGCTGTTCCTGCTGTGGAGTAGAACAGTTAGTCACCGCAGTACAGCAGTGAAACAGAGAAAACACGAGGGCAACTCGAGTGAACTCTGTTCACGGTGTTGTGCACACAACGAAACCGATTTTCATAGAATTTCTATAAATTCGTACATGTATTGCCATCTACCAATTGATAAATATCTTAAAATAAGAAGAAATTATTATATCAGTTCTTTTTATCAATTTTTGCTTATTTTTAATTGAAAATTAAGTATAAACTTGTAATTATTTGTAAATGGACATAATTTTGTTCAGAGAGATAGCAGTCAAGAAACTTCAGGTAGTAACGTGTAATGTACCAGATACTGAATTTGTTAATACCTGCCGCATTCCGCAAGGGGCGCTAGTGTCGTTCTCATTTAAATACACAGCGCTAGTATCGGCGGCGTACCAGAGAACTAACTTAAATTTATAATTCTTACACACAGCAATAACCAAAACTTTCAACAAAACTAATAATTATTTTACTCTAATTTATATGAATTTTTACTTGTTTTCAACTCTAAACCAATTCCAAACTTGTAACTATTATTAAATTAACTCCATTCAAGTATTATTGCCCAAAATACGTTCAATATATTAAATTCTGAACCCACTGCTAACAAAAACAGTGATAAAGAGGAACTTACAACTAATTAATTACTATTCTGGCTGTTTAGTGTTAGTTTTATACCCAAGAATGATACACAAACATTTAATTACATCTTAGCATGTTTATAGGAATATATCTTTGACCCTTTTCATATTCATTCTTCACAAAAACTTGCAAAGCAGTTAAAATCGTATAAAAATAATCATCCCCTCAATATTCATGTCACATCTTCAATCAGCTATCAATACAATAATAAAAAATAGTTTTGCAGACTATAAATTGCAAAAATTATGGTAATATATGTTTAAAACTGAATTACAAGCAATATAAACTAGTAAACACTGCATCTTTAGTGATAATTTAAGTTTTGTTTAACTTGTAAACAAAATAAATGCTTTTATCACAAACATTACCAGTTACAAATGTCACAATCGCTCAAATGTTTAAAATTTTTAAAAGATTAAGTACTGAATGTACATATTTTCGCTAAAAACTAGTTATTTTGAAAGAGATTACTCGGCAGTCTTCTGTAAGTGTCAATTGCGTTTGAAATCAATGTAAATGAAAATAAGCTCTTCTTATTTACATCCAACACGGCATTCTGTCATTTCGTGCGTCTGATATGCGTTTCGTGTGCATGTTTCGATTCGCTGCGTGTCTGTTTATAAAATAAATCAACTACTGCATAGTTTACATTGAGATGCGTGAATGGTTCGAACAGATGAAGAATGTATGTAAACAAAGGCGCAGTTTATTGCTGTGCCATCTTTACTTGCATCTGCGCCAACAGTTCTTGCATTCTCTTTAGCTCAGCTTCTTTTTCTTGGAGAATCCTGTCTTTATCGTGTAAGGCACCATTCTTTTCATCAATAATCCTAAAAACAAACAAAAAAATTAGAATTTTTAACTTTTTCAAGGAATAAAAAGTAAAAAGCACTTTAAATCACAATAATTCAAGAACTAGTAAACATATCAAAACATTTTTAGTGCAAAATTATAGATAATTTAATGGCAAACAAGATTTCTTTGAAAAAAACTGAAAAATCTAGATATTTACCACAAAATCTTCTACAAAAACACAATTTTTTACTTACGTTCTTCTTGGAGGTGCCGGAGCACCTTTCCCGAGTTTCTCCGACCTGTAATTCTCATAATGCACTTGTTGTGTGATCTCCTGAAGATCCTGCATGTGTGTAATAAGCATAGTCCTCAATTTAATAAAATCACAATGCTCAGGATTCTCCACTTCGACAACTCCCCATGGATACAGCCTACCTCTGACCTTCCTGCCTCTGACTTCCATCAAAGTATTCGCTCCACACACTGCGAATGGCACAGCTTGCTTCAATTGCCTTACTTGTTCCTTATACTCTTCATCTTCATCCGAATCACACTCTGGCAGTGTATAAATCCTTATCCCATGCTGCGCGATCTCCTCAAGCACTTTCTTCTTGAGTCTCAACATTTCTTTCTTTGTCAATACATCAGCCTTGGCAATAACAGGCACAATATTGACTTTATTGTGCAATTGTTTCATAAATTCGAGGTCCAGCGGTTTCAAACCGTGTCCAAAAGGAGAGATAAAGTAGAAACAGCAGTGGATACGGTTGTCCATGATGTTTTTCCGGTTGAGTCCGGATTCATCACGGAGGAAACGTTCAAATTGGTCGTCGATGTAGGAGATTATCTCGGAAAAACTGTCGGTGTTATCGATTGCATCGCCGTAACCAGGTGTATCGACCACAGTCAGGCGGAGTTTTACACCACGTTCTTCGATTTCAACAGTTGAAGGCTCCAGTTTGACTGTTTGCTTTGATTTTTCTGCATAAAAGAAAAATTTGTTTATTTTCGAGTTGAAATTACACAAAATGACTTAAATATCTTACCAATAGCATCAGGAATAACTCTTTCTGGATACAAATCAGTCAAAAACAAAGCATTCACCAGTGTGGACTTCCCGAGTCCACTCTCACCAACCACCATCAGCGTAAACTCAAAACCTTTCTTCACAGACTTGCGATGAACTTGATTTGGTAAATTGGCAAATCCAACATATCCAGGTGTTTCCAGACCAGAAAACTGTTTATAAACATAAAATATTCATTAGAATCTAATCACAAACGAGTAATTTGTATGTAAACTTACAGTTTTCGTATCGTTCGACATGTTTTAGCTGTTTTCTGATGCACAACGGTCGTTTTTGTCAACACAGCGAAAATTATAGACCAATGCGCTGGCTAATAATCAACTGAACTGTTTGGTGTCGTTTGTGATATTGCAGTAGTTGAGTCAGAAGCACAAAATGCCTGTAAACGAACAAATGCTTAACAACAGCCGGCTTTATATGCTCGTAGCTGAACACTGACTGCGGTTATTTGTTTGCTCCCACTGAGTCATAAACCTCAACAATCTGTCTTTTTCTATCGCATACATTCATATCATAATCATAACCTGCTTCCACTTCTGTGCATATCATAAACAAAACAATATTGTAAACAATTTTCAGATTTACAGGAGGTAAATCCACTAGTAATAAACTAGGATTAATGTTTTTGTTGTTACAAAGGTATTAACATGTTGTAAATCTATGTAAATTGAAAATTCGTGACCATTCTCAACCGGCATTTGGAAAAGGGTCACAAGGGTGTGGTTTACAGGTATACAGGGTGTAAAACGAAATGTTTACATTTACAAAATATTCAGAAACTCTCTTTAAACAATTATAACAATATTGTATAGTTTGTGTAGGTGTGTAGGCGTTTATGTTGTATTTCTGATTGTTTTTTGTAATAGTAACAGATTTTATGCTTAAAATTAGTTGCAATAAAGTCGAATAGTTGAATCTGCGCCGGATGAGAAGACCCAGGGCTGCAGGGGGTGGAATTTCACGTCGAAGATGCCAAAATCGTTAAATTCTTCATGATCTTGGATGCGTTTCAAAGGCACAACCAGTGGATTTTTCAATAGATCACTATAAACAGAAAAAAATACATTTTTAGCATTAAAAGATAAATAAAAATATATTTAGACAAATATTAATGATAAAAGCTGATGTCCTGTATTAGTAAATAGATAATTTGATAATCTATTAATCATAGTTGATTGATTTATGTTTAAAGTTAATCAAAGCTGAGTATTTGATGATTAATCAGCAAAAATGACAAAGTTGACATGTTTTTAATGCCATTTTATAAATAATTTAATTGCGAATGAGATTGATTTTTAAAAAATTGAAAAAGAGTTGAAATTTACAACAAAAATCGATTTTAAAACTTTTTTCAAGAATAAAAATCAGTAAACTTTAAATGTTCATAATTAATAAACTATTAATGATATTAAGATGATTTCAGTGCCAATTTATAAATAATTTAATTGTGAATAAGATTACTTTTTAAAAAATGAAGAAAAGTTGAAAGTTTCCTCGAAAAAACTTAATTTTTCAACTTTTTCCTAAATAAAAACTGTACCTAACTTCAAATCACCATAATTAATAAACTATTCAACCTATCTACCTGTTTCAAGTCTTATTTAATAGATAATTTAATGGTTTTCAAAATTAAGCTTAAAACAATCGAAAATCATCAAATTTCCACCTTTTTTCCCCAAAACTTACTTGTAAACCATCCCATGAGAAACGATAAGATTCCTATCATCACTCCCGGATGCAAACAGCGGATACCTCTTATGGAAAGCAATGCCCCTCACAGCAGTACCATGCAGCCTCAGTGTCTGATACGGTTTCGTACTCAAATCCAAATCAAACCACAGAATCTTCCTATCATACGTCCCAACCAACAAGTTATCTCCACCCGAATGCACCGCCATCTTGGAAATCCACTTCGAGTTCGTCATCAACTTCTTCAACAACTGCTGCTTAACCAAATCATAAATCCTCACATGTCGCTGTGTTGCAACAAACAACATAGGTTTCGTCGGATGAAACAACACACACTGTACAAGACCTTTACTCTTAGTAAAAGGCAACTGCGATCGCCTCTTGGATAATTGCGAAATAATAACTGAACGATTCGCACCTTCAGGCATAACTGTCGCGAAGTAATCACCTTTACCATGCCAAGTCACCTGTGCAACTTGTTTAAAATGTTTAAGAATCATCCTTATACCTTTTTTATACTCCGTTTCATTGGGGTCCTCCCATTGAACAGTTGTTTTCACTCTTTCTGATACAATCTGTTCGGATTTCGGTGCTTCCTTTAATAACTCATCAGTTTTCTCGCAAACCAAAGTATCACCTACATGTGGATTGATTAAAAGCACCATATTATTAGCAGCGACTAAAATTAAGGATAGAGCAGCATTCGGACACCATTCGACTGACCTAACAGTCGCTTCCACTTCGATTGTTTTAATACATCTACCTGTATTCACCTCCCACAGTTTGATTGTACAATCATCCGAACCAGAAACAAGATATTGCCCGCTTTTATCCACACTAATAGATCGAACCATATCTTTATGCCCTTCGTAAACAATCGATTGTACTGTTGGAAATGGTTGTAAATCTCTAGGGCTTGGTAACTTCGGTACCAATGCTTCAGGTTCAATCGTCAAACGCATTTTTATCGCGCGTGGTGCAAGATACAAATCTAAACAACGCAAAAATCTCTCTTTCATGAATCTAGGATAACTTGGGACTTTACGTAAAGAGTCGAATTTCTGTGGGATGAAATGTAGCTTGCGTTTCCATGGCGCGTTCTTCAGACGTTCAAATTGTTTGAGTTCTTTCTCATCGAAGAGATATTCGGGTGGTGGATTGTATGATTCGGCATGTCCGGGCATGTGGCGTTTTGGTGCGGCGATGTGTTTGTGAATACGACGCATTTCTTCCTCTTGTTGGTCGTCTGTACTCCATAACATGTAGAATTGTGGGGATTTCTTGGCGCGTGCTTGTTGTTTTTCAGCGAGGGTTTTGATCCAGCCCATTTTTAATGCGTGGACTAGTTTGGAGACTTTTTTTGCTTCGGTTCTGGATGGTAGGAATGAGCGTTTGTGGTCGGGGAATTTACGTAACGGCATTTGTTCGACTTTGGATGTGAACCATTCAATCCACGGCTGAAATATTAATGAAATATTATTTTTTGGGGAAGTTTTGTTGAAAATTTAATACATACAGCATATTCGTCGAACTGTTCATCTGGGATTCGCTGTCCTTGGATTCTTTTAATTAAATTCAAGTCTTCTTCACTCAGGACAACATCCTGACCTGTTTGTGGATCTTTTACAGTCCGCCAGAAGTCAGGGTCTTCCATTTTTTTCAAGAATTCGTCGAGTTGATCGCCCATCTCTGGTTTGAGAATTTTTTCCGTCCCAGTCATAGCCAAGGTGTTTGTATTCGTCGTACCAGTTCATTGGTATGTTGCCAACTGTGTTTCTGATATCTTCTTCATCTGAGGAATCATTTTCATATTCATCTTTGTTTTCTGCTTCAGTTTTTGATGATTCTGAAGATTTTGCTAATAATTTCTTTAGGGAATTTGATGTAGTTGTTGGTGCAGTCTCTTCTTCTTCTTCTTCAACTTCACTTTCTTCAGTAATATTATCAGATTCATCTTCTTCTTCATCAAGTTCTTCATCTTCTTCACTTTCACCCTCATCACTGGATTCCTCAGCTACATCTTGTTCTGATTCTTCTTCTACTTCAGCATCACTATCAGAATATTCAACATCCGAGTCGGAACTGTCTTCATCTTCACCATTAACTGTGTTTAGCAAGTCATCGTCTTCTTCTTCCTGTATTAATAATAAATCACATTTAAAACAAACTGACTTCTGATGGCAAAAATTTAATAAAACATGATAAAAATTATTCAATTTAGATTTAAACAAAGCAGAGTTTTGGTTGTTTTACCTCTGATAAAACTTCTTTCTCTTCTTTAATTTCCTCCACCGGTAACTTGCGTTTTGCAAAAGTTTTATTTGTCATTTTAACTTCGATTGTAACACATCAACACCTAGTAATAGAAGATAACTTCTTATGTATTAATTACACTACTTATATAAATTAAATCAACGTAATTTAAGCCTTTTAACTAATTTTTAAGTTTGATTTCCATGACGGTTGAAAACAAGAACAGTTTGTAACAAACATGTGGAGTTTTTGAGGTTAGATTAACATGGATGAGTTAGGGCTGCCACTTTTTCGTTTTGCGGACCATACTTGAACTAATATTTAAATATCTTTTTAATTTATTATTATTAAAGGCGTAAATATTTGTGCAAATAATATTATTATAATTTAAGACAAATTAAAAACATTTAAATTCAATAAAAAAAATTAAATTAACAGGGACAGGTTGGTGCTGCCACTTTTTCGTTTTGCGGATTACATATGAACAAAATTTAAAATATATTTTTATTTTTATTAATATTAAATGCGTTAATATAATTGCAAAGAACATAATTATAATTAAAGATAAGTTAAAAATACTTAAATTCAATTTAAAAAAAATCATATTAACAGGGACAGGTTAGTGCTGCCACTTTTTCATTTTGCGGACAATACCTGAACTAAATTTAAAATATATTTTTAATTTAATTCAATTACCCGCCACAGGATGGCGCCACACAAATTGCAGCCGCCTGCAAATTATAGTTCCAACATATACTGGTAGGTGGCGCTCACTGCATAGCCGCAGGAGAACATTCTATTTCTCACCACTAGGTGCCGCCAACTGAGGAGTAAAAAGATTTAGGACTTAATTTAAATAATAGTTTATTAATGATTAATTCAGTTTAATTAATTGGTGTAGGCTAATGATTCTTGACGTAAACTAAACCTAAATAATTTGTTTTTGATGATTTATATGTCAACAAGTACTTTTAGCTTGAAAAATTGTTTAAATTTGTTATTAACTTTAGCTATGTACCTACTTTATAGAAACATGTTTCACAAATATTGTACATTTAACATTTTGCAATTACAATTTGTATTACATGAAGCAAAATTTCACGTATTTAGGAGACTATTAAAAGTTTACACACTTCAAAAAATATATTTAGAAATTACATGATTACTTCACCGGATGTATCCACTTGAACATAGATAAGAAATTGATATAAATAGACATTCTCAGGTAGCAACAGAAACATTGTGAAGTGTGTGTTACCACTGACAAGTTAGGTGAGTTGTTTACCCAAAAATTTGATTAGATTTTTATTATTAACAAAGTGAAAAACGTGTTAAACTAATTAATTTTTATTTTACTTTGCTTTAGTCAAATATGGCTGACCTGGTGGTCAATACATCAAGAGATGGAAGTCAAAACTTATAAATATCATTATAAAATTGAATTTCTAAAATTCCTATATTACATAACTCACTAAGCAAACATCAGCAATGGTATGTTATCTTTATTGACTATTGACTTTATTGAGTTTACTTTATCAAAGTGTTTTTCCAGTTTCCAGATGTCCCCTAATCCATGCCAACATCAATGCTGTGTTGCCAAATTGATGAATAATGTCGACAACAGTTTTCATCTTCAATAGTTCTTATACTACTTCCAGATGACAAACACGTGATGCCCATATCAATGCTGTGTTGTCATCTTTATCAACTATATTCACATCTGCTTTATTCATCAAAAGTTCTTGAACTATTTCCAGATGTCCCTGTTGTAATGCCAATATCAACAGGGTGTTACCATCTTTATTAACTACATTCACATCTGCATTATTCTTCAAAAGTTCTTGTACTATTTCCTGACGTTCATTGATCGATGCCAATATCAATGCTGTGTTGTCATCTTTATCAGCAATATTCACATCTGCTTTATTTTTCAGCAGTTCTTTTACTATTAAAAGATGGATCTAAGACGATGCCAAAATCAACGGTGTGGCGCCAGTTTAATTTATTGCATCGCCATTGAATCCATCTTTTAATAGAGATTGAACTGTTTGAAGACTTCCATCTCTTGATGTATTGGATAGTTGATTGGGTCAGCCATATTTGACCAAAGCAAAGTCTTGAAACAAATATTAAATAGTTTAATACGTGTTTTACTTTGTTAATAATAAGTATCTAATCAGATTTTTTGGTAAATAACTCACCTGAGTCGTCAGTGGTAATACACACTTCACAATGTTTCTGTTGCTACCTGAGAGTGTCTATTTATATCAATTTGTTATCTATGTTCAAGTGGATACATCCGTTGATAATAATGTACTTGATTCTTGTAATATTTTAATGTATTTTGAAACATGTTTCTAAAATGTGAAAGATCAACTGTAATAACAAATTAAAACAATTTCTTAACCTAAAAGTACTTGTTGACATTAAATAGTCAACCACAAATTATTTAAGTTGAATTTACCTCAAAAAATATAAGTCTACCTTTATTTATTAAAGTAAAATAAATTTTTTTAAACTAATATTTAAATAAAGATAGTCCTGGATCCTTTTATTCCTCTGTTAGCGACATCTCGTGGCAGGAAATAGAATGTCCTCTTACTTCTATGCAGCAGGCGCCAACTATCGGTGGATGCCAGGACTACAAGTTGCAGGAGGCTACAATTTATGTGGCTCCTTCACGCGGTGGATAATTGAACTACAATTAAAAATATATTTAAATTTTAGTACAAGTATTTTCCGCAAAATGAAAAATTGGCAGCACTAACCCGTCCCTTTTTTCAAACTTAAAAATAAAAATTAACATAAAATTTAGTTTAAAAGGCTTAAATCACATTGATTTAATAAATATAAGTAGTATAATTATTAAATAATAAGATATCTTCAATTACTAGGTGTTGATATGTTACAATCAACGTTAAAACGATGCTATTACTACGAGCAAATGTCAATTTACGTCAATTTCTTATCTATCTTCAAGTGTAACTCTTGATAAGATAATTCCTGAATAGTTTCTGAAGGCTTTCGTGTGTTGTAATTTAATAATCCATTTAATTTTGTAATAGCACATGAATTGGATGTAAAACAAACGAAATTTTTAACGTTTTGTGAAATATGATACATTAATCAACTTTAACATTAAATTAAAACTATTTCCCTAGCTGAAAATATATTTTGACACTTCAATAATTAAAAACAATTTATTCATCTCTAATTTCCATTAAAAATCATCCTTCTAACTTAATTAATTCAAAAGTTACAACGACTAACACTTTTCCTGTTCAATTTCAACTAAACCTGTAAGAAAAAAAGTATGCAGGGTGTAAGAAAACACAGAATTTTTAAATATTTTTTGCTATTTCAGTAAATAGGTTACATAACCACACATACAGTTTGTTTCATACATCGAGTTGTGATTTTAGCGCATTTGTCGCTGAAATATTCATCAATTTTGCTTAACATTGTTTTTGTATGTGTTTCCGCTCAAAATCTCCAAAAATTCGCAACTTCTCATCTCTAAAGATTGCCTCTTCATCATTTATACATGTATCATACAATTTTGAATTGAAATCACAACTTAAACATGTTAAACCTCCGAAACAAAATCAAATTTCTCTCAAAAATAAAAACATTACATTTAAAAAACAGTTTTACAATTAATTTGTTTATAATTTCTATTAATTATAATAATGCCTAGTTGGATTCTTAAAATCTCCACCATCAAAATTTGTGTTTTTTGCGTTTTTTAGATAATTTACGTTCATTTTAATTTGATAATTTGGCTGCGTTTATAAATACGTTAATAATAATAGTTTTTACAATGCCTAAATACCCTTACGTTGTTAAATGCCAAATCGTAATCGTAATATAATATAATTCAATCAATAACTATCGTTTATTTATGTACAAACTTGGAATTCTCAAAGTTTAGATAATAATTTCTTAATTAATTTCATTTCATTTTTTTCTTCTTCATTAAATTCCGTTATATCTAAAGTCGAAATACAGTAATGCCTCATGAGTTCACAGATAGTTTTACTTTTAAGTATGAATTTCGATTAATTTCATCATTTTCCATAGTCTAATGCAAATGAAACACAATTGAAACTTGTAACGAACATTCCATCATTCATTCATCATTCATACTCTTGAATTTATCATTGTGATAGCATTTTTTAAACAATACGAGTAAAAAAGGTAGAAAAAATAAATAAAAACTCAGCACGTCCACAAAACAAAAGCTTTTACATATATTTCCATTCGTGTTTAGTATTTTCGCAATAATAAAAAATCATCATCACGAACAAAAAAATAATAATGGCGGATTCAGTAAATATTATAAACCAAAATAAAAAATAAACATACAGTTAACATAAACTAATTTCATTATTAAAATAAAAATGTGATGGCGATATATAACGCAAACTTACTCGTACGCATATGAACTAATAGTTAATATTATAAATAAGATAGAATCAGAATTGCTTCCAACATATCCTAAAAAATCGAAAACTTAAAAAACTTACGCTTACGTGTTAAAATGGCAGTAAAAATTACAATAATCACCTACAATTAATATTAAACATAATAAAATATCTTTTTCTATATAAAAAAAAAACATAAATAATATTATCGATTACATTGTACAATCAAAGAAAAATAAAACATAAAATATAAATATGTAAAATGGCAATCATTATTTATAAACGTAAATTTAAATAATGCTATCATAGAATTTCTGTTTTGTTATCAAATGTACCCATTGCTCTTCACAGTGTTCAGTTTATCTTCGATATTTTTTACAAATTGTATGCGTAATCATGTGTTGTATTGTTGTAACGTTAATCCTGTCAATATTTTTTTGTCTTTGAATTTCGAGTGTACTGCCTTGAATTCATTTTTGAAATTTTTTAATTTTTCATTGTGTGTGAGTGTCGTGTGTGGAAAAACTATCATTATCGTAAAGGTAAATGGTACTGGTACTGTGGTAATTATACTTCCATTTAATGTCTGTTTAATTCAGTAATTCTGTAATGTAAATGTAATTGATACGTAATTAATATTAGATATTATGTGGTTCTTCATTCTGTACTTGTTTTTTTTTGCATTAATAACTCGTGTGTGTATTATTTGTGTTTTGAATGAAATAATTGTTTGAATTTGTTCCAAAAAATTTGTTTTTATTTTTTGTGATTTTTTTGTATTCCTTTTTTGTTTTGAGAGTTTTTTTCCCAAAAGTGACTTTACTCCGCTTTAAATATATTCATCATATTTATTTTGTTCTTTTTTCACGCATTAATCGTCCGCGAATCGTGAATTTTGATGCTTTTTTTTTGCCTCGTTTAGAAACCTTGTTGAATTTTGTTGCGTCTAGTGTGTTAAAGTATTACATTTCGTATTGTGTTCTGAATAGTAGATATTATACGTATATTTATTTATATGTTAGATATTATTAGTTTTAAAAATGTTCGAGAACCGCACACAACCCGCCGCACACACATAACCTCATCTGTCATTTTTTCTTCTTCTTCATCATAGGTTATGTATGCATTTGACAGCTGTTGTGCGTGATTTTCAACGTAAAGAACTCAGGCGTGGTAATTTCCTCGCACTCGTCGAGCCGAGAACTCCGAACGGGTTTTTGCATCACCGCCGAAGCGGTGTTTCTGGCTATTGTTTTTATTTTTGACACGTAAAACTATATCCATACAACGGTAGAAATAAAACGCATGCGCACGACTCCCAGATGGTGATTCTACCGACCATCACACGCACAATAATCACCCGCGTTCACATTACGCTGATTCACATCACATCACATCGCCATGGCTTTTTTACATGCTTTATATATTTTGAGGTTATGTTATCGGCGCTACTCGCAACTAACAACATGTTGTTTGATCATTACTTATCTAGTTCGTATACAATACTGAGTGAGTTGTACACAAAGCCAGTCCATACTATTGTTTGCATTAATTAATTAATTATAATATACGGTGTGTTCGGTGTGTGTGAGTGTGTTGAGTGTGTCTCGGTTAATTATTAATTAATACTAGAACATGTATAATACCATTTAGCGACATTAGCGACAAGGGAAACGAAGAAACGAACATTAATCCTGTAACATTTATTTTTTTTGTGTTCCATGACGATGTGTATGATTCGCGCGTTTGAGGTTAGGTGGTTTCAATGGCGGCGTATTGTGCGACGTGACTTCCGGTGGCGGAATGCGGAGTCGCGCATTTGAAAATTTGATTCATTGCGTCGCAAACTACAAGTTGACAGTTTGGACTCTGTGTTTAAATACGAAAACAAAACTAAACATTGGTGAAAACTTAGATGATTCGATTCGTCACTTCTCTGAACGTCATCCGATGACAACTTTTAGCGAAGAACAAATGAAATCAATTTTATAAACTTTATGTGTTATGGTGGGCTATTGCAAATAAATTTCTTTTTTTTCTTCTTTTTTTTTCCTTCTTGGTTGTTGTTGTTTTTTGTTTATTTGTTTTTCTTTTGCTTTTTTTGGCGTTTGACTTTTGAAAATGTAATTTTACGCTAAATATACTTGTCCACTCGGGCGTATAGACTGCATATTTACGTAAAACACTTTGTTGTAAACCGAAATCGATGTTGTGGTCACGCTTTTCTTCTTTTTATTATTTATTTTTGATATTCTTTAGTTCTTAGGGCGTTTTTTGCGCTTTCGCATCGAAAAGTTCAACATTTTACTTTCTTTGATCGTGTTTTGTTGTTTGCTGTTGTTTAGTTGTTGTTGTTTGTTGTTATAAATAGATATCTGATATACATTTGTAATATTACTTATTTTTTTATGTAAGTTAATTAGTTTATTGTTATTTTTATATTTTTTTGTGTTTTTTTTTTCATATTATGTGATTTTTTTTATTTGTTTACGAGTATGTAGTAAGTAAGTAGATTATTGTTATGGAACGAACGAAATTAATAGAATATTGTGTGTGGGTGCTGCGCGTGCGCGCGCAGCTTGGGCTATTGCAGATTTTTTTACTTGTTTGTTATTACTTAATACTCGCGCCGCCCCCCCCAACCAAGAGAGGGCGTGGAGAGAGTCGCGGGCGGGTCTTCGCCGTCGGGGCGTATTAAGTAATAAAGGCGGGCAAAACTTGTGTAGCACTTAGTGCAACCGGGCTATTGTACATTTTTGTTTGTGGTTTATCTGTTTAGATTTACTTTCTTCTTCTTGCATACATTTATCTCGCATTGCTTGCATCGTGTATGTTTGGTAGTATAAGTCACATCCGAGTTGAGCGGCCACGCCTCTTCTTACCGCTGAGTAAGCAAGGGGCGTGTCTTAACCGTTCGTTGAGTCACAATCGTGTTGATTTATTAAAGTCACAAGTCGCATGCCGCCTCCAGTGTGCATTCTTGAGAGGCGGCATAGCTGTATTTTGGGAAATTATCGACTATTGCATTTTTTGTTTTGTTTGTTTGTTTAATTGGCGGCTTTGATAATAACTATTGTTTGCTGCTTAGTTTAGTCTGATTCTGATTCTGTAGATTACTATTGTTAACGTATGACTATTGTTTATATTATTGTAAATTGTAAATATTGTGGTGTTTTTGAATTTCAACTTTGAAACTTTAAACTTCGGCAACCATCTTGAAATTAAAATTATTCGCAAACAATAAACATATTCAAATACAGAATTTAATTCCAAACAAATTATTTTAAAGAATTTTTTTGATATCTCTAATAGTTTTTGAGAAAAACGCGTGTAAAAATCACACCAGTGGCGTGCACAAAACACTAAACTTTTAAACCTTTATAACTCAAAAACTTCTTATCAGAATTTAATTTTCTTTGCATATTTATAATCTCCAATATTAATTTTAATTTTTGCGAATAATCTTAACCTCAAAATAATTCCTCAGTTCAATATAAATAAAATAATTTTCGATATTTTTTTGCTTAAAAACCACATAGTATTAATTGTTAGACGTTTATAACAATAAACTCGCATCTCGTATATAAAATTTATAAACACGTTCAAAAATCGCTCGGTCGGGTACAAATGAAAAACGCAAGACAACCGAAACACGCGAAATCACTATTTATAAACATCTGTCTCGTTAATAATATTGATTTATTTAAATATCTATATATATATATAGATTTGTTTCTGTTTCATTTCTCTGCGTTTATATCATCTCATCATCAATAGAAATAGAAATAGAAATATATTCTTTAAATTTGCATCATCTTTTCAGGATTTATTGTAATCGTTATTGTAGTTTAATCATTACGTAGCTATTAATCATTCGTGCGCGTTGAAAAATTCTCATCACTTCCAAAATAAATCCGAATCTGAAATTTGTCTCGCTTTCCTCCTGCTCTTAAACGTGTAATTTTTGGTTCCGATTTTGACTATTTCATAATTTGGCAATTCACTCAATACATTCGCACATTTATACATGGCATTCATCAATTTATCAACAAGTCATTCGTTGCGTCTACACACATTTTAATAGAACGTAAAATAAAAATAAATAATTTTTGTTTCTTTTATCATTTTAAAGTGTAAATAAATGCTTTTTGGTTTCATTTTCGAATTGTTTCCATTTTTGATTATCCTTGGGACTAAATTGCTTTTGATTGCACGAATTGTCCTAATTTTTACAGTCCCAAAATAATTGCAACTTGATTTATTTTTTTGGTAAAAAATGTAAAATGTGCGCAAGACTGATTTATTGCTAAAAAATAAACGATCGTCATGAAATTTTCTGAGGAATTGCAAAAGTACTAAATAATTTTGATAGAGCATTAAATTTTATACAGTTTATTTAAATGAATTTTTCCGATAGCTCTAACGGTTTGCCTAAAAAACGAATTTTAAGTATGAGCGCTTTGATTGGTCTGAATATTACCTCGTGTCAAGTTAAGTCAAGAGGCGTGGCTCCCAAAACTTAAAACGCTCATAACTCCTGCAATTCTCAACGGATTTTGATGATTCTTTCAGTTTACGACCGCTTATTTTGTGTTATTTAATCTTACAATCCTAACCTTACTTAAACTACCTAATAGTCATAGTTATGTACATAGTGTATCAGCTGTTTGCTTCGTATCTTACATCATCATCATCGATGTAATCATTACAATCGTAATCATCAGGGTTGATATAATATATTAAATTTATGCGCTTTTTTGTTTTAGTTTAAAATCTAAGCATTCATCCAATTTGTACTATGTATACTTTTTATGTTTTTTGGGGGTGTGGGGTGGTGGGGGGTGTTAGTCACCTGCGTGAGCTTCCCAGTAGTGTTTAGAAGAAGCCCACGTCCTCGTCGTCTCATGGCTGCTGATTCTGCTGTTGGCACGATAACGAGAAGCCTAGGCTGCGCGGGTCGCTGCCATGGAGGCGGAGCGCTTGCTCGAGGCGTTGCTCTTGTAGTCGCAGTGCTTCTGTCAAGTCAGGACTAACCTGTTGTTGACCATTTGGGGTGTTAGCACCGCCTCCGGGGACGGTCTGACCATTCTGACCGTTGTGTGCATTGGGGGCGTTTCCGGCGCCGTTACCGCCTGCACTATTAGCCCCGCCTACTCCATTCGGCCCGCCCACTTGACCATTGGCCGCTGCTGCGGCTGCTGCGGCTGCGACTGCGTTGTTCACAGCTTGTTGCTGCCCACCGGCGTAGTTACCATTGTGTCGGAGTGGGGATGCACTCTCCTGTTGCTGTTGTTGTGCGGTGTTGAGTTGTGGCAGCGCCTGGAATAGAACGTGTTCGTTTTGGGTTTCAGGTTGCCGTGATTTTTTTTATTCACTCGCGTTGTGCTAATAACTCAGAGAATTCAATTCGGAACGGAGCAGTACGGCCAAAGGATTATATCAGAATCAGGGTGGGCGTGGCTTGTGTGTGTTTGTGTGTGCGGTTGTGCTAATAGCGATTAACCTACGAAACAAAAAGAGAACAAAAACGAAAAAATAAAGAAACGCTCTCAATTGCTTAGTGAGTAAACTTATTTAAAAAATCGTGATATGAACACACAGAGGGATGTTTGGGTTGTAGGTTTGTGCAACATTTATAAAACAAAGCAAGAACTGTGAGTTGTTATACGAAAATCAGTGTCGTAAATATTAATAATGGTTGTTGATTGAGAAGAAATTTGGTTAGGAACTTACTTGACTCATGGCCAATCGTAGGGCTGTTTCAGCTTGCGACCGTAAGAGGGCTTCTGCGTGCTGTTGCATGCGTAATGCATCTTGTTGTTGTTGCTGTTGTTGCTGTGGGGAGGACATGTCCATTACTGAGGAACGCATGGCGTCCATGTTGCGGATGCTGTCCATCGAGGCGCGCATCACCGACAACGCGTCGTTAGGAATTGGCGGCGTTGAAGGGTTGCTCGAGTTGTTAACTTGTTGATTAGCCTGAATATTGATAAAAGATTAAATTCTGAACGGTTTATTTTAATAAAATTTTGTTGTAACGGTAATAGTTTAAAAGATATTTGAATGTAAAGTTTATATTAGTATTTTTTAATGTTTTTGACAGTTTTGACAGCTAATATTAAAAAAACTTGTTTATTCGATAATTGATGTGAATAGATAATTAAATTTTAAAGATTTTATGTTTTCAAATTTTTTTGATACCTCTTGGGGTTTAAAAGATATTTGAGTACAAAGTTGGTTGGTACATAATACCACAACCTAAAAACCTAAACCTAAAACATTAATTTAGGTTGTTGTACAACACAGAAATTTTAAACTCTCATAACTCAGTCAATTCTTAGCCGATTTTGATAATTTTTTTAGCTTTTTATTCACAAATAAATTATTAACCATTTTCATAACTTCACACTAAAAAATCTAACCTACATTAATAAGTTTTGAGGTTATAAACTTTAAGGCACTACAACTTCTATAGTTTTCAACCGATTTTAATCATCTTTTTACTAAATAACATAAAGTAGTCATACCTGTGTAATGCGCATAGCTAAATTAGCAATATTAACAGCAGCAATATTGGCAGCCGCCGTGGATGTGTCTGATCCTAGACCTGGCGGCACACCAGTCGGATTAACCATGTTCGCAAAGAGCGACATTCTGTTTGCATTCTGCAGTTGCTCCTCCATGTTGTTGTACTGTTGGTGCAGTCCATTGTTACCTAAAATTATTTATAATTATTAATTGTTATTACATTTAAAACATGAAGAATTGAATTGAGTTTATTATTTCGAAATTAAGTTGTTGTTTTTTAGTCTAAATTGAATTTAAAGTGATATGTGAAAAAGTTGATGCCTGAACGCGGCACTCACTTCTTAAGATATCGCCTATTTTCGTATTGCAGTTATTATTGTTGTTGTTTATGCCGCCAGCTTCGCTGCCGGCCGACGAGAGACGACCGTTACCTGATGAGCTGTCGCTGTGCGCCGACGGGGATGCGCACATTGGACTAGAACTCGCTAAAACACACAAAACCCAAGTTTATTAATATTTTTTATTATTGAAATGCAAAGAGAGTAAAATTTTAAGGCATTTTTGTTTTAAAAGTTTTTTGATAACCCTTAAGGTTTGGCTAATATTTTAGTTCAAAGTTGACTTAAAAATTTTAGGTTACATTTGCAACACAAACTTTAATTACAAATAAGTCAGCCATTTCTTCCCCGATTTAAAATATTTTTTCTGTATTTTAATTTTAAACAACTGATAAAATATTTATTTAAATAATATTTTTTTGTACCTATAAAATTGTTTGTAATATTTACGTTCGAAGTTAAAATAAGAGTAATTTTTTACTTCTTAACAGTTTTGACATCTTATATTAAAAAAATTGTAATAGTCAATAATTAAATTAAATAGAGAATAAAATTCTCTCCAATTTATGTTTTTAAACTTTATTGATATCTCTTACCGTTCTCGTAATATTTAAGTTTAAAGATAAAACTTCCTATACTCAGCCTCAAATCAACCTAGAATTCAATAATTTAGGTTCTTGTATACAATCAAATCTTTAAACTCTCATAACTCTATCAATTTTCATCCGATTTTAAAAATTCTTTTTCTGTTCACCTCACAATTAACCAAAAATATAAAATATATCAAGTAGTATTTCTTAAAAATTAAATATTTAGGTTAAAATTGACTTAAAAATTAAATTGACAATTATTTCAACATTTTTTAATGCATTAAATATTTTTTTTACTAAATAGTAGATAATTACCAGCACCACCCATTCCAAGTCCAAGCAGTCCACTGCTGGAGGCGGCCGAGGCAAGACCTGCAGCGGCGAGTAGTTCGCGATCACGCCGCTCCGCCGCCGCCCTTGACAACACATACTGGGCGGCGAACTGATGCTTGGGGTCCATCCGCATATGCTCCATGTGCGAGAGGAGACCTGCAAGACCAAAATCCACAAATGGACAAAACCCTCAATTAGTAAACATGTCACGTTCCTATGCATCTACACGCTTATAAAAATTCATCACAATGTTGTTAAATTCCTCTGAGGTGCTTCGACTTTTATCTTAAAGTCAAGAAAACAATATATAAATGCAGATCAAATAAAACCATACATAAATAAACGATAAAAATTTTGAAACAAAACGAAACGAAAAATTTAGGATTCAGTGTTGTAATATTTTGGGTAAAATTTGCGCCGAATCGAGTGCCAATTGATTCAAAGTCCAAAGTAAGTTTTTTGATGTTGTTGTTGTTGATGTTTTTGGTGTCTTGCTTACCTGCTTCGTGCGTGAACACCGCCTGGCAGACGGAGCATGGCCACATTCGTAAGGAACTTGATAACTGTGAGGTTTCGGGATGGCACGCGAGATGCTTCCTGAGAGATCCTTCGTTTACATAGTGCTTGCCGCACACGGGGCAAGGATGGTTAGCCGTCCTTCTCTTCGCTAAATAAGGATCGATGACGTCAACAAAAGAGAGAAAACGAGATCAAGCAAAGCACCCCAGGATCTTTTCTAAGTTTTGTGTGAGTACTCGTACTATCGAAAAATATTCCAAGACTTGTTTGTCGATATTGGGCCAAGAGAGATTTTAAAAATTTGATTTTGAAATTTTGAGTCACAAACAAGTTGATTATGAGTTTAGTTTATTAGAGTTTAGTTTAGCTAGCTGTCGATCTTCGAAGGGATGATGGTGGATAGGGGTGGAATGAGAGGGTTACCGCAAAAGCAAATAAACCATATGAATTACAGACTAGAAATTATAATCGTAATCAATAAATAACTAAAAAATGAATAAGTAACTAAAAATACGGTTAATTTACGTAAATTAGTTGAAATGATAATAATAACAAAGCAAATGCCATGCGCAATTTTGGTGTGTCAAATAGCGTTCACAAGAATAATAAATGTTGGATTATTTTATGAAAGAATCATCAATTTATCTCAAACGGTTTCGGAGATATTCAAGTTTAAAAATAAAATTTATCTCAAACGGCTTCGGAGATATTCAAGTTTAAAAATAAAATTTGTTTTTTTTTGCTTATTTATTGCTATAGATTCAAAAATATTATAATTTAACAATATTTTTATATTTACTTGAATAGAGAATTAAATTTTGAGTAATTTATCTCTTTAAAGTTTTTTGATATCTTTTACCGTTCAATAAGTATTTGATTGTAAAGTTTGTTCGTACCTAGTATCACAACCTAAATTAAACCTAAATTTATATCATTTTAGGTTGTTGTACACAACCAACATTTTAAACCTTTATAACTCAGTCAATTCTCAACCGATTTTAAAAATTCTTTCACTATCCGATTAATAATTTAAAAAACTATTATTTTACTTTTATAGAAATAAAAATATATTATTTAAACAATTGTTATAAACAAAAAACTAAAAAAAATATTCATTATTCTTGTTTTGACACATCAAAATTCAATAAAAGCAAAAAAGCACCAAGCTTGTTTCCTCCACCAAATAAATAATAATCCTTCTTAGTCCTTTTCAAGGATAATCAGGATATTATTCATAATTATTTAAAATTTCTTTAAATTTTCGATTTTTTCTGATGATGATGATGATGATATATAGTAATATAAATATTTAATTCTTAGTAACATAGAGTTGATACTTACTGGCAACGCCGGAGGCGTTCGGATCCTTGTGCGTGTGCTTCATGTGCTCCATGAGCGCCTCGCCGCCGAGGAACATCTTGTGACAGAGCGGGCAGGAGGTGGCGTTGGGGCCGCCGATGAGGGCCGCATGTTGCTGCAACCGACCAATACACTGCTGACAAAAGGGCGCGTTAAATTTTTCATTTCTTTTTTCCAACCATACCAATTTTACACAATTCACAATATAAATCAGTCAGCATATGTTTTTCTCTTTACCTCTGGTTGGTTTTGTTCTTATTATTATTAATAATATTTGTATTTATTTATATAAATCACAGTTTATTGTTTTATTAATTGTGTGGTGGAAAAACAACTTTTTTAAGCTTTAACCTCAATTATGGCGGTTTTTGCGCTGCCGCTTCCTTGTTCTGTAATTGTTGCTGGTCGTAATTGTAAAAGCGAGTTTCTAATTAATTGCGCCGGACGCCCCGGATTCATATGCATATTTCTCATTAAGCAAATTGAAGAAAATTGCTTAATTACGCATTGCATGCGCTTGAATGCACAATGCGGACGTGCACATATGATGTAAGTACGTGTGCAAACAAATATTACATAATTAACAATATCAATTAATTATTTTTAGCTATTTTATTGATTGAATAGAAACTTTAAGTCATATTGAACATTTGAGTGAAAGAATTTTTGAAATTACTCTCACCGTTTTGGTAATATTCACATTTGAAGTTTTGCCAATGCTTTGAGTTCACGTATAGGTATAGTTGTATACAACTGAATATTATTTGCATAAGAAAAACTTCAAATGCGTATAACTTTGTTAAAAATAAACCGAATTTAAAAATTCTTTCATTAATAAATTTTTCATAATCATTTTCAACTTTCATGTCAAGATTTGTTCTTATCTCTTATCAAGTATAGCTATAACTTTGATTTTTAATTCAAAACTTTAAATTCGAATAATTTCGTTAATTATCAACGAATTTTAAAAATTCTTTCACTAATAATTTTTATATAACTACGCGCAACTATAAAACAAAATATTTTTCTTATCTCTTATCAAACAAAAAAATAATTCATAAAATTCTTAATAAAAAAATGAATTCCTACATATTTTTGATATAGTGACCTAGTGATCGGCTTAAGATGAATATTAAAAAGGGTGACTCACCCCCTAAGAATTAAGAATCAACCCTTTCACCCCTTTTTATTCTCAACCTCAGTGTTTCAGTATTACTCGTACAACGAAACAGATATTAAAAATGCGTAACCCTTTTATATACTTCTTAATTTTTTTTCGTTTGATTTTGTTGGTTTCTCGTCTGTTGTGGCGGTTGGTTAGCTTTGAAGGCTTTAACTCCCAAAGAGAAAAAAGCTTAGACGTTAAAAACTTGAAAGTTTTCCAAGATTTACTCAAAATTAATTTAAGATTTTCTTTTGCATCAAAAACAAACTTTCTTTCTTTTATTCTGTGATATTTTAAATGTAACCGAGTTAATGCATTCAATTTTTAATCTCTACCAAAGAGAAATTCGCGGGGGCGTTGGGAGAGCGCCTAGAAGATCGAAAAAGAAAAAGGCGCGGCCAACAATTTACACAGGTGTGTCAGTTCTCACGTTATAACTGAACATAACCTCAATTCAATAAAAAATTTAAAAATTTTAATCCGGGATAAAAACTTTTATAATTTTAGAATTTTTGGGTTAAGAATGTAAACATGGCTTACAGGTATTACCCAAAAATTGGCGATTGTAATGCATTCATTACTTTTATTACTTTTCGAGTACTTGCAAGTAAACAAGCGCTCCATCCGGTCGTTTGCAACGTGCAATTCATCGCGCGCAACAAAGCGCAACAAAACGAACCCCTCGTTAGCCCTACGCCCTTCTGCACACACACCCACGCATATAATATTTGTTTTTATCCTCGCATCTCGCGCGCAAACTGTTCATTTCGTATGCAAAACGCGAAACTTTGCGAAACAAATCTCAACGCATATGTGCGATCATGATAAAGTCTTATTCGTCGATTTTTTGCGTTCTAAGTTAACAAATCACACAAAAGGGCGTTACATACATACATATTAGGTATATATGTGTGAATTTATGTGTTCACTGTGCGAAACGAGCTCGTTGGTTCGTTTTTTCTGCTTTTGCGTGTTTTTTTCGTCTTTCTTTTCCGTCTGGATTGGACTCTGGTCGTCGGGGGTTGCTCATGCGTCACCGACACGCCTGTGCCACCCCCACTTTGGTGCGACGTGTACTTTTTTCCCACGGCGCGGAAAAAACGCGTTTTTCCCGATTCGCGCAGAAAAACGCCCTTTGCGTGAGGGTGCCTCTGAGGCTAGGCTATGTGTACATACGCGCGCGGCGAATGAGGGGTTGGAAAAAAATGCCAGTCTGGGGAAAAAAATCTAAAAGGGTGGAAACGACGACCAGTGGTCAACAGAAATCCAATCAGAATGTACTTTTAATTTGCACCTCGACTATTGGTAAATGAATAGGTGGATTTTTACGCAAAAAATTTTTAAGGGTAGATTTAAGTATTGTGTATAATTAGGGATAATTTTGTTTTTTTATGAAATGTTGTTGATAGTGAAATTAATATTTTAAAATTTTTTTGATATAAATATGTTCAATTTTCACATTTTTTAGAAAACTGCAAAAAATAGGGGTTAAAATAGATTAAAGGTTTTTCTTAGCAAACTTTAAAGTTTAATAAATGTTCAATATTCTAGTAAAGTTTTGTTGTATTTGACATATTTTTTCATGGTGAAATTTAACCTCAAACTTTAATAATAGAAAAAAATTGGAAATTTATTGATTCACTTTTATACTCAATTTTAAACATGAATAACTTTTAAACTTATTAACCAATTTGTATGCGGTAAGCTTCAATTTGAAGTACAACTTATTGGCTATGATATTATGTCTATATAAAAATTCTAGATCAATTTTTACCCCTATTCAAGGGCAGTTTTCGTGAATAACTCAAATTTACTTTATCAAAAATTCAATTTTTTTAATTACAAAATAATTATTGATATAATAATTATACCAAAATATTTCCTAGACTTATCAATAAAGGACTTCATAAACTACCCCCTAAAACAACCCTTATCAAAATATTCTAATTTTTATCATATTTAAACGGCAAAAACTAAATTTTTCATTTTTTGCTTAAAATTTTGTGTCATCTTGAAGAAAAATAAGTTAATTAGCCGTTTTTCGCGTTAATTAAAAACGTTGATTGCTCCAGCGACAAGAAAACAAGAAAACAAGCAAAGTGGCACATCTGCACATCTACATTCGCAAGAAAAACCTTCTCGTTTTCTTTTCGCCCGTAATAAGGTGCGAAAACGAGGGCATCGCTGCTCCCTGTTTAGTAAGAGGGTTTTTCTGTAAGGGTTGCAAGCTAAACGCTGAGGTGAATCAGGCGCAGCGGCAGCCGTGCTTCCTGAGAGGGTGAAAAATGCATTAAACGATAGGGAAGCGCAAGACGGCGAGGAAAAAAACTCGCCGCTTTAATTAACGAACGATTATGACGAAAAAATTACGGGGTTGGTAATTTTTAGCGCTTGTCTCACGATAAACACGCTCATTTTCTAGATTGGGGTACCGGCACGTAATCAACGGTATTATCACGATCAGTTTTTAACGCTTAAAAATGTGAAAATGTGAGAAAATAAAGAAAAAATAATTTTTGATTTTGAGGTCAGTTTAAAGTACTTTGGAAATTGAATTCTAACTATGTAAAAGTTGCATTTAATGTAGAATTTAATTTTTTACCAGTTAGTGAAAACAGAATATGATTATGTTAATTATTTGAATAATTATAAGCAATTTTCTAAAATATAATTTTTTTCTAACAGAAATTTTTTTAAACAACTTTAACTACATTTTAAGGTTATGTACCAATTTAATTTTAATAAAATATTTTATGTATTTTATAGAAAATTTAATTCTTAATCATTTTATGAAAGAATTTTTAAATTTCAATGAATATTTTAGAAGTTATCCCAAAAATAGTAACAAAAAACAAGAAAATTTTCAAAATAAAATTTCGAATTTTTAAAAAAAAATGTTCATAATCCTAAATAAACTAATAAAAACATTTTTAATCTTTGCAAATATAATAGCCTATTAAATTTTACATCCGCATGTTTCAGCAGATAGGGCCTGAATGGTTTTTCACAAAGCAGCGAGCGAAAAAAGAATGCAAATTCATGTGATGTGAAAAGCGCAGGAAAAGTAGCAAAGCAAACGTACGATGGTTGTGGCGTTGGCGGAAGAAATAAGGGCTCGATATTAGACCTGCCGCGGCTCGCGGAAAGAAAGGGGTTGATTTGTTACCGCACCCCGGGGCCCGCGTGCTCCACATGGCCGCGGCGGCGACTGAATGTGCCTTAGCATGCGATCATTTTTAATGTTCGCGGCGCACGCATGTTTTTATTAATCAAGAAAAACCATGGCACGAACGCCACCCCCAAACCACCCCCACGGAGAAAATCTTAAGAAAATTCAAAAATACGAACTCAAATCCCCGAATACATTAACGAATGAATGCATAATGCGCGAAGAAGACTTTCTTTCTGTCTTTCAACCCTTTTCCACACGACGACGGTGGAAAAATATGAATTTCGTGAAAATGTGAAAACAGATGAGAAAAACGAAATATGATGGGTAATCGTGGAAAATTTATGACCGACTTTGCAGTGTGGGTGAAAGAAAAAGGGTTGAAGTTAAAGACAAAAAAATAAAAGAAGACGAAGGGGTTGGAATGGCTCAGGTGGTTTTTCTAATCGAAAAATCTTTTAAGTGCTCGCGATGGATGCAATCGAGACGCGCGCGCAAGCGGGAAAATTGCCTTTTTTCTGCCCGCCGCCGCCGTAATCCTTTGCTTAGATTTATAATTCATGCGGCGTTAAATAGCTCTTTAGCGGTTCTATCGATTGCGCTTAAGGGATTTTCAAGAAAAATTACTTAAACATGAAATATTTGCAGTTAAACTTTGGACAAATTTAGCAAAAATAAAAAAGTTGCATTTTTTTGTAAACAGATATTTTAGGGGTAGTTTAATATGGGTTAGGGGTGTTGGAATTTAAAAATTCAAAAACTATATGATAGATAATTTAAATAGCTATTGTTTTGCGTATAAACAAATGTAATTAAATAATTATTGTAATAGTTATTCAAGTTTTAGTAAACTATTACAATTTAAGCACTTATTTTGAAAAGTTAAATTTAATGCCTCATAAATCACTTTTAAAAAATTATTTGCTATAACAAATCATATCAAATTAAAGCTTATTTCACTAGCTTTCTAATGATATATAATTGTTATAACTTTATGCCCTGAATACTACTTTTTCTTGACTCTGAATAATTGATCACAAAACTGAATAATTAAAACTCGCGATGTGAAAAACACCATTTGTTCGTCGTTTTTCCGCTCTAAAGAAAAATCCAATCCGAAAAATACCCCGTATGTGGCTTGCGTATGAAAAACAAACCACCGTCAACAATTACCGTGACTTTTCCGCCTTTTCCCAGCCGGCAGCGCATTAAAAATTAACCGCGCAACAATTTCTCACGTCACTTCTATTTCCACCACACACTCGCATCATATCAACCCATCACATCATCATATCTACTAATAAACATGTCAAATAAACAACAATATCATAGAATCTCTGAAATCATAAATAAATCATATAGTAACCTGTCGATGAAACAAAACATGTTGGAATTAATCATAACTAAATGATAGCAAATGGCGCACGCAGTGATTGCGTGCGAAATGAAGAAGAAAAACTTAGGATGACTCCAGAGTGGAGTCAGAACTAGTGTATTGACATACATGGCTTACTTTCGACGTGTGGGTGCGCAGACTGGATTCGGTGGCGAAGCCTTTGCCGCAGATGTTGCAGTGGAACGGGCGGTTTTTGGCGCGCTCCACCTGGGCGTCGTGATTTCGCAGGTGCTGCTGCAGGTTCGACAGTTGGATGAACGCCCGCCCGCAGTCGGGAAGGTGACATTTGTATGGACGTTCACCTAGAAAACAAGGAATTTACAAGATTAATTGTGGTCACATAAGAGATAACAGTGGATTTAAACGATGCATCAAATTTAGGTAAGTTTACATGTGAATAACTCATAAACCGTTAGAGATAGAATAAGAGACAAAAGTTGGTTTGATAGATAATTTATTTGTCTTTAGTTTGGTAGTTTTTTTGTATGATTTCGAGTAATATTTAAACAATTTATTGATGTTTAAAATTGCTGTTGCAAATTATACTGTCAATTATTATATATCAAGTTTGATAGCCGATAACATAGAAACCGTTAAGGATACAACGTTGAGAATCATATATTATTTAAACAATTTAATTGCCTTTAAATTGATATTTTGTTATTTGTATTTGAGTAATATTTAAACAATTTATGAACGTTTAAAACTATTGTTACAACTAATCCAGCCAAATTGTATTCAAAATATTCTGTCATGTTTAAGGGCTGATCAATTCAAAACCCTTGGAGATAAAGGCACAAAATTAAGTGCATTTAATAGATAATTTAATTATTTATTAGAATATTTACTAGTTTTTATGCTTAACTTAAATAAAACCGTATTTTTTTGCTTTTAAAAATGTTAATACATTTTTACAACTTTAAATTTTTAATTTCTGCAAATATTTTAAAAACTCAAATATTTTCTAAATTATTACCGTTATCAAAAATTTCTATTAAAATAATTTATAGCCAATTAAATAAACTATACATTTATTTTTTAAACTATTCAATACCTACTAAACTACCCCCTGTGCGTGCATTCAAAGTCATTGTAATAAACTCTCATAAAACCTTCATCACTGCACTTATAAAATCGATGGAATAAAGTTCGACGATGAGTGAAAACAGGAAAATAAGCATTAAAAACAATGCTTATGCAAATTACGCAAGAAAACGATCGGTTTCCAGCCGCGCACACACACCAACGCGCTGATTACATGATTGCGCAGCAGAAAAAACCGTAATTTGTCGGCGCATTCGCATGTCTCGCTTCTCATTGGTCAGCGGAAAGAAAAATGAGCGAAAAAATGAAACACAACCGAACGCTGGATAATATACAGTGTACACTGATGGAAAACGAGAAAGAAATGCAGTGGAAAACTGGGAAAAGCTCGTTAAATAAGAATTAAGCATTAAATGAGGCGCGCGAAGCGAAACACGCGAGGAAAAGGCCACGCAAACGAAGAAAAAAAACACGACGACGAAGAACAAAAAATCACTGCGATGGTTATAGCTATATAGGGCCGTATGAAAATTTAGTGGCGGAATGGGCACGATTCATAAATCACGCATTTTTAATCCTTTGCTTTTGCTAGGAAATGAAAAATATGAGAAACAAAGAAGAACGGGTTGAAAACTAAGCAAAAAATTAATGGATTTCAGTGAAAAAAATCAAGTTATATGGAATCATATTTTTTAACATAAAACTAATTTATTTCAAACAATATTTTATTATTTATTATGATAATTTAAACTAAGAGAAAAAAAATTTTGTAAAAAATTTGTAAAGTCAATTTTAAACGTTGATAACTTTTATAGTTATATGAATATTACAAATGTTTTAAGTGTATATAATGAAAAATATAATACTCTATAAAATTGTTATAGTCATAAAATGTGGTATTTTTATTATAAAGTAACTTAAATTGGGTTTAAACTTTTTCTGTTTTCTTGATATCTTAAAATATGAAATTATGCAACTTTTTCTTTAAAAATTCATAAAAAATTCAAATTAAATAGTTAATTAAATACAAAAACACAACTATAAAGCCAATAAAATTGTCTTTCATATAAACCTAACCTCGTTCCTGTACTTCTTTTCAATCAAAAGTTATTGAGTTTCAAAATTGACGTATTTCTTACAAAACACTTTTAAACCAACTTTCATAATTTTTTGCAATACAAATTTTAAAAATCAATAAAAAATAGTAGTTTTTCTTAAATCTTTATAAAACATCACAGAATTATGAACAATTAATGTATTTTTAATATGCTAACAATTTCAAGTTTTTATCTTTAACAGTTCATTAATTATTCGATGTTAAACTTGATTATTTTTTTAAACTTTTAATTTGCAATTTTTACGTTTTTGCATAAAAATCCTTAATTTAACCACCAATTCTAGCTTTATGATACCCAATACTTAATTATATAAACCTGTAATTATGTATTTCGTAAATTTTGCACCGTTTTGTAACGTTTTGCATCGTTTAGCTCACATTTTGCATTTTTTTTGCATTTCGACCCTCCCTATTCCGCATTTCCGAAAAAAAACGCGCATGATACACATCATGATTAACTGCACCGTACATTGTCTTCTTTTTATCCCTGGCCCGCTTGAATTGAAACATTGAAACGTTGTAAAAGTGCCTTTAATCATTCGAAAGGGAATAAAAAGCGAAGCGGAGGACAGGTGTGTGGCGTGCTCGCCGGCTTGTGGGTGGTTAACGGCAGCAAGCCAACACACATCACACACAACGTACAACATCTTGAGCTCTGAATATGTGTTTTGTGTTTCTTTTTCGTTTTTCGGCCCGCGAAAGGTGCGTACCGCGCGCGATGAGCGTACGCAAAGTAATTGTCTTCGTGGAACGCTTATTAGCGCCGCGGCATCGATTCGATTCGTCGATAAACGCAAACAGTGAGCTGAGAAATCCACGCATGCATTGAAAAACAAGCAAGCAAGCAAGCCACATGTCGTCACCGCAAATGGTTTTAATTTTGGAGGCGTTTTTCACGTAGGAAATATAATTTCTTACTTGATTGAGTTCGAAAATTAAAAATTGTATTGAAATAAACTTGTTTCACGTGATATCTAGGGTAATTTTTGAGATATCTTTAATCCGTAAAGTTTATTATGTAGAAAATTAAATTATCTTTAATTTATTTTAATAAAATTTTATTGTATCATTATTAGTTTAAACAATATTTGCAATGAAAATTTATTTGTACAACAAAATAATTTGTATTTTTTAATGTAAAAAGTTCAATTTCGATAAAATATTAAAATTAAATACACAGATATAAAGATAATTTAATACTCTATAAGTTTATTATAGTACAATATTTTGGTATTGCTAATAAATAGTGCGTTATCTGCGTTTGAAAAAATATTTAATTTTTAGTTTTAAAGTAATTGCTTCAAAACGATACTAAACTTTAAAACCTTGTATAAACCGCAATTCTGAAGATATCTACAAAGTATGAACGTTAGTTAATAGTGCAATTAATTGGCTATAAATTTATTTTAATAAAATATTTACCTATCGTTAATGGTTATCATGCAATTTAAGATTAAAATTTTTTGTTCTTAAAACCTAAATTTTGCAACAAAATGTTTAAATAATTATAAATAATAAACTACAAACTAAACAATTAGTTTAGCTAGTTCCAATTATAAATAATTAAATTATCTATCACATGAAATTTTCCGCATGTTAATATCTTTAAAGGTTCTCGAGTTATCCGCCCCCAAAGTTGATGTAACATATTCCACGTAAAAATGCGCTTACATAACCTATTTCCTAAGCGATTCAACCGTTTTCCACGCCGATAAAACTCGCATTCGTAACTTTTCGTCGTTGGTGTGTCTTGCGTTGACTTTGATATATATCCGCATCGATTTTTATTGCCCCATTGTGAGCGCGGCGAAAGGGTTGCTGCGTTTTCGAATTGAAGTCGAGTCGGTTGCCCGATTTGCATATGGCTCGCGGCTCGAATCGAATTTATTTATTTCCTCCTCTCTTACGTCGGACGCACCTTTGCGTCGGTGGGCCGTGACATCCACCCGAACATCGAAAGCTACAACCCTTTCGTGTTACGCATATTTTTACGCTCGCGCCCACGCGATCACAAAAAACGCCGAGCGTCGAGCGATCAAAAGAAAAGCACGCGGGTGGCGCACGCGGCCGACCAACTGCCCAGCGAGCGGACAGCAGTTGCTGTAATTTGTTAGAGCTGCGATTAACAATTTAAATTTCAATGCAACAAACAAAAACATTGTGTGGGGCAACATTTGGTTGATTTCGATTGTGTCCACTTTGAATGCGCACAAAAGGGGTAGGTTTCAAGATATTGACATTTTGTAAAGAGCAACGTATAGTTTATTTAATTGCCTGTAACTTATTTTAATAGTATTTTTCGTAGCTGCTATTGTTTTTATGATATTGGGAATTTAAAAAAAATATGTTTTTATAATTAGTAATTATGTAAAAAAAACATAAATTTTTATTTTCTTTATTACGTCCAAACGGTTATAGATACGTAAAAACTTTATTATAATATTTTTATTGCCAATTAGACGTTCTATTAATAACTGTTTAAATCATTCAAATATTAGAAAAAGTACGTCGTGTACGTGAGTTTAAAGTGTACTATCTAAATAGATTATTTCTACTCAATCAGTGCAGTAAAAACAAACAACTTTTCTTAAAACCGCAATAACTCATTAGTCTTATATAATACGGCAAATATGTATTATAAACAATTTATTGTATATTAAATTGTCTATACTTTCACCTTAAGACTGATTTGGTATTTTAAAAACTGCATTAATTACAAAACTTTAAAGTTAGGTATGCAAAATAATAGCTTTCAAAATCAATTCTTTTTAAATTCAAAATTCTGTCTAAACCATCCAAGATACATCAATTTTTAATTAAAATAGAATTATAGAAAATTAAATTGTCAATATAATATCATTATAAAATTTTAAATATCTTAAAAATTACGCTTGGTACAAGCCGTCAAAGTTCCAACTTTAAAGATTCCCTATTTTTTAGAACCCTTTACACATTTTCGCGTTGATTAACCGATTGCAAACAAATTTTGTGACCAAACTAAAACATTTACGATCGCCGATTTGCATTACCGATACAGCAGTGTCCATCCTCCACCGTGAAAATAAATCCGTCTTGAGCATTAGACGAAATCGCCGGCGACATCGCCAGTTTTAATCTCGCATGACGCTGCGCCGAGTGTTA